GTGGGTAACAATAAATTTGCAGCTGCTGAAGAGGAAAGCATATGGGGGGGAGAGAGAATGAATGAGACATGTATTTACTTGGTCTAATGTCCTGTCTTGTTGTGCGTTTGCATGAGTGCACCTTTAAGTCTAACTTTTGTAACGTCTACTGCCATTGTCAATGAACATAACAAATTTCTCCCTGCGAGATGAGTAAAGATTGTCATTGTCATTGATCTATTTGCAGATTTAAGGACAAATGACAGCAGCTTCTTACCAGTTTGTTAGTAAGTGGGAATGCATGTTGCATAATTTTCTCAAAAACTTGTCTTCGAGAGTGATTCTCTTGCTTGTGGGCAAATCTCAAGTTGCGTATATCCTGAAATAAAGAGTACAAGTTTTATGTGCAGCAAAAGTATATGAGTACAAATCAGTTTCAGAGTTTACTTTGCACCTTAAATCCCCCCCCCCCCTCAAATCAAATACTAAAAGCATTCAGCAACAATACTGAAATTTATGAACACGAGAACAGTCACCTACCTCCCTACACAAAGTAAATGAAAGTTGTATTTCAGTTACAGTAGCCCATTCATGAAAAAGGAGGTATCATTGGTGTAAAGTAATCAGTATCTTGGTGGCTAAAGCCCTTTCTTCGCACAGCATTTTACCACTTCTGCAGAAATGTGAATAAAGGAATGTTATACATTATACTCTAGATCATTCCATAACTTCCTTACAACCAAAGGGCATCAAAATAATACATTTTAATCTAATGGAATCTATTGATATCTTACTTTGCACAAAATTTCCATGCCATATGAGTTTATTCCTCGACTTGTGGCACCTCCCATTTTTTCAACTTGACTTGCAACACCCAGTGGGACATCCAGAACAAATGGCTGTTCCTGAAGTGAGAAAAAAAACCAATAGGCTCAAAACTATGCAACAACTAAAGAATTGCAAATTCCATAACATGACAAATTTAACTTTCAAGCACATTCTACAGTTTTATTGTATATTCTCTTACTATGTTCAGTCTCATTGTTAAGTTCTTTGAGATTCCACTTTTAAGTGACTTAATACATTAAACACCAAGGAAACGAGCATTTGTATCATTAATCTCCAATTTTAGAACAAAATTTATGATAATGCAGGAACATTAAAAAACAAAACATTTTTCTGCAAAGTTGCAGTAAGTAGGAAAAACAGATAAGAAGGAATACATACTCTCTCAACACTTTTGAAAAACAACTTGTAATTTGTGACAGTCAGGACTCCTCTGACGGGACCACTGTATGGGCAAATGTAGGTCACATCACCAGCTGAAAAAAGAGACCAAAAGAAAGATAGTACAGCTTTCAGCTTAAACAGGAAGTAAATCATAATACAGTAAAATCGTCACTTTCAAATTTATTTCTTAAAAATTCTAGATGCCTTTTTTCATAGTTGTTTAAGCTTTAAAAAAACCTCATGAATACAAAAATACAAGCATAGACAACAATATCATCAGAAAAGAAGTTACTAATGACCGAAAACAACGAACCCATGTGTCATCACCAATGCGGTTATATTTAGTATTAGCGCTTGTGGCAGTGACCCAATGTAAATGTAAGGGGGCTGCGTGTGCTGAGACCCACATGGAGGTATCTCGGCGGTCTAAGGAGGAAATCTACAAGCTTACAGGGAAATATGGGGGCAGGGTGGTGTTTAATATACTAGAGCCTGTGGAGAGTAGGGTGGGGGCTCAGATTGTTCATGTAAAGAGAGTAAGAACAAGGGTAAGAAGTCTTGTCTGACGCGTGTGATGTCACTTCCGTGAGCTCTAGTAATATATATCATTATAACCTCTTTGGTCATGATGTAGTAGAAGCAGGCGCTCGTCAAATTTTGGGCATATGGAATCATTGGTATCTTTGTGGTCACTTGGCGCAATAATGTCACGCTGAAATTTATCTGTTCTGGTCACTGCGCCAGGCTCGAGAAGTCAGTTGCAGTCACTCTCCTGGCTGGGTGACCAGATGGGGTATTTTGTACTGCTGGCTGTGTGACTGCAAAGTGTTAAAGCTTGTTCATTTTGTCTATCTTTCATTGAAAGAAATAGCCATCAATCTTGAACAGAAATCAAGATATTCGCAACTGAATGAGGTGGGGTTGCCTGGCTACAGAAGTAAAGTAAGCGAGAAAATAAAGTTGGGTGATTTCCATAGCTTGAGAGTCCTTTGGAAATTGAACATTTACATTTTTTGTTTGCCTTTTATAAACCTTTTTCACAAAAATCCACACAGAAATGTTGATTAAATGTCCCCCCCCCCCCCAAAAAAAAAATTTCCATAAAAACCGCCAAACTCTACTTTTCTGATCCAGCGGCCATCTGGGTTCTAGTCCTTAATCCTGTCGATAAGGCAAAGAATTTACAGGGCTTAACTGACGAAAAAATGCCCATATCTGCGAATTCATTATTTTGTCGACCTCATGATTACATCACGATGGCTCACATGTATACATTTTGAAGCATTCTTTCTACGCACACAGAAAGGAATAACAGTCATACCTTTTCCTATGATATTTTCACCTTCCAAGAGGGGGCACTCCTCACTTTGGATGTTTTTAGTTGCATCACGCAATGTCTGAAAAGGAAGATCATTGTAGAATGGAAGAGCTTCAATACTTAAAAATTGTAAAAAATATAATTCGCTTTTTAAAATCCATTACCAGTATACAAGCAAACAGAAGGTGATAAAAAAAAGTCAGTGTTAAGGATTTGTGATGACCTGCCCCCCCCCCCGTGGTCTTCCCTTTCGAGCCTACCTTCCCTCCCCTGTGGAAGAACACGGCAAAGGATGACAAGCGACATCAGTTACCCCCCCCCCCCCAAAAAAAGGACTAAACGTCAATGCAGCTCAGAAACTAAGTTGCTACAATCAATGCAAAAGGATTAGTAAGGAAATAGGAATGCACAGGACCATGACTACTTGACTCAAGACACACATTTCGATATTGAAAACTAAAACCTGCTTGAAGACTATTCAGTTGAGGGTAATGGAACTTATGACACAAATCTCCAGCTGGTTCTTGTAACCTCCCCCCCCTTTTTTCCCCCCTTCTCAATTTTTCTTTTCAGGCTGAAGTAAAGCATTTTTAGTGCTGATTTTTTTGCTTCAACTCTGAGATGGCAAATCTGCAGGCTCCACGGTGATTATCCCTCCCCTCCCTTGCCTTAGCCTTATATTTATTTTTTTCAGAGCACCCCCTGACCCAACCATCACAACCAAGATTGGGCTCTCCAGCACATTCTCATTAGGAATACTTGACTTCTAACCAGACACAGAAAGTAAAAGTGCAGCAGTAAATTTAGAAAAGAGAGCGTTCTGATTTCCAGTAACCATGCAAAAGAGGAGGACAATTCTGAGAAATGAGTCTTGAAAGTCAGAACATTATAACTGCGGCATTGTGCATACTACGGTTCACATGGATTAATTAGCCTGCAGAGAAAAAAAATGGCTTTCATTTGGGATTTAATATTATGAAAATGCTGCAAAAATAAAGTACAGTTGAACCTGCCATGACGGCCACTTGTATATAGGCCTCTTTCCATTTCTCCCCTTATGTTCTTTCTATATAATTAACTGTGTAAAAGGGGCACCTGTCCAACACGGCAGCGACCACCCTATTGATTTTATCAACCCGCAGTCAAATTTACCTGTCAAAGACGACCAGGCTTTGGCAAAGATTATGCATTTTCCTCTGACGCTGTCATAATTCTTTCACCTGTCGTTACTGTCAGTCCCTCTAATGGATGAAACAGTCATGTTTAGATCGCTCCCAATGTTTACCCAAGTTGACTAGTGGGTAACAATAAATTTGCAGCTGCTGAAGAGGAAAGCATATGTTCCTATAAGCCCTGCCCACAACTCAGTCCGTAAACCCAGTCCATAACAATGGAAGCGAGCACAAACTCAAGACAGAAGTGTCGCTTGTTCGATGAGTGGTGAGGACCCATTAGTTTGTTTGACTATGGCACTTGCCCTTCCTCGTCTGACACATTTAGTTTTGTTTTGACCTTTCACGGAATCATAATTTTAAAAAATAAAAATAAAACTAACAACTAAAAGTACCCCCTCACCCCATCCTCTCTCTCCTTTCAAAAGAAAAAAGAAATCGACAACAACCCCCTCATTTTAATGATCCCTACGACAGTCCTAAGCCTGCGACCACCTCCACTTGGGACCTCAAAAGTACATGGTTTGTTTCCTTCATTTTGATCAGTCCTGCGTATGCATGGCCGTCTTACTCAGGTTCAACTGCATTTGGTATTCTCAGGCAACTACACATGACATTAATGAATCTTACTTTGGTTTCATATGGCTGCATGTTTTCTGATGATGTTGACGCTGAAGAACAAAGAGACTTAGAAGGGGATCCTGCGCTATGGCTCTGGGAGCCTTTGGAACTGTTACTTGGAGAACCCTGACGAGCACTGTCTGCTGCTGCAGCTTCACCACTCGCACTGGCAACTGACTCAGATGGTACACTTCTCGTTGGTTTTAGTCTATTCCTGTCCATGTTTTACACTGTTGAAAGAAGGCATACTGCATAGTTTAAAATTGTTGAAATCCGAAAGACATAATAGCCACACGGCTGAAACATAGTCATTCCCCTCCAATTACCATGGCTTCACTGCCTTCATTTTCATTTAATAATGCAAAATTCTTTCTTCTGCACACAAACAAAATAAATCAAATTCACATCACTTCATAATAAGGAAAATGGAGGTCACTACTTTTCGCAGAGAATAATCCAATTTTTTACTTGACATTTTTTAACGTTCAAATTCAAATTATAATCAAAATCCATTAATTACAGGAAACAAAATTTAATAATAATTTCAAAGCCGTAAGAATTATCTATTTGCATTTAGTTGTGATAGTCACATGAGCGGATCATGGCGCACTGGCAGTGGAAATTTAGTTGCAGCGTCAACTTACAAAACTTTGACTTAACGTGTTAAGAAAAGTAAGGAATTTCTTGAGTGTAACAGATATATACTGTTCGTGTATTAAAATGTAGATGTATTCTGGCACTAAAATCGATTTCTACTTTTTCATAGAGATACCAAAGAGTCTACATAACAAGAGGGTCTACTCCTCTCTTTGAGCCAATTAAAAAAGTGTCCTCAAAATTTGGTGGCGTCCTCTTCGCAAATGCGCACCCTTTGCCAACAGTTGCCCTACTAGTCAAATGTGTTAAAAAAATCCAAGTGAAACTAACATTAAGTTTTTGAATAAAAAAGAATTAAAATTTCGAAAGTACACTTTTTAAAATTGTTATGCTGACAAAAAAACCTCTTCTGGAGGAAGGGGTGACTGTTTTCTTCGTTTAATTTGACTTTAGAATGAAAGGCGAGAGGTTATTAAAATAAAAAAAAACTAAAACTGTGCACTGAATGAACCCGAACAGCTGATGAACAGCAGTCTATCTGCGCACGCAAGGAGGTGCTATTCCTATTCTTCTTCTGGAGAAACGAAAGAGAGCTTCAAAACAGACTGCAGCGCCATCTGAAGCAAAGAGCGGACTTCCGGCGGACACTTTTTTGGCTGAGTGGACCATCTTGCTATGTACTATCTTTGGAGATACTACAGGGTAATTTTTGTAAACTTTTGAGAAAAACACCTTCTGTACTGATTTTGATGGCCATTGAGTAAAATATTCCTAGAGTTCAGAGAGGTCGCTCGATATGGGCGATTTACTTGTGGAGGCGGAACTCCTGGGTTTCTCCCAAAGGAACGTCCTCCTAAAGTTTTTTCCCTTGAGTCCATCCTCCAAGGTTCTCCCTTAAGGCTTAGGGGATTTAGACGCGGCAATGGGACCTTAGGATCTGTCCCTTCAAGTCCAATCCCATGTCCTTTGGACCCATTTCGCGCCATTGCCATGGAAAACAATATATTTGGATGATGTGCTTGCTATGATATATGTGTACTTGCGATTCGTGAAAAACGAAAGCGAAAGAGAAAACATTGGGCGAAGAAATGGTTACTGAAACGGCCTATTTATACACACACAAACAATAACATTGTGAAAGAATTATGGGAATATCCAGGCGACTTCAAGAAATATTTGAGAATGGCTGAGACTACCTCTATCTTCACCTTCTACGAATTGTAAGCCCACTTATTGAAAAGCAGTCGACAGTAATCAGAGCAGCAATAAGTCCTCACGAGAGGCTGGCCGCCACTTCACGTTTCCTGGCGACAAGAGGGAACTACATTACAATGATTTGCAATTTTCAACTTGCATTTCACCATCAGTATAGTGTGTTCAATAGTTGAAACAACACGGGATTTTTCGTTCTTTTTAATGAGGCAAGAAAAAGTGATCCGTACGCATTGACTTTGCCAATTTTGGGTCGCTGATAACAAATATGCAATAGTTTTTTAAAATTTGTAAGCAAAAAAAACACATTTTGTTTATTTATTTGAAAAAGTACCTCCACGTACTAGCCCGGGATGTCACGAACACTGGAAATGTCAATAACAGACCGCCGCCCGACGCGCAGACAGAGGCTGGGGGCGGAAAAATATCAAGCACTGCTTGATTTCAGGGATCGGCCCTGAGTGACGTAAATTTTGTCCCTCTCCCTACATCTAGTATCTAGAGTTCTTACTCCGACACTTAACCCTCCTCCTGCGGAGGCCGGGTTTATATCGCCCGATAAGCCTATTTCGGCACCTCGCCTACATTCAGGTCCCGTATCAGTGTAGAATGCCCACCATCTTACGTGAAATTGGGGTCCCGAGTCGGATCCCCATTCACGCAGGTCAAGTGTGTGTGCTTCAGTCTGCTTGAGTTTGTGTGCGTTTGCAACCTTTTTCTAGAACCACCTGCGTTGGTTCTTAATCGAGGCATACGTCTCATTCAAAACACGCTAAGTTGGTAGCTCTAGATGTTCGTCCAATGAAATTATAGAAGAAATTGACCCACTTAGACATGAGGAGCTCGAAAGGATAGTCAGGAAACAAGACTTCCATTTTTCTACAAAATCTTTCAAATGAGCTTGATTTTGTATGAAATGATACTACCTGATAAAAAATAAACTTGTTTGATAGTTTCGAATACCATTGTGCAGGTACAAAGAGCAATTTGAGTGCAAAATATTCGGAAATTGACCTATATTATCCCCTTTCGAACCTCAGGTCATTCATAACAACAAGAGCGTCCATAAAGGTTATTCGAATGGGCGTAACTACTCGTATGTCTCATCAGCTTGTGAGAGGGGGTTATTCATGTTTGTAACACTTTATAAATAGGAAGCTAAGAACGATAGAGCGTTATTTTCATCATCGTTTAACACACTCCTACGGTATTCATGGTGAAAACACACATTTCCCGGCACGCGCACTGTACACCAACAGTACACACTGAGAGACCCCAGCGGCCTGCCCGGAATGTCTGATGTAATCTGTTGCTGATAAGATTCGCAACAGACGCGGGACAAGAGGTTAAGTTCCTCCTTCAGGACATGGGATTGGACCTCTAGCTATGGACAGATCCAAGGGTCCGATCGCTGCCTCTAAATCCCTTATTACGGAAGTCCTCTCCCAGAATTAAACATGAGAAAGTAGCAGCAATGACAATGAAAAATGAAATTTTCATCCAAATTGCTTAAAAATGAGCTTAAATGAAAATAGAGTAAATTCTAAGAACTATGGTTTTTAAATTTAAAAAATCCATTGATAAATAAAAAAGTTATTGGGATTTTTGTTTGCAAAATGTTGGAAGACCTTCATATAGGAAAAAATCGCCAAAATGTGGGACATGTATTGATGTATTTTGAGGAAAAACTGTTCATAAGTCAGTAATGAATTGGGGCATATGAATGAAACTTGGCATCTTCATGTGATTTTTAGTGCAGAATCTAGTTCTGCTATCACTTTTTCGATGTCTTTATTACATAGATCTTAAAGACTGATATTTGCGTGAAATATAATGTTGAATTGCGTGACATCGTTTTTACCGCGACGCGATCACTCCTTCTAAAACTCAGTAAAGCGCTATCGGGAAAACCCGCGATGTAGTCATCGTGACATATTTGGTTATAGGCAGCCAATCACATGCCGCCTAGCGATCATGCGCCTCTTGCATGCCGGCACCTCGCGTTTGGAATGCGTGATCTAGTTTCCAGCTCTAGTGTTTTATCAATGCATGGGTGGTAATTTTAAGTTGGTATGTAACATCTACTAAATGCAGAGATCTGAAATTTTACAGCAATAAAGAAGACAAGTGGGGCGCTTGTGTGGACAGCGATCAACCCGCAGCTCCGCTTCTAGATTTCGAACCACAGAGGAGAACAAAATTGTACGCTTTTAGTAGGCTACAGTTGTAATGGAACGTTTGTTCACGGCACATAATTCTACAATTTTTCTGGGTATACCTTTTTCTGTTATCACAGTGTAGAATTCTGTGGTTTAGGGTGAACGCAAAATTTGGTGAACGCGCACCGGGTGAGAATAGCCACAAGACTCGCCTGCACTACTATTCTCACTAGATCTAGATCTAGGCCTTAATTTGCCTTAAACAAAGATCTAGAGATCTAGGGCTATAAAAAGTCGCTCCTCCTCCCAAGTCCATCAGCTTAAAATCTAAAAAATAAATCCCAGGTCTAGATTTATATATAATACAACTATCTCTATGATCGAGGCCCATTTAGCCTATCTTCTTTCACTTCCTTCCTCATATAACACTCTTGATACTCACAGCAGTCGCCATTTGCTTGATGTAATGTAAAATGTAAAATAATAATATTATGGTGGCACGTACAAGAAAGAAAAAAAATCTTTTTCCCAACTGGTTGACTCAAATTTACAAACGAAGCATTGATTTATAAGACTAACAGGAAAATATATACTTAACAGTCGTTTCAGGAGTATAAATGCTATAAAGCTAAAATCACTGCTCAAATTCAATCTTTTGTTTCTTATTATTGGCAGTTAGGTTGTTTGTCAGGAACGCCTACTTTTTGTTTACATTTACTTCCGGGTCGAATGAGTATTGTGTGTATTGTGATCTTTCATTAGGCCAAGATTTTAACTCAAACAATCCTAATGCTGTGACTGTGTTGAATCAATTGATTGTTTGAGGCCCTTGTATTTTTGTTGATCTACAGTTCCAAATCATGTTAAAATTTCCTGTTTAAGGGAGGGTGTTTTCATGAAGATCACTTACTCCTTTGTCAATGGTGAGCTGAAATAAAATGGAAGCTGTCTTTATAGTCGCTAAATCTCTAGCAGACCAATAGTAGTCGTCTCAAAAGAGCCAGACTTGGCCTACATTTCATTTAAATGTCTCTTTTATTACTTTTAGAAAGGACTTATCTTTTCCTGCTACTGCTAATCTTCTATTCCTCTACAGTAGGTAGTGTAAATGCTTATCTTTTCATCAGTTCAGGGGGCGGGGTGCACAACTAATTAATTCAAAACAAGCTTTTTAGGCTTAGACTTAGAGATCTAATCTAGAAAATCTAGATCTAGAGAATCGAGATCTTTTCCTTGATTGAAATGTTAGATTTGTTGTGTTTAACCTAGCATGCATACTAAGGGGTTATCCGGTTTTGGCCCCAATGGTGGCTCCACCGAGCGTTTTAAATTTATGATAATAAGATAAGATACATCTTTATTGTCCAGATCCTGGCACATTATTGGCATTGGTTTGATGTTTCACCACGTACACACATGCGCGCGCACACACACACACATGCTATGCTATACTTCTGGTTCGAAACGATTACTTTTCGCTGTGCGTGCCGATAAGATGCTTGACGCGAGGCGAGCGAGAGAAAATGTCAAACCTAATTGCCAAACATCAATTATGGAATACAGTACTGAGTATTAAAGTCAGTATAGACTAAGATTTACATTCTTTCTAGTGCTCTTCAGACTCTTGGGGCCAAAACCAGAGATTGCCCAATAAAAGTATGTAGTAGTGGCCAAGTTGCCCCTTGCTATCAGCCCTGTATCATCCATGACTCAGTTGAGAGTACAGTAGTAGTGGTATTGTTTAGTAGGATTGTGAGTCCAACCAATCTTTTGACAATTAAATGAACGAAGTGGCTAGCCGTACTTAAGTACGGCTAGACTGAGAGTCTAGCCGTACTTAAGTACGGCTAGACTGCAAGTCTAGCCGTACTTAGATCTAGGTTTGGCCCTATCGACTCAAGCCTGTTAAGTACACAGGTCTCATTAGATCTAGATCTAGTAATTATTCAGGTTCAAATACATGCAAGTCAGTAAGGCACCTTTTTGTTTTGTCTGAAATACAAATACTTTAGGCATTGCAAACTAAATATTTCATTTACAATTTAGCCATCAATATTAAGTACGGCTAGCCTGACAGTCTAGCCGTACTTATCTTAGGCCCTATTAACATTAGAAAACAGGAGGTTTAAAATACATGCACTGTCATTTAGGCACCTGGTTTCGTCTCAAATACAAATACTTTAGGTACTGCACACTAAAAAAGTATATTTACAATTCAGTAGGCCTATTTTTTGTTAAATGGTCAGTCTAGCCATCATATTAAGAATAAGTACGGCTAGACTGCGAGTCTAGCCGTACTTAAGTACGGCTAGACTGCCAGTCTAGCCGTCATTAAGTACGGCTAGCCTCTTCCTTAAATGAATGCAACTTACTACGTACTATTGTAGCTAGCTATGATATGAGGTTATGAGCTCATGTTAACTCAGTTTACTCAGATCGTATCGATCAGCCAGAATGACATTATATAAATATTCTATCTATTATTATATGTCGTTCCAGTTTACTCTCTTCTGTAAGAGTGACACAGACACAGAGTGATTAAATGCACATTTCCGTCCAGTTTTCCTCCAAATTTTTCCTTGTAATATTGGTCAAGTTAAAAATAGACATGATGATTGATGATATCTCTATGTGTGTTCTTTTTAAAAATTAGAATTTGACTCTTAAAAGCGTATTTTTTAATTGCAGCGCATTGTGTCACTGACTATTTTGGACAAGAATCTGAGTCAATTTCGAAAACAAGATTATCATTTTCCTTTACAATGCACTTTCTTTTTAAAATGCATTCACATTGTCTACTTCCCCGATGTTGCTCTTAGATCTTTGCATGGTGAATGAGGTAGATCTTCTTTTTCTTCGTCTTATTTAGATCTCAGTCTCTAAGACTAATGTAAAGGCTGCTGTTCACCGCCGGGTCTTCAGGCTCCCTAGGGTAGGGACAATATTTCCAGGTAGATCTAGGAGTCACTATTTTCCACGATAAACCATTTTAAGACAATTTAAGAAACGTTAAGACAACAATAAGACACTAATGAGACATGAAAAGAAATACCATGTTCTAAAACACGAAAAGACACTTTGGAAGTATGTTTAATGTGTTTATTAGCTGATATTCACCGCAACACATTTCAATGTTCAGCCAAAAATGTTTCAATGTAACACCAAACACGTTTCTTTCAAGTTGTACGATCAGTCCTTGGTCTTTGCACTTGGCCAGGTTTTCTGCTCTGATGAGCTGGCTGTCTCATTGTGGTGTTTCCACTGGTGGACTAGACCAGACGGCCCTCCTTTGCTTTCGCAATGAAATTCCTGAAAAGGGCATCACACTGTTTCTGTGTTTTCTTAAGAAAACCTCCGAAACCATGAAAAACCTCTGGTAATCACAAATCTGTTGGTAGTGCCCAAGTCCAACAAGTGACCTCCGCAGCTCACGGAACTGCGCCTCAACTGCTCTCTTTAGAATATTGCACAGGTCTGGCAGCTTCTGTTGCTGCCTGCCCACCTTCTGTCTCAGGAAATTATTGGCACTTTCAGCTAGATTGTTGTCCCACAAGCTGAGTTGACAATCAAACCTGGTTTGGTCATTGTGGTGGCATTCTCAACCAAGAGCGACTCCATCCTCCTCATATATATACTGCCTAACCTGAGCATTGTCCCTTCTGACTGCTGAGTAGTTGTAGGACATCTGCCAGGACGGAGGGATCTAATCTGTCTCCCTGGCCACCACACCACCTTGTCCAAAAACCTGATTCACAAGCTATGTTCGATGTCTTTGAGGCATCCCCACATTATCTCTGTGAAATGCATCAAAGTTTTTCCTGGCATGGACTGTACACTCGACTCTTTGAGCATGAGGAAATGCTCTTTTAATGGCAATCCGTATAGCCCTCCCTTTGTCGCTCCCGAAAACTTAACGGCTCTCCACCCCTAACGCACCTGACAGGTGTTGAAGATATTTTAAAAAATGTTTCAGCATCAGAATTGCCATCCTGAAACATGGGACTGAAGACGTTTGATTACTTTTGGTCACATGATCCAAAGGGAGCGTAATGTAACTCAAACTGAGACACTAATACAAATTGATTTAGCTCACTACTTGTGTAGTGACTCGGAATTCTTGGTAAATAGAATGTCTTTTCGTGTCATTTCATGTCTTATCGTGTTTTATTGGTGTCTTATCAATATCATATCGTGTCCTAATGTGTCTTATCATGGAAAAGAGTGACCTAGATCTAGATCTAAAGTAATCAATTGATACAAAAACTTATTGAACTGTAAATGATAGTGCAAATTTAATTATGGGTGTTCCGGAAAATATATGAGAAATCAATTCTGACTGCCTGAGTTTTAATGACAAATGAAAATGGTAGGATATCATTACCACTTCTTCAGTTTAGGGGGTGCACAATTATTTAATTAATATTAGCACAAGCTGCATTTTTTTCTAGTTAGTTACATTTGTTTTTGATTGGCTGAGCTGTGCAGTGCCGTCACACTCTCTTTCTGTTCTCAACAACATAGATATATATGAATTGTTTTGGGAACAATGCAACCTGACGTATTTTGTGTATACAAGCACACTGCAGTACAGTCTGGTGACTTTTGAGACACCCTGTTCATTGATGGGACTGGGTCACTGAGTGTGAGAGTAACAAGCTTTTCATGGTATAAATAACTTAAAGGCAACATGGATGAATTGGCCTGATTCTTTAAAGTGAAAATGCAACTCAAGTGAGATTGTTTACGTTGAAAGAAACACTTCAGTTACTTTGACACACTCCGAGATTACCTTTTTTGCGATGGACATGGGGAGATTCTGAACTCCTGATCAAAAAGCTACATTTTAAGTGATGCAATAGTCCACAATTTTGGTGCCTCTTGGTTTAATGGACACTTGTGGAAATTACCCCTGGAATGTTTTCTCGTAGGTACAGTGGTCTCTGCCTAAGATCCCACAGTCTGTGATCCGGATTCTTCGAAAGATTCTGCTGTTTTAAGAAAACAATATTTACAATACAGAATTCATCTGTAAGATCCTGCTTTGAAGGGACTAATATTGGCCCGGATGCCATATTTCATATCAGAAATTTACTGAACAAAAACATAGGCATGCTAAGCTGATCAACCAAGAAGATAAAATTTGTAATCATTGTACTGCGCTTCGAGTCACAGGTCAAACACGCTCATGAATGCAATCGCAACTCCGTTTAAAATCTCTCTGGGTGGGTGCAATGTTTGCACTAGATGGGATTTTGGACAGTTGAGATTGAGAGGAGGAGCACATGGGATCGACTAAATTCTTGAGACTCACAATTGGAAGATCCTTAATTTTTCTTTCTCCTAAGCTCTAGGATCTAAGGTGAAGACAACTGTGTTGGCAACTTAAAAAAATTTAGTTTGAGTACCCTTTGAGTGTCTAATGGATTTGATATTCCTGACTGTGCCTTGTGTGATAAGACACTCACTTTATGATACAACAAAAATAAATGAATGAAAACTTGGGCATTAACATTTATTTTATAAAGTTGTAGACTTCGGCCATTTTCTGTCAAATCATAATATTATCGTGTTTTTTTTGTCTTTTGTCCTCTGCCACCTTTTGGTGCCATGTGTGATTCATAACAAAAAGTGTCAATTGTAATCTCTCTATGTGAAATATTAGTAGAAAAGTACATTTTTTTAACATTTAAAAAGTACCCTGTAGGTATCGCTACACCGCAGGTGAATAATTATCAGGAAATAGAGAAGTGGCAAACTAAACAGACATTGATGTGTCTTCAAGAATGTTTATTTTTTTGTCTCCAGTAGCAAAAAAGGCAATGGATGGATTTGAAGGTTCAACTGAGGAATGGAAGAAACAGTTGATGAAAGTGACTTCAAAGTAAATTGATTACAATGTACAAAGGCAATGGACTAAGAATTGCCTTTTTGGAGGAGTTTGTCAGTGCCGTTTTCTGTTGAAGTTGATAAAACTACGTTGCAAGCCCGGTGCTGTTGGGACTTCCATTGGATCACCATGAAGGCATCCAATAACGAATCAATATTTGATAGGTGAGAATCTTCAAGCCAATTTTTTGAATGCTCAAAAGATATATAAAATTGTAATGTAAAGTTTTTTTGAGGAGCATGGCTGTATAAACCTGTTTGAATTGAAATTCCTCCGACATATTATGCTCTTAATACTAGTTACTCTAATAGCTGAAAATGCAAAAAAAATTGCTTTAGAATGTTGCTGTCTTAACAAAGTAAAAATAGTTTTGTAAATATTTTTACTTCGGCCATTTTGGCTGATCTGTGTGATATTCTAGTAGTTGTTTTATAAGCATAACTTTCAGTTTTGGAAGGTCTGCTGATCATTGATCTGGAACAGAGTAAATTTCTTTGCAGGCTGGTCAAAATAATTTTTTGGGTTATTTTGGGGGGGTGTTTTATTGCAGTGGCATATACCGGTTGTCTTTTTATTTGGAATTCTCTCTTTGTAACACATCTAGGTTGGACAATGAACTGCCACAGTCCACTGTGTACTGGATGCTTATCGCCATAGTGGCTGCCCAGGCATGGACGATCTATTTGACATACTACAACAGTAGAGTTTTGGGCCTCATCATCACTGCCATTTTGAACAAATTGGTCAAATATGGACACATCCAGCTTGGTAAGTGATAGTAGGTCATGTATAATGATGGTTTGTTCCTGCTTTGCCAACAACCGCCCACATTTCAAAGAAATTTAACAACTATTTCTTTTGTGGCAGGGTAAGGTGTGCTAATGTGCTTGTCTATGAGCACATCAGTCTGTGGTTAGAGCCTCACTTTTGAATGTGTGCTAGTGCTTTATCAATTCTGAAAGGGGATTGGTGCTTGGCCTATTTCTTTTTTAACCAGTGAAAAAGTGTTACATAGATTGTTATAGTAAATAGATTACAGTCGAACCTACCATGATGGCCACTTGTCAAGGGCAGCCACTTTTCTCCTTTACATTGGGTGGCTGTCTTACACGGGTTCGACTCTAGTGTAAAAAAAATGATGTTTCATTGGTCACTTAAACACATGTAACTACTTGTTGTCATGGGAACAAAGTCTGTTTCAGAAATATGAGTAGTAACAATAACAGAAATTTTATTGTAAAAGATCACTTTGAAAGTATAGTGACTACTTTAATTACGCCTTTTCTAATTTTTCTTATCTAAGATATTGTAAAGAGCTAGATGTTTTAAACCTTACTTTATTGATTTTTGTTCTTCTGGGGGGGGGGGGGCTTCAAAGTTGGGACCTGTCAAATTTTTTAAAAGGATCATCAAGGTTTAAGATGATACCAATTACTCCACATGCCCAAAAATTGACGAGCACCAGATTCCACAGCGTCATGATACATATTATGAATACCAGCTGTCTAAGCTGCCAGTTGTTTGTAGTAATATCAAAACACAACCTGTTTCAGTTTTCCAAATTTTTGACTGGTGAATTAAAAAAAATATGGTGTGTGAAAAAAACTTGCAAATTAACTAAATGCTTTTTTGAGAATATCAAACTTTGAAATTAAAGTTTTTAATAACAAAAATAATTGCAAGTTTCATAGTTTTTTCTGTCTGCCATTTGTGTGAAATTTTAAAGTCCTTACATTTATAAATAAAGCTATATAGTTTATAAACAAAACTTAAGTGTCAACAAGAAAAAGAAAGAAATCCTGGAGACTCTGAAACAATCCGCAAGCCCCGTTTATTGCTGTTAAAAACTCTTCATCATTTCACAGATAGAAGGGATTTAAAAATGTTTGGAAACAAAGTAACTACTTCACATTTTGGCTTTTGCTGCATGTTTATTAACAAAGAGCCTGTCTATAGGAGCCTTTGTGTCTTTGTACTCTGACGTTCTTCAAACTGGGTACTGAGGACTGTGATAATGCATTTGTGTCCACAATGGGGATTCAGATATTTTAAGTTGGTAAGAAAAAATATTAAAGGGCCAAGAAGAATGATTAATGTTCATACATACAACAACTTTAGCTCTGTGTCATTACTGTATTGAATAGAAAGGAAGGTTTTTTTTTTTTTAGATTTGTCTCTGATGTGATCCACATAAATGAAGTGTTTTGTTTTCCCCAGGGTCATTTTCCTTCTCTATTTTGTCTGGGAAAGTCATGTTCCGTGATGTTCACCTGATCACTGAAGACTTCTCTGTGCGGGTGGAGTATGGCTGGCTTATATTTAGGTGGTGGCGGCCCTATGTCTACAAAGAGCTTACTGAAGGTACACATCAAGGCTCTTTTAATGTTATTTCATCTAAGTGAAGTGGTAATTTAACTCTTTTCGGACGTAGTTTTTTGGGGGTCTAGACGTAATTCACTTGTGGCTTGATTTGGCTACACAGGTGGTGTACAAAATAACTTTATATGACATAACCATCACTCAAAACGTAACATGATATATCAAATTGAAGGAAATGGAATTAAGAATACATTCCAATATGAAACAAGGATTAATTATGAACATTATGCATTACAGGGGTTAGAAATGGCAAGGGCGATGAGAAAAATAAATTTTGACGGAAAAAATTACTTTCACCAAACATGTGAATGCAAATCAGCTTAGCTGTCTTATCATATACTGGCCAAGAGCATAATCCATAACTTTCTGAATGCACAGCTTTTTATTTGAAAGCAATATTCCAATTTTTTTTTTTGTTATGATATTTATACTGAGTCTGGTTAAATTGCTTTGTTGATGCAAGACCGCAAGAACTAATTCTCGTTTTTCTCCAAACCAACATTTTAACAAAATGAAACTAGATATTTTCGTTTCCTAAATCCTTTCCAAGTTTTCAATAACAATAAAAAGTAATTATAAGTGATGGATCATGTTAAAAGGAAACAATGCTGAGGCACCCTATCACATCCGACATATCGGCGATATGTCCGCAAGGTGTGTGGACTCGCTCCGATATATCGGCGATACGTCCGGAAAGAGTTAAATAGACTTCCCTTTCAAACTTTTTTTGGCTTGTGAGTAAAAAGATATTTTAATTCAAGGAACATTGTCTGTATAACATTGTGCATTTCCAGTTTTAAATTTTGCGTTTTCTTCTGCTCCAAGGTAGTCTAGCTTAGCTGTTTGTGTTATACAGTAAACTCTGATACAAAGAACTCAGATTCAAAAGGAGGAGATGGATTCTGAATTTTGTCTTTCATTAAAAATCAACACAATAACTTGGATTCAGCAAACACATAAATGAGCAAACTTGATTTCAACGAAGTCGTTTGTGGAGCGAACAAACCCTTCAGATGTTTCTTCATGTATTTTTCTCCTCCAACAAGTCTTGGCTACTCTGCTGTAAGCTAACAAAATGCCTTTTTTTTCACAGAAGTTTCAGAAAAAAGTTTTTTTGTCAGCATAACCATTTAAAAATAGAGCGATTCCGAAATTTGAATAATAACCAGTCACAGTTTGACTTTGCTTTTTTGACATAAATAGGGTAACTGATCAGGCTTTTGATTTAGGTTAAAAAAAATTTGACGCCAAAATAAAAAAAAAGGTGTTTTATCAGCTTATGGCAGTACTGTGTTCCAAGAAACCATGGATGGCACATGCACTGTGGATCATTACATGCTTAGCCTAGACCTTTGCGTACATCTGATACAACCAATCATACCAACACGTGCGTTGTTGACTCACGCACGAGACATGATATATTTAACGTGTCTCGGGGTTGGGAGAGGCTGGATGGACGATTTTGTGGCTGTTACTGCATGTGTCTAGGGGAAAGGGGGGGGGGGGAATGTAGGCACAGGCATTCCAGTTGTCACCAGAAGCGTCACAATCATACCCCCCTCCCCTACCACTTAACAGTTATAGGCTTGCTTAAACATAGAACTACATAATGAATTGCATGTCTGTTTGTAGCTTCAAACTTTTCTGTATGCTAGACCCTATACTAAACTGCAACTTATTACCCACATTGCTATAACGAACACTTGAATTCAACGAAATTGAAGGCTAGGGCTGACAGCTTGTTATATCTGAGTTTCACTGTACACGACCCGTACATTCTCTCAAATTTGATTTTTAAAAGTTTCATGTTGACCAGATGTGTACTTGTCACAACAGCTGTAATGGTGGTTTGGAAGAATTGCCCTCATTTTAATGCTTGAGAATCCCCTTACCCTCTCGTTGTTTATTGATGGGAATAAATGAAAGTATACTTGTAGTGGGTAGGTTTGAATTGCATTGCCTAAAAAATATTTGAAAGGATGAAGTAATGTTTGTATGCAGTATTGAAAAAAGAATTGTTGCGGTTGGTTTCAGATCTGTCCCACTTGAAGACAAGGATGAATCTTTCTCTAGATGGCTTTGAGTTTCATGTGTACAATCGGTCACAAGTCTATACACGCTTAGAAAAATTGTTCGGGATGGCTCAAGAAGAGGAAGAAGTGGAAGAAGAAGGAGAGCCTGCTGTGACAAAGAAAAACTCGTATGTATGATTAGACTGTAGTGATGTCCACTTTTTTCTTTTAAATTGGATCTTTATCGCTGAGAATAAATGTCATAGTTTCTGTGACATTATAGAATTTATGTTCAGGTGTGCTGTTTTCGTTTGTTTTTTTGTTTTTGTAAAGTGTTTTACGGCGCTCGCAACTGCATAGGTCATATGAGCGCGCGGGACACACCTAATATTTTCAGTTGGTAGGAAATTTTGAATTTTTCCGGGTGGCGGCTGAAGCCTATCTTATCGATTTTAGACCACCAAGGGATCTTTAACGTGCGCAACTTGCACACGGGCCCTCCGAGATTTTTCGCCCTTGTCCGAGAAGGCTAGGTGTAGATCTTTCCTACCAGAAGTTCAGGGGTGTGGCAGAAAGACAGCAGTAAGGAGGGGCCAAGGAGTAGCAGTAGAAAGGCTGCAGAAAGAGTCAGGAGCCCAGAGGAGGGGGCAAAGGAGGTGAGGGGGTGGGGACAGAAAGTGGAATTGAAAGCAGACAACAGAACATTGCTAGAGAGCAGGAAAGGAGGTGAAAGGAGACAATTTTAGAGAAGAAAATTTTTCGGTCGCTACCCGGATTCGAACCCGGGACCTTTGAACGAGAGGCTAACACCTTAACCTCTAGGCCACGAGAGCCCGCGTGCTGTTTTCATGTCTTAATGGGAAAACTAATTGTTAATAAGAAAAAGAGTTCTGAACTTATTGGCTTATTTATTTTATTGAAATTGAGGGGAGGACTGCAAGGAATAATCAAGTGCCTTTGTGAGCGATATGTTTTGGTTAAAAGTGGTTATAGATTTTGTTTGCTTATTGAACAAGTTATTTTTAATATGCTTTATGTGTTTTACGCTCCTTTTTATTGAAAACTGACATTAAATATAAGAAAACAAAGTTTATAAGTGAATTATGTTGTAATGCTGAATGTGATTTCGGATGAAGCTCATAATAAAGACCTTTTATAAAGAACTAAATGCTTTCTTTTCACGATGTCTTGCGGTGTTGATTACCATTTTTTAAACTTTCAACTTTGAGAAGTTGTCTACCTTGGCTTTTTCTGCATGAGACATGTGACAATATGTATGCACTGTTTTGTACTCTTTACCTTCATCATATCAAAGAATGTTTTTTTTTCTCTCCCCAGATTGTTAGATGTTCATTGGAGAGATTTAGTTCCTGTTACAAAAATTGAAATTTCTTCTGTAAGTTGTTTTTAAAAAAGATTATTTACTCCCCCTCCCCCCTCTGCCCTCAATAAGAGCAACCCCCCCCCCCCCCCCTTACTAAGAAAGAAAAAGAAAAGAGAGTGATGAATTTGTCTGAGAAGTTTAGTAAGAGGACACAAACTACTTGGATTTCTGAAAAGTTTTACGTTTTTTTTGCAAGGTGATGTGACAGATAGAATAAAAGAACAAGTTATTGTTTACATTAGGTGACTGGTTTGTGATAAAGATCAAAAGATGGTCAAAAATAGTTTAAGCTGTTCTGATTGGTATGTTTAGGCTAAAATGAAAGGATGTGTTTCTTTTCTGAAAACTGATAGTCTCTCTCTTCTTTCAGGGCCGTGTGATATTTGGAAACTACTTGATGCCGTACAGTTTCCTGTTCAAGTTTGACAAAGCCAATATGGTGTACACCACCAAGCCGGCCTCCACAGTGTTTGACTTGTTCATGCACACAGTCAAGTGTAACATGGAGACAGTGCGCCTCATGCTGGTGCCCAGCCCCAAGTATAACGGACCAGTGCAGGATGAGTGAGTACTTGTGGTTATATTTGTATTGGTTTTAATTTTGTGGAGGGGAAGTTCAAAACCGCCTGAGTTTAGCCAGTTCTTTGTATTTCTTTTCAATGATTCTGGTTTTTTAAATTCTGTTCTTTAGAAAAATGTGGTAATTATTGTGTTTGTTAACTTCACATACTGACCGCCATTTTTTGTCTGGTATTTCAAGCATGAAAAGGGAATGTGCATTTTCTATCTCACTATTTCATGCTGCCTACTGTTTACATAATGCTTTTACTGGTAAGGTTGACTGGAATAGCAAATGTAGTCTCCAAAAAAACCCAAAAACTTTTTTAAAGAAAGTTTTTAAAGAATATGATTTATTTTTGAATCACCATTAAAATGTGACATCTGAGATGAACTCTGTCACATATGAGAGAAGAGATTAAAGCAATAGAGAAAAGAGGTTTCATCTTTGTAATATTTTATTTAGATGAGATGATGCCTATGCAAAAGTCTCCTGAAACAAAATTTCGTGTCGTTTTATCATCATCTGCCTCTTTCACCCCGGTACTGGGTATATGCTGCCAAAGAAGGCTCTGCACCTGTTTCTGTTCTTGGTGATTGTCTCCACCTCCAGCCAGCTGTGCCCCATATGCCTGAGATCTGCCTCCAGATCTTGTTCCCAGGTGGAACTAGGCCTTGCTCTCTTCCCCCTCTCTTAGGGATTCCGTCTTCTTTTCTTGATCTCCCTGTCAGTTGGTTGTTGTGTGGTTTTCCTCCATTGTGCTGCATTTTTTATAAGGTCTGGCCCGTGTGAATTTTTATGGTCTTCCTCAGGCAACCATTAACGAAAAACTGTAATTTGTTGGCTATCAATTTTGTTACTTTTTCATGTATCTGATCAGTATAACAATGCACTTTTTACATCAGTATTGAAAATCCTGATCTTTGAAATTGTCGTAATGCTTCCTGATCTTCAAAAAAACTGTTGAAATGCCCTCCTTTGCTTTTCCGATCATGGTCTTGACATCTAAGATTGTTCCTCCCGTGCAGTCTATGACACTTCCCAAATATAAAAAAAGAGGTTACTGCCTCTGTGAGCACCTCATTAATCTTAGCGTACTCAAAATTTTATTTGCTCTTTGTTATTCCACTTCACTCTCAACAGATTTTTTACAGTAAGATTGCAACAGTGTGTGATGGTTTTGGGTGGCTGCAAGTCTTATGTTTCTGTCAAATTTACCTGGTTTATTTAATGCTTCTACCTAAAGTTTCAGACTTGATTCTGATGAATTAGCCAAAAAAAAAAAAAAAAAAAAAAAATGGGGAAAAGAATGTTTTTTCCATATATTAAAATGAGTTGCATTTTGCTCAAATTGCTCTATTTGAGTGTCGTCTTGATCACCTACAAGCTGTAAATAATAAATTATGGAGCCAGAGCACAAATATACATCTATATTTCTCAATTAGTGATGTCTGGGAGCCAAACGGAGGCTTCTCTAGCAATAACAGGAATATGCTATATGTGTTGCTATTTATAGAATAGTGAAAATAGATCAAATAAGAATTCGATTTGTGTCTAAAATAAGTAACCACTTGATATGTTGACATCTAGGTAAAAAACCAGTCATTTGAGACAAAGAATTTATTTATGTCTTGGTGACTATTTGTTTGCATTTAAAACACGACTGTTCCCGAGCGTAGCACTTAATTTCCTGAGTAATTGACCTGGTCATCCATGCCGCGCCTGGGTGGTCAGCGAGGTCACTTTGACCTTTGCTCTGCGAGTGAACTGTTGTGACTTAACAATTTTTATACAGTTTGATATTGTCATCGTGGCTTTACCCACAGACAAATCAAAGTCAAAATACTATCAACAGATAGAGGCATTCTTGGACTGTACAGTAAATAACTTTTTATTGATATTCATAGCTGGGCACCCTTTAAAACACGCCGCAATTGAGGGCAACTTTGATGGAAATTTTTACGCGGGTCTACTTTTTAAAATTACGATATTTTAAAATGTGAACCCCAGATCTATGAGACAATCAGTGGTATACAACAGTGACATGATGAGCTTTCAGAAACACTTACTTTTGGTTCGATTGGTTCAGAAACGTGGAAATTGTAGAAGATTTACTACTGTCCAGCTCATGAAACGAGAGATTTTTTGTTGTTTCCTCACAGTTCAAGCAGAAATAGTTAACATGTAGAAAGTTCACTGCTATCCAATTCATGAAACAGGAGTTATTGCCTCATTGTCTTCTCACAGCTAGAGCTGCTTTCACTTTTCACTAAAACAAATATGAATACTCATAACAATAAATGCAAAAGTGTCTTTGAGTTCAAAGGCTAGCTGTCTTCTTCTTCTTTCCCTTCAGTAACAGATTTCAACTGCTTCCCTTTTCCCTTAATTCCCACTGTCCTCTTCTCCAGTTTTGCGATGCTGAAGTGAACAAGTTCACCACCCTCCTCACTCATTACACCTAGATCTAGGCCAAATCCATTTCAACTGTACCTTTCTTTTCTCTGCCGAGGAGTAACGTTTTCTGCGTATCATTTGTGTAGCGGGTGTTTCTTCTAAATGAGACAATGGTTGTGTAATAGGTCTCGAAGTGCATACTCTAGTGATATGTCTTCAAACTGTCTTTGAACTCTTTCTGTGTACGTTTGGGTGTTGAAGTCGCGGCTGGGGTCTCTAGGGTTAGATCTGTGTGGGGAGTTTACTGGAGATATTTCTAGTGATGATTGATCTACTATGGATGTTTGTTGAGTATTTCATGTGATTGTTTGTCTGCTGCAATTACATGGGTCGGTGTTTCAACAGATGGAGGCTCTGGTGGGTCTTTTGAGCAAGATGGTGTTTCATGTACTTTTCTAATACAATCTTTATTTTGAAGTGTGCAAAGGGCAAGAACCTGCTGTTTTATTTTGATCGAAAGGTGTCCATATGTGTCAATTTTCTTCAATACGTTGTTGTGCAGCAGCTAGGGTTGCTTCTCAAATTTTTAAGGAGTATATGCGCTGTAGGCCTACACATTTGTTGCACAGTGTACAGGATGTGTGTCTGCACTATCCCACTCTACGTTCACATGATAGAGAACGAGTACGTCATTCTCTAAAATTTACACAAAAGTATTTGCTCATAGTTTGCCTTCTTAACCTTTTGACTTTTGGCCCTGCACGTTCTACACAATTTTTTAAACACTCAAAGGTGTAGTTCCCGCGTGTGTTCCATTTTCACTCTGGTAGCAGACTCTCGTAACACGTGTCGACACAGAATCCCAGAAAGTGAAAGCGGGACCTCAGGGTGAATACCGTGTTGGGCAGCGCGGCGGCCGGGAAAATATTACGGGGTGAAGTAACAAAACTCGCCGTCCTGCTGAAGTTTTCCAACCAATCAAAACAGTTTTTTCACAAATAACCTCCTCAATGACTCTTAATACAGCAGATAAAAAACTGGTTACAATCTGAAGTTCACGAATGGAAAAAAATCCTGATTTTGGAGGATTCCGAGAAATACGTGCATCACAAGGTAGGGTTAAGTACAGGGGCAGGGTGTGTTCTCGATTAGAAGTAGAACCAAACTAAAGGATGCGGGTTATTTAGGAGAATCTGAGCTTTCATTTGATACCTCACACACCCATAGTGATAGATAAGAGAGGACATTTACAGGGTTTTAAATCAAGTGAAAATTACAGACTTTCTAACCGAAATCGGCTAACAGCGCTATCGCCCAGGAAGCGATGCGCGGCCCGACTGTCAGGTGGGATTTATGACCCCCGCAGGTCAGCGGACGTGTTAAACTAAGTGCTCCGCAAGGATAGTAGAACCAAACTCTCTGGTAGAACTGAACAGCCGTGAAAATATGAACTAGTAGGTCATGCTTCTTGTATAGCTGTCATCCATAGCAACTGGTGTAAAATTGCTCAAGTTTTAGACAAAGTTTGAAAAATTGAATGCATTTTTATTTTGATTAGAAATAGAATCAGATTCACATATGGTTTTTTAAAGAATCTTCCTTCTATAATTTATAGACACGCAGTAAGAAGGTCAACATATGCAAATGACACATCCTACACACATGAGCATAACCACTACACTCAGTGACCCACATAAAAATTAATTGGAATTCTTTTTTTCTACAACCACCTTCTTGTCCTTGAAAATTGGCCCAAACCCATAAACTCAAAAGAGAGTACAGTTGAAATTGTCTAAGGTGACCACCCATTGTTGAGGATTAAAGTGGACATCCTAGACAGGTGGCCAACTAATATAAAGTATCATTATATTGTAAAAAAAACCAAACACACACACACACAAGGGGGAACAGGGGAAGAGGCTGAATGTACATGTGACTGTATTATATAGGTGGCTGTTAGGGAAGGTTCAACTGTATCATTACACATTTGCTATGAGGTTTGAAATAGTGCTTACACGAAGATGCATTTTAAAATTGATTATGTGTCTTATTCTTTGTTTCAGACCTCCACGGTACATGGGAGAGGGATTTGTTGTTTTAATGTCAAACTCTGTTGATGTGTACTTCTACATAGATGAACCAGGTTTGTAAGGATGTCTGTTAAAATATTTTCACTTGGTTAAAAAGTTTTTGTTGTTGTTGTGTGTACTAATATGTACACTTGAGAAAAATAAAGTACAATTATTGCAACTTGCAGTGACAGAAACTTCTTTTAGGTTTTTTTGAAACTTCAGAATCCCATCAATATTGAATCTGTCTGGGGATAGTCAGTGAAATAGGGCAGACATTTTAATTTTCTTTTAAAGATTGAATCTGTGTGAAGCGGGAAAGATTCTTTTTAATCACTCTGACTACCAATGATAGAGCGCTTCTCTAATTCGACGCTGATGTTTGTGCTTGTACTGGGAGGTATAAATTTTGCTGTAGTTTTTAAGTGCTTGTTAGACCCTTGGCCAGCTCTAGCCACATACCTGTATTTTGATTACTGAAACTTTGGGTAAAGATATTGTGAAATTTGGTAATAACCTCTGTCTATACATGCGTCTTGATAAATTCTCTTAAAGGAAAACTGGTTGTCTAGTTTGAAATAACTGAATAATTTGATGACTTTCATTTTTCATTAAAAAAAAAACCCTACAGGTATAGTGCAACATGAACCTGAACAGATCCAAATGGCTGATGGAGAGGTTTTAGTGAGAAGGACGTATCCGTGTGTTGGAGTCGACATCAAGTGTGGGAAAAACACTGACTTCAATTATGGACCATGGGTTGATAGGCAAAGGTTAGGTCATAACTTTACCAAAATGTTTTTTACTCAAATTAAGTAGGCTATAGTTACATATGGCCTCACTTTGCCTTTAAGTTGGTTAAGACACCTAAGACTTTCTGCCTGTAGAATGATTTCTGTGTTGACCTTGGTCTTTATTCTGTGGAAAGCTGTTTCATATACAAGCTGCTGTCTTTTTGCATGATGGTATAGATAAATGGACTGAAGTGTAAAAGTATGAAAAGTTTTTCTCAGAGTGTATTGGGTCCAAAGACTATGTCTGGAGAATTTGTTGCAATTAAAATGTGATTACAATACTCTCTGCCTCTGCAGTTGCTGCTGAAGCTGCGTTATAGAAGAAGTGGATATTTTTTCATCAGGTGTTAATTATAGTAGTAAAAGTCAAATTTATTTATCCGATCATATTGTTGATTTTCGTCTCGTCCCAATTCATGGATCAGCATGCTAGCTATATATAATGAACATCATGCTTTGCCCACCTTTTCTTCGGCATCGTTTTCTCTCAACTGTACCTTTCCATGTTCCTTTGTTTTGTTTTGTTTGTCATTAAAAGCTTTGGTACGGATGTCTTGATCACTTTGTCTTCATTCTTCTGCTATCCCTTTGCCATTTGCCTTGCACTTTTTGTTGTTGTTGACAATTATTTGAAAATAAATTATTTTGTTTTCTGCTTTCTTTTGTTGACTTTGATGCCATTTTCAGGTCAGTGGGCTGTTTTGTGTGTTTTATGTAATATATATGTGTATATTGGACTTCAATTTTATTATTTTGCTATGGGAGTGGTTAGAGGGTGCTACTGATAGGCCATATTTTAGTTCTTTTCCTCGGTTGTTACATTTTTGTCTGTCTTGCCTTTTCCCAGCACTATGTGAAGTTAATTGTGCTGATGTCCTTCTCTTTTCTCAAACTCAAACTTTAATTACAATAGCATAATGTATCGTTGGCTACATTGCTGAATTGCTAAATAAGATTTATGCGCCTTTTCATATGCATGGTTACCTCTAAATTAAAAATGTCTGTGAAGGTATAACATCATTTGCACAAATTAGTCATTTGGGAATCTAGCTTTAAGTTCTGCCGCCTGTTCCATATTCACAGAGAGCTGATCTGGAAGTTTTTCTACCCTGCGGACTACCAGCCTGTGGTGCCAACTCGCGAAGTGGAACCAGGAGAGAAGAGACAGTACAAGACGCTGGAAGTCAAAATGACCATCAATGCAATTTCCACTATTGACATTCTCTTCACAAAAAATGCTGTAGGTTTTTAAAATATGTATTTTTCATTTGTAAACATGTGAAGATGTATTATATTCGGTAGATTTTAAGCTGTTTAATCTCTCTTTTGTGAAAGGTTCATTTTTTATTCTAAAATACTTGCTTTGTGCATTTTAACATCTAGGTTCTATATTGAAAGGCCATTATCTGTTCAGCATAATATTTTTCATGTCCTTTAGACGCTGTGTTGATTGCAGTGTTTTGTTACCATTCACAGCTTTGGAAGTGTACTGATTTGGAAAAGAGAAGGACAATCTTCATGTTACAGAAGAAGGAGCTGACACTGTGAAAATATTAATATATAGAGCACCATAGATTCTGTGAAAACTAATGGTACCTTTATTTTATTTACCTAAGCTGTACTATTTTCTTCCTATGATTTAGGAGTTACATGATAAATTAGTTTTAACTCAATCCTTTCTCTGATTCTTTTGTAGATGACACAAGCCATCCACATGAATGCAGGGAAAGGATCATATGTGGAAGTGACCATTCCATGGATAATTGAAGAGAATGGTTATGTTACAAAGGTCAAAGGTCAGCTTATGTTGGTTGATGTTACCACCAGCATGTCCTTCAGGTCACTGATCGAGTGTGAGACTTTAGAGGTAAAAGTAACCTCTTTACAGAAATGTATTGCTGTTTTTTGTCCCTGCTTTGCTAATCTTGTTTACAAGTTTGAATTGATTTTTTTTTCTCTATCCCTTTTCTGCTGCATCTCCTGTTCTGTATCCATTGTTTTTCCAACACACTATATGCAGATGCTCACACATAATTTTCTTTTAGAATAAGCACACATACACACATGTAAGCAGGTACTCATATACCCGTGTCACACTTGCTCCTTGCTGTCTATGCCGATGTAGTAACATCTATCCCAGTTTGTAGGTGATCAGCTGTATGTTCAAATATATCAACTTGTAAATAAAATGTACGCTTTTTTTTCTGATTCTCATTCTTTTTAAATTCTGTCTTGAGTTATTCACTTCAAGTCACTCCCCGGCCCCCTCTAAGCTTTGTTATGGTCAAAGGTTAAAGGCGGTTACGGCTTGATACTTTTTAAACATTTGTTCTTAAACATTTCTATCTACTCTTCTATTTCCTCAACATCCTGAAAGATCATTTTAGTCATGATGTGCCTTGAAACAATATCGGACAAACAAATAAGTTGGAATTGATGAGTGTTAAGAAGTGGATCCTTCCTCTAGAACAACAGGAATATGTAGAAAAGAGGATTTTAAAGTACAATACCAATTTAGTTTGTGCATGTTGATGAGTTTATTTAATTTGTAGTATATGTCAAATTAGCATTATGTCAGCTGCTTTCAGGCCGGAACAGAATGGGATAATTGTAGCGCTAAAGAAGTAGAAGGAGCTGATCTCAACCATCGGTCCTTCATATTGCTGTGTAACTGTTTCAGTTTGACCTGAGTGTGGGCTACCCGAGAGAATGGAATGCATGCCAGGAGTGGTACCTGGACCTAACAGCTTGTAAGGCAGTCACTTATCTAATCTTTGATCTCAAGCCATTTTTCTCCGGTAAGTCTGTAGGTACATTTTGAGGGTTCAGTTTAAGAAACTCAAATACCACATTTGTCTAAAATCTACTTTATTTGCTCTTCTTTGGCGGTTGATCTTTCTCAGTCACATATCATTTCGATGTGAGGATTGGACCGGAAAAAAGTTATTACAATCCCATCTTCACATTAAAAAAATATCTGACAGAGAAGAATCTGCTGCCATGGGAAAGTAAAAAAAAAAGATTTAAGAAAAATGTGGCATATGGGTTTCTCGAACTAAACCATTCATTTGTCCAAGAATGTTGTTATTGTTGTTATCCATCCTGTAACTGTGAAGGTTATTTGGCACCCAATTCATCACATTGACTAAGTTTTATTGAAATCAATTCAGCTCTTAAATGGATTTGTTTACTCTTACAGCACATAATCATTCAAAAACAAAATGTGTGTAATCTGCTTTCTATTTCATTAACTACTCTTTTTGGTGACACTGATTTTATGGCACACTAATTTTGCAATGTTTCTTTGGGAGGGGTGACCTGGCTGCTGTTTACTTGGAAGATAAGAATGTGGAGCTCAATATGTCGTTTACACCCGAGTCTCGAAGAATGACACTATGATGATATTGATGATGATAATGATGATGATGATGTTTTATTTTGTATATTTATATTTTTTGTCTGTAAATCAAGCAAGCCTCTCCCTCCTACTCTGCTTTTTAAACAATTATGATGGTAATGATGGTTTAGTGTAGTTTGAAAAAAAATATCTCTAGTCCCGGTTTATTGAATGAAAATCTTTTAAAAGTTTGGCACACCCTAAAATTGTTGTTTCGATAGATAATGGAGTGATGTGATAATTATGTGTGGTCCATTTTTTCTCTTTTGTTCCTTTCAGATTTGATAGATGACTGGTCAAGCAAAGCTGCCCCTGATATTTACACTTTTATCCCGTACACCTGGACTTTGACCCTCATCATCAAACAGTTTGAGATTCTCACCATGGCTAACGAGAACAACTGGGTGGACACCTCGTCTCAGCATCAGGAAAATGGTGAGCCTTGGTTTGGTTTGACATCACAGAGTTGGGGGAAAGAGAGACAGAGAGTCACCAAGTTAACAGAGAGACAAGGAGTTTTTCCTAGATACTGTTTACCCTTCAAGTGTTGGTAACAAGTAGTCTTTAATGTAAGGGGAAATGATATATTTTTCACCATATTACGTTGGAAAATGTTCGAGAACTGGCAAACCAAGCAAGTAAAGGGGATAAATATATACATTTTCAAAACGTAGAATAGAAATAACAAGTCGAGTTCCTTTTTGAAGGAGTTAAAATTTTGGTGATATAAAAAAATGAGATGAATCAAAATAGCAACTTATATTATGGCTGATTAAATTAGCTGCTACACCACAGAACGAAACTTGAGTCCAATTTCATTGACCACTGATGCTTGGAGGACTAAAAGAGCTGTCAAAATCATAAAACAACCAGAGTTCCTTGGCGTGTGAGAATGTCATGCATAAAAACTAGGAAAGATTCATTTTATACGAGCAGAAATAATAATAATAATAATAATTGAGAACACTCAGAAAAATTCTCAGCTTCCGCGGAAGCATACAGTGCAAGCTGCGGATTTCACGCGCTCAAACACTATCAAACTGACAAGATCGTTAACTGTCTATAGCCGGGTACCCATTTCCACCTGGGTGAAGTGAGGAAAATTTATGCAAAGTGCCTTTCCCAAGGACACAACGTCGGGCCCATGACGGGATTCGGACCCTCGACCTTACGGTTGCGAGTCCGAGAGCCTAACCACTAGGCCACCGACGCCACAGAAATCAACTAACAAAAAGTGAGATAACTGCCCTATCGATGTATGCTTTCTTTCACCAGCCATGGCCATTCAGTTTTTCAACTTCTTGCACACTTAGCAACATTCTCTTCACATTCTCTTTCATGCAGTAGAAGTATTAGTATATTGTGACTGCTGATGCCAATTCTAACACACTTCGCCTCTCTTGAAATGAAACAGCTTAAGGGGGCTCGCGGGTCGGGTCTAGGGCCTCGGGGACTAATTTTCTCTCACTTTGAGCACTTTTTATTGTTGGTATTTTCTGATCCCTCTTTCAGTCTAGATTTTATTGACACTAGTCGCTGAATGATTAACATTAACAGAATTCAATTTTATTGAGTTCTACGTTGTGTACTAACATTTTTTATGTTTAACCTTGTTTTTCTCGAAACACCCCTTTTCACCACTTTTTGCTTCCATGAAAAAGTTGTTTCAGTTTGTCTTTAGTTAAAAATGTTGTCCCGTAAGCATCGAGCCCCCTTAATGTCAGTTTTTTTTAATTTATTTCATAGATGAGGCTACCATTGCTGCATTAGTTTTTTTTCAGTCAGTTTCTGCTTTGTTGAACAGGAAAGGGCTTATTTTTAACTGTTCTAATGCAGGTACAGAGCAAAACTGGTTTCATTTGTTTCATCTTTTGTGTCTATAAATATAATTCTTTATATTTTCAGCTCATGTTGCTTTTTGTGGAGAACTGTTGGACTTGTGTGTGACTTTTGACTTCTCAGACTTCATGCCTGTGAAGGTAGCCGTACCTTTGGTCATCAAGGTATGCAACATTAGGATGTCTGTATTTGATTATGTGATCCTTCAAAGTGAGGGTTAATCACTGAACAGTGTTCTATGGCAACCACCTTGTAAACTAAATCGAATTTTCCTTGTGGATATTTCATGCTGTACATTGTCATTTTTCAAGTGATTATTGTAGGTCGTAAGCCACTTAATAGTTTTGATGTGGTAGCCTGTAGCATACTCCCTTTCTTTTGCAATCTCTTTATGCTTAGATTATTGTATCAATCATGTGCACTGAATTTACTATTTGTCATGCATCACTGTAAAGTTATTTTTATTTAGTGCTGAGCCTTGATTTTTGTTATGAATTTATGATATAGTTGCTGGCACTAAATAACAAGATCTTTCAAGTACAGCTGTCATATTATTGTTAGCCATGAAAGCTGTCTTTGTGGTTCCTTACCATCATAGGCTAATTTCCGTGTCAAAAGAACTGTTTTCTTATCTTTTCAGATTTTTTCTTATCTTTTATCATTATCTTATATCTTTATCTTTTCTAAGAATTTGTTGTAACTGTGAGACACAGCTTTAAAGAAAAACTCTGCAATAAGTGTTTTGTGTCTGTGGTGGGTTGTTGATGGGGGCTCCGATGGGGTCTACTACTTCTTATTTTCTGTGTAGCTGGTGTCCTTATTGGCTATAGGATGGCTATTAACTGAGAATATTAGCTATTAGCTAGAACGAGATCCGAAATGATTATGTCTCAAAAGTAAGTTTTTGTTTTTGTTTTTGTTGCTTTCATCAATGTCTACTTTCTGGCTCTTATATGACTTAGATGTGTGGATTGTGGTGTAAACTGAAACCTTTAACTCATGCTGTGCCTTTGTCTGTACCAGGGAGAGACAGCGTACTGTCGGCTGTATCTGCCAGAGAGCAACACCATAAGACATGCTCTCATTGCCATGTCAGAGAACATGCGGGTTGTGGACAAGGAGGGAAACGACACGGGGAAACCATTTGGAGCCACAGATGAGAAGCAGTGGAGGAATGTCACTCTGAAGAGGTGAGAAGCTACTTAGCTCATTGAACCTTGGACCTTGATGTTTTCCAAAACCTCATCCCTGGACTATGCGCAAGCAGTGTACCTCAGGTGTGTCGGCCTAATGAGATGCTGAGAAATACTCACTGGCGTGGTAAACCAGACGTTTGGTATGCTGGAAAAGTAGGCCCTGGGGCGCTTTACGGATCAGGGTGTGGAGAAAGATGCTGGGTCAGGTTACTGGCCATATAGGATGTTGAGAAATACAATAGGTTGGTATAAAGGCCAGGGTACTGATGAATGTATTTAAAGCGTTTGTGACTTTTTCTCAGTGTTGGAGGTGTATTGTAGCCAGTTGTTATGGGAAGTCAGTCTATGTTATGTCTGCTAATCCTCTCCCTGGTTGGATGTTGACATTGTCCTGGCCATCACGAGGTGTACTGTCCAGTTTTATGTTATTTATTCCATATAGTTTTATTTCATGTAACGTTCTCTTTCTGTCATCTCAGCAATGGTTGGGTGGATTGCTGGTCGACGCCGTATGTGTTCCTGACCATCACCTACGTGTACTTCCCTATGCCGCTCCTGCTGTCTCAGTCCTCTGTAGAACGCGGCGCCCACCACAGCATCTCGGCACCAGTGCTGGAGGAAGAACTGCTGTACCTGAATCCTTCGCGGTCCGAGGACCCGGGCTGCTCCACAGACACACAGCAAGGCGGCGGGACCAGCGGCTGTGGTAGTAATGATGGGATGGAGGCGCCCTTTGACCCTGGCAATATGGAGCCTGATCTGATACAGGTGGAGCTGGAAGTCGCTCCGTCAGTTCTTGTGCTGTATGGTTCACTTCTACGTAACCTGTTACATCTCAAGGTCAGAGTTACATGACATATAAATTGTATAAGTGAGAATCTTATTTTCTGTTTGCCTCCTTTTTTTAGTCTCTGTACTTTCATCTGTGTTATTCCCCTCCTACTTCCAAGGTTGTTCAACCCACTGTGAGACTGATTTTTGCATGTCCGGCACATTTTTTTTTCTTTCTAGGATTAAGTGGGCATTGCTCTTCAGGCAGTCAGGTGCCGTGTGAAATATGCTCCTGGTCACAAAAGTGACTTGGTTTTGTTTAGTTTTAGGTTGTGAATATTACTGAATTTGAATAGGGCAGTTGGCCTGATAGGGCCTGCTCTTTTTTTACTTTACACAGTAACGATAGCTTTAATGTGTTCACACTTCTTATATTTTTTGGGGTCCTTTTTTTAAGAAGAGTTAGTCCTCTGTTTCACTTACCACTGAGATCAGTGTACAAACTAGAAATAATTTCAGGTACCTGCAGTCGCTTGCTAAGTTAAAAAAAAAACCCTGCTAAAAACATTGGTACAATAGAAAGGTTCCAGCTACTCTGTGGTCATACCCTTTGTGGCTTGAAATTTGGTTAAATGCTTTTAGCTTTTAACAATACATAGGAAAGTTTGATTCTCCATTTTTCTTCTGAATATTTCTTAATAACTATTGTTTTTCCACAGGAAAACTACTTGGGGGAGTATCAAAAGGCAACAGATTTCAAAGAGAGTCCAAGTAAGATGAAAGATATGGAAGCGAGTTATGTACATGTAGAGAAGCCAGATGACGAAGAAATTGCCTTTGATGCCAGGAAGTACAGACCGTTCTCAGTGACTGTGTCAGTCACACTCCATGACATACAGGCTCACTTAGCCAAGGTAAGGACCATATATTCCATAGAGGTTCCAAATTCACAACTTTTCTTGAATTTCAGAAATCTGAAATGTTCAAAGACTTTTGGAGTCTTTTTTCATGATAACAAGTTTTTCTATTTTTGTATGTGATGTGTGGGTGGTGTTTGATGGATGTTCCAGAGTGATTTCATTATCATCATCTGCCTCTTTCACCCTGATGTTGGGTATAGGCTGCCAAAAGGGCTGTCCACTTTGATTAGTTGGCCATAATCATAGGACTAAAATATGATGCACTTTGTATGTTAATACAGCTCAGAGCAGCTGGTTTTCAGGACATGTTGTAGATCAACAGGGCAGAATGCGGTTTATATTCACAAGTGTAAGTTTCAATGGTATGTTGTTTTTATTCGAACACAGAATATTTTAATGTGTAATGTTTCCTGCTTTTGTCGTTTTTCTGCAATTGACAGAACTGTTCACGGGATAATTTGCCATGTCCGAGTGCCCATGTTGAGCGCCTGTGCTTTGAGCTGGACAAGTCTTTCAAAGAGACAAAGTTACAGTTGTTGCTGTCACCATGTGTCCTGCTGGCAAAGGATCATCTGGAGGTAAGACCTCTCTGTTTCTATTGTATGATTTTAGATTCATAATTTACTGTCTCTAGCTATGAATGTTCAATGTTTCTGAACCTTTTTTCATCGTTTCTATCCCTAAACCAATCATGATTCCCCCTCTTCTGTGATAGTTGAAGAAAATTAATTTGGAGGCATTGCTTTTTCATGGCTTTCGTACTGAACTCACATGGTTGTGGATACTTTAATCTGTTTATATGCACACAGGTTCACAACATCATCATCAACCTTTTTTACCATTGTATTGGGTATGGACTGCCAAGAAGGACGCTTCATATGTCTCTGTTCTCGGCGGTCTTTTTCCACCTTTAGGAAGTTTTGTCCCATATACCTGAGATTTGCTCCCAGATCTCATTCCCAGGTGGATCTGGATCTTCCTCTTTTTCTCCTCTCCAGGGGGCTCCGTCTTAGGTTTTGTGTTGTTGCATTTTGGGCTGACTCCTTAAGCATACGTCCAATCTATTGCCATTTTTTTTTGTTTTACCTAACCGTCAGTTGGTTGTGGTTTGGTTCTCCTCCACAGGTTCACACAGTTTAGGATGTCATAGGATGTTCAAGTATGATAAAAGAGAAATTTATTATGCCTTGGTAACATTTTTCTTCTTTGTCCCCTCCTCAGAGAGGCTCTGAGCAAGAGCATTTACGCGATGGTCATCTGGCCCTGTCTGGGTTACAGGTCAGAGGTCATGCCATGTTCTCTCTGGAGGGGCTCCCCTTAGAGAGTGAAACTCTGGAGTACGGGTGGTTGATTGAAGTGATTGTTGGAGAATTAACCGGCAAACTGAGCACACCTCAGGTATGTACTGTTGTGATGCTTCTTTTCTGCAATTCAGAGTTTAGATTCCTATTTTTCTTTGTGCAAAAAAAGATGAATCATCTATAAATACATCATAATAGGTGGAACATAAATGATCTTGATTTTTGGCTATGCACCTTGTACTTATTTGTGTCCCTGCCGGTCAATATCAGTCATATAAAGGAAATTTCAAAACTGAGTTAATATTATTTTCAAAAACTGTCACCTTTTCCCTACAATTTAAAACAAGAATGAAGTAAATATGACCTTATTTAACGAAAATACAGAACTTTTAATTGTGCGAGGTGAGGAAACACGAAATGGAGAAAATGGCCTCCGAAGTTGAGCAACATGTTTCCAGAGCAATGGGGGTCTTAGAATTGAGATAGAGACTTGAAATGTAGCAGTTATCTTGGCTATGCCACTACAATGTGACATACAGAAGTAGAAAACTATTCATTTACAGAGAAAAAACTTACAAACAAAACAAAATTTTCACGAGAATGGACTTCACGTCAAATGCAGCAAAATATACTATGTACCAGATACTACATTTTCATCTGTTTCATATGAAAGGCCTGTGTCTCCGGAGAATTTTGGTACCATACTTTTACCTCTCAGTCAATGTTTAAGAGAATGGCAACTGTTTCAATTTAACATAATATTGCTGATGTCGCTAACTGGCTGCAACCCCATGATTGACAGATAATTAAAGAGTACTAAGTGCACCAAACATCTCTACATTAACAGAGTACAATCATTATGATAAAGAAATGAAGCCTAATTTTGTTCAAGACTGTGAGATCATTACAAATCAGTATTTTATTACCTCAAACACAATGATCTGTCGTTATTTCAATAAAAATGCCGAACTTTGTCTCGGCCAGGGCCGCATTGTACCCCGAGGTGAGTGAGTCGGCTCTATAGCCTACTGTAGTATACTGAGTGCTCCCCAGAGTTTCGCGGAAGGATTCATGTAAAATAATTCCAAGCCGATGACTTTATTCTAATAGAAAAAGAACTGTTCTTTCTATTGGTACCTTTTTTAACCGGTATTTTACACTTTTCGTGTTAAAAATGATCTTTGAAAACTTAAACACTTTTTTTCAAGGTTTTCTATCCAAACGCCAAAGGCCAAAAATAATAACCATGGGAAACCACGCTCAAAGCTGTATAGTTCTCAGCCAATTAAAAGACGGTATCTAATCATCAATCTTTCTGCAAAGCATTCAAATGCATGGGTGTCCATTTTGAACCGGGCGACCTCGCATTCCGACAGCGAAGGGCTTCCCTTTCCACGGCAATTCTCTAGCTCGAAATAATCGGATATACAAACAACTTACTCTATTGTAATGAAGAAAGTCTGAACTTTTTCAAAATGTTCAGCATTTGGTGTTTTATAGCAAAAGAACAAAGAAACAGAGATCTGAATTACCCCCATTTTACCGAAACCAAGCGCTTGGAGGGCCACAAGTCAGCTTACGTTCCCTTTTTATGCTACCTAATTATATGTTTGCAATAGCACCATAAACACACGAGAGCACACACACACACACTCACACTCACACACACACACACACTCACACTCACACACACACACTCACACACACACACACACATACACACACATACAAACACACCAACACACATACACACATATGCACATAGACCGCCTCTGTGGCCTCTTGGTAAGGAGTCCGCTTTGAGAGATCTAATCGAAAGAAAATGGTAGCGATGATCATAAAAAAACTGTTGAAGATTCCCTACCGCGCGGCAATCTCTGACTGAATATTGACGTCATGGTCACTATTTTTAGTACCGGGGATTCATTTTGTTCAAAACAAACTAAGATTTACAAAATGGGGCGTCATGTGTCCTGCTTCATAACTAAACTGCCAGAAACACATCACTCAATATTGTTTTTCGGTTTGGAAGAGGAGAAGCTTGTGGTTACAACGATACTAAACATGTTAGGGTCACGTGGAGACACGTTGTCATCACCATCTAATTATGAGCTCATTTGGGGCTCATTTCATGAAAAAAAATGGGCCCTACTTTGAGGAAGGTAGGCTACCCTCAAGGAAATAAACCTGATCCGATTTAAAAAAAAAATTTTCTAATGGAAGTCAGAGGGTATTGGTTCCTAACATATTCAGGTACCTGAAAATGTAAAAAGTTTAAAAAATTGATATTTTGACCCAAACATCGTATTTTGAAGACCCGTACCTTCCCTTAAGCAAACAGGGGTCATAAGTGGTAGGATCTTACCAGAGACTGCTGTACTGAAATTGTAGTATTTTTGTATATTGGATTTTAAAAATGCTACTAAATACTAAAATTGCCCAGTTTCTAAAACTATCCAGTGCAATTTTGAACTGGTTGAATTAGAAGTATTTTTATAATCCATTTGCTTAAGTTTTTTTATCACGTCTTTACTTTTTTTTTCACAGCTCCAAAATATAGCAGAATTCCTTCAGAGCTTCATCATGACAATTGAGAATGCAGAAAACAAGCTCCAGACAACACTCCCTTTCAACCGATGTCAGCATATGATCTCTCAGGAGGAGTGCTACGATTCCAAGAAACTCCCCTTTCTGTGCCCGTCTTCAGAAGATGTCAAGTACCAAATGACTCGCGTGTCTTTGGACTTCCTCAACATTTTCTTGGTGGAATCAGGGTCTGCTTTGAATGTGCAGGTATGGGTGCTTGCAGATGTCAAATATTGCCCATGATATGAAAGTAAGAGGTTTGGTTCCATGTTTATGTGGATATGGCAAGTGGTTATGTCTCTTAAGTTTTTCATTCCTTTGATCTTAGAATAGATGGGATAGGTCGCCCGGTCTTATCGGATAAGGAGATCCTTTATGCTTGTCGGGCACTGTAAAGGCACATTGAAAAATAGTTGGCTTGTTGCCGCTGGATGCCTGAGCAAAATTCTAAATTAAACCCTATTCAGAATTTTAAAAAACAACTATTGAAAGTGAAAGTAACTTTAGATAATATCGCAAAAATATGGCGGAAAGGTGAAGGTTATTACATATACGTAGCAAATATCCCCTGTATGTAAAAATCAGTTGCCTTATGGGTTAAAGTACCCGCAGTTTACTACCTCTGAGGTCATGTGGTGGAAGTATGGGATAGACAAAGAATAATGTGTAGTTCTTGTGAATCATTAAGGGAACTGACCTAAGATACTAGTTGAATTGGTCTAATAGTGAGACTTCTATAAAAGTAAAAACTTCCACTGCATTTTGGGTTGTACTCTGCATGTGGGTTTCGTTGGTGGAAAGAAAAAGCACTAAATCCTTTTGTTAAAGAAGGAGAGCCTGATGTTAAAGGAAGTAGTTTCATAGTTTGTTGTGGTTGTACTGGCTCAGTTTTGTCCCTATTAAACATTTAGAAATTACTTGGATTTATCCTGTTGCCAGAAGTTTAGAAGTTCAAAATTTATGAATAAATAAATCAATTGTGTGGATTTTGGGTTTTTATCCTCCATCTGGTCTTGTAGTTTCATTCCACATAAGTCTTAGTGATCCATAAATATTTTTGAAAAGTTTATGGGGCTTATTTGTAGTCCCATTTCAATATTTACAGAAAAATCACACTACTTCATTTTATCTTAATCCCTTGGTTGTCTAGCTAAATTCAGTCTATCTCATTCCCTTAGGGGCAATACAGCTCTGTATCCTTTTAGGCACATATGGCTGTCATATATATATGTGTGTGTGTGTGTGTGTGTGTATGTGTCATGAGCAGTAGAATCAGACGATCGTCAATTTTTGGTTATGTGGAGTTATTGGTATCATCTAAAAGCTTATTCATTTGCAGTCCTTTCAATGAAAAAAAAATACCCTGTATCTTGTACTGAAGTCGAGATATTTACGATTGAAGAAGGTGGGGTCGCCTGGTTTCAGTGGTAAAATTACTGAGAAAATGGCCTCAAAACCTCTGTAACTTCAATAGCTTGAGAGTTGTTGAAAACTGAAAAATTACATATTTTTTATACGGACAGTAAAGGTGTTGAGCCAAAAAACAAAAATTCAATAAAAATTGCCAAACTGGCAGAAAAATGCCTGTTTTTTCGATTTTATTATTTTGATGAGCGCCTGATTTCACCATGATGCCTCACATGTTTATATATATATATATATATATAGTGTTGGCACTTTTACTCAGGGGTGGGGTAATTGCTGCAAAGGAGTCTTTATCATTTCCTCCTGTACTGCTTGTCTTTCAATGTTCAGCATTACCAAAGAAGTCCATAAGTACTGAGCTAAGGGACAAACTGTTGGCCACCAAGAGAACCCAGGGAAAGACTGTAGTCTTTGTCATAGAACAGACAGGGATCAATGTCTGAAGAAGACCCCTAAAAAGTATTATATTCATTCAGCAATTCCCCCCCCCCCCCCACTGTCTCCTTTTCTTTCAGGTTCACCCTGTGCGTCTTGCACACTGCAACCTGCATGGCCCCAGCACGCGAGCTGGCATCACTGGCATGATTGAGAAAGTGGAGCTGAAGCAGTATGTGTCCTGTACCTCCCCGGGCAACAACCTGCACAACTGGCTAGAGGCTGGTGGACTGAGCATGGGCCCAGTCATGTTGGAGGCCGCCATGGCCCTAGCTCACCCACAGCTCTATCAGGTGGGTGCAGCTGGATTTTTGTTGTACTGAAAAAGACATGTTTTTGGATGATGCTCTTAGAATGTTGAATTGTGTGATGGGATGTTTTGTTTGTTTGAAACCCCCCCTACATGAAGATTCAAAGTGAATGTGGCCTTTTTGTCTATATTGACAGATATTATTTTTCTCTTTGCCCTCTGTCTTGGTGAACCAATTCTCTGATATTGGTCAATGGAAATACTAAAGTGTATTTGTAATTAGTTGTATTTAATTGTTCCTAGAAAATTTCGCTATGACTGAGGAGAGGCTGATAAAGGATAGAGACATGATAACAAGTATTATGCAAACTGCAGTGGTGATGATGGTAGTGACAATTTTGCCAATGATGATGTGAAGTGGATATGGTAATCATCTACATACACTATGGCTACCTGTTTTCACGAATAGTAATATATCAGGTTTGTATAAGATAAGATATGGAAGTGATTGTATGAGTAAGTCCTAAAAAATCTTTTATCTCAAAAAGGGGTGTACAAATAAATATAAACACCGAGTCGGATAGGATAAGATAACATGTTACTGGTCCTGCTTTAGAAAGAATGGTCTGAGGTAATAAGGGTTCAGCTTCATTTTTTATTATAGCTTATCATTCTCTAAAAATAACAATATCTTCTCAGAATCCATTTCATCAATATCATATTTTATAGGCTACCTATCCTCCTAAAAAAAATAAGCACTAATTCTTGAATACAAGTAAGTTTGCACATTCTTTTTTATATCTCTTTTTTTTCCGTATAGCTTTAATGGCACTAACTTCTTTAAATGATTATGGATTCATTCATTTGTGTTGTTTCAAGATCATTGAGTCTCATAAATTGCCATTGCAAAATAGCAAGGTATCATTCAGTCATGATCAAAGAAAATCAGTATTTTCAGTGACTCAATTTCAATAAGAGAGAAGCATTGAGAGTAGCATCTTGTAAACATTTGAGGTTTTCATAACATAGATTTGATTGAGATGGTTTCTAGGATATGAATTTTGACCATGTTAACTGTTACTATTGTGACGGGAAGCATACATCCTTCCTGGGAAAGTGTCACAGTTTTTTAATCTCTAAAGAAAACATGACGGGCACAGAGTAGTGACCGGTGTCGTATTTCGATCACTATTTTTTAAAGTCTGAACTGAATTTTGTTGTCTCGACAGAACCAGGACAGATTTCTTCGGCTCCACGACAACAAGACCAAACGTTTGTGGTTCCTATGGCAGGAGGCTGACCTGTTCTCCGCACCTCCCCCTGCAGTTATCGGCAAATGTGGTTGTCTTGGTGGATGCGTGTTCTTCGGCAAAAACAAAAATGGGCTCACATTTTTTAAGCTGAAACGGCACAGAGAGGGAAGCCATGTGGCAGTACCCCAGGTTTGGATACAATTTCTATTATTCCATTACATGTATATATGTTAAGATATTGCCTATTAATTCAGCAAAGAGGGTATAAACATGGCTCTTTCACCATGCTGCATTGTATGATGCTTGCCCTTCTTTCCCTCTCTTTGATTGCTCTTTTGTCAGTGTAATTTGTTATAATTATTCTTTTGTTTGTTCTGAACTTCTTTTCTGTTTCACAATGATCTAACTTCGTGAAAACTGGCAGTTGTCATAGTGATATGTTACTGTCATGAAGAAAGAGCTTTAATAAAGGATTATTTTGAACAGTGAATCTATGCTTTAAGTTCTGCATCATATATTGTAACAGTGATCCTTTCCATTTCATGCTACAGGTCTGCAAAGATGGCAGTGATCCTGGTTTTGGTCAAAGCCTACTACATGCAGGGAAGTTGGTGTTTGAGACCAGCACCATGGCTCTTCGCATGTCTCCAACCAAGACTCCCACGGAGAATAATGGCTTTTCCTTCACTCGAGGCTACATGAGTGAGCTTGCCAGTCCTGAAGGAGGGGAAGAGAACTGCTGCATGCAGGGTAAGGTGCCTCGTCTCAGCCTCTTGCTTACCTATCCATTATTATTTTCAAACTATGTTACTTATTTACATGTTGTTAATTTTAAGCTGTCACTGGTAACAAGTTCCCTAAATGTCAACTCATGAAGCAGCTCAAAACTGGCCCAGCTCTCATTTAGAATCATATCTTGTCAAAATATGTACACACTGTTAATATTGCAAACTCAGAACTGGCTCCTTTTCAATTTTGGTTTCCGTTTAACTGAACTATATGGCTACAGTTGAACTTATGTTCAGTTATTTTGTTGTGGGATCTCTTTCTAGCCTCTCATGGACAACAAAACTGTGGACAGTAATACTCACATCCTAAATTTTTTCCGTTTGACTTGAATGCTCCGACTACACTGCTTTAATGATTCATTAATTTATTGCTTGCTTCAAAGTCCTCTTTTTTAAATGCTTTTTCATCTTGATTATGGTGAAATGAATTTTTGTATAAGAGAGAGGGTGTGGTAAAGGATTTTATATGGAAATACATTTCCTTATTGGTTGCTGACAATCTCAACAAAAAATTCTTTTGTTTATATCCTACATGAAAGTGGCATGTAGAGACTGCTAGCAAGATTTGACACAATTATAAATGCAAGATAAGCATAGACTTAATTAAGCTTGCAAAACTCAGAAAATAAACAGTCACCACCATGTTTTCTCTTGTCATTCCAGTAGTTCGGCCCGGTGAAGGTGGTATCACTCTGTCTGATGAGCTGAGGCCAAAGTCGACGTTCAGCGACACTCAGACCCTGCTCCCCGGCAGTAAGACTGGGGAAGTACGCAGATACAGCAAAGACAAGCTGCTCATTCGTCAGAGCTCCTTGCCCTCGGCGGCAGAAAAGTTACCCTCCTCACAGCAAACTGCTGCAGTTGGGTTCGGTGAGCAAGCATTTTTATTTCTAAAGTGCAAGGATTGTAATTTTGTTTAGAGCAAATATTTTTATGTCATGAAGAGCGGAGCCTTACCTTTTGAGATCACTTTTGTAATTTTAAGCTAAATTCATGTTGAAGTATTTGCTCTTTTTTATCATTGAAAGTTTGCTTTCTCTGCTATTGTCAATTTCAATATGGAGTTCATAGTTCATTAGTCTACTGGCATATCATCAAAAGCATGGACTTAGATCGAGAAATAACAAGACTGTAAAAATGTGATTTTTTACAGAAACAGATCTGCCAAGTACTCCTATATAATATGAGCCCTCCAATTTTTTTTTCTCATAGAAAAAACACAGTCAGATTTGCATCTTTTTTTTTTTTTCTTGAATTCTATTTTCATCGGTCGTACACAACTTATAGTAAATGATGTGAAAATACACAGGTGTTTTTACACTATGTGAATAACATGACATAAATGAATAAATACACATTTTTATTTGCTTTCAGAAATGCGCTCAGGCTCCAAAAAAGGCCGCAGGGCTCGCCCGCCTCCCTCTGGCAGTCCAGCGTCAGTGACCAGGCAGGGCAGACCGCCTTACTACAAGCCCATCCCTTCCGAGTCTTTGGACTCGTCTTCCCCTCCTAGCGTTCTTGGGGCTCCCCTCATCCGACCTGATTCAAAGGTCAGCATGGACAGTGTTTCTTACTTTACTGCTTCAGAGGAAAACTCAGACTCGGATGGGAATCTCACGTTGACCCCAAAGAAGGATTCGTTACCGGCCACTGGTAAGTGATGGAAATTAGGGCAGTAATTTACATTTCTTGTTTCTGTTCCCGAACTTTTTGCAGTAGTCATACATGAAGGAGAAAACTGTTAAAACTTTCAAGTAGTCTCATAAAGTCTTCACCTTCATACAGGCTGGGTATCTAAAGTCTTGGACTGACAGTAATTTGGTTTAATTTCAGCTTAAATCGAAATGTTTCCTGTACGCAGGTGTTCTTGTATTTTTTTGGGGGTTTCTCACTATTATATTTACAGCATTTAAAAAAAGTATTTGCCTGAGGTGGTGCTAGATTTTCAACTTGTTGATCCTTTTAGCTTTACTCTTTGACCTATGCTTTTTCATTTAGAGTGATGTATGGTTGTTTTTGTGAAGTCTCTCTTTATGCTAATTGTATGAATACACTAATGTTTATCTGAAGTAAAATTAAACAAATAACGAGATCTTCATATTTCCTTATTGTATAATACCAGATATTTGTTAGAATGAAAGTTTGTAGTCTCAAATTCCTGTGGCCTACGTACTCTTATTTAATGCATATAGTCGGCCAGCTGTTGAGATGAATGAAGCCCAAAATTTTGAATTAAAATTTTTTTTTGCGATTTCTTAATTCAAGGTATCGGTTGCATATAGATCTAGTCATGAAATATTTGGTAAAAATTCAAGTTCTTGATGTTGAAAAGAGCAAGAAAAGATACATAACATAGGTACAATTTGTAAAAGAAGTGAAACAGATTTTTCCTCTCTCCTTAAAAATTTTTCTTTCTTGGCTTAGGACATTTGAACAGCTTGTGATTTATCCTGCCCATACCTTTTAAAGCAGGGACAATAGTTATGTGGCAAAGAAGTGCTTTATGTAAAATTAAGTTTATAGTGTTCTCAGACACCTTTGGCAATGTAATATTCTCAGTTGCTTTGTTTTTTTTCTTTTAACACAAGTTCCAAGTTTTTTATTTTTTTGCTTTCAGTCATTTAATGTCTTTTTCTTGATCTCGTTAAAGGTTTTGAAGCAGATGAAGACAGCTACCCCAGTACAATCAAACGAGCTGCCCCAGGCCAGCCCTCGGGTCTGAGTTCTGTATTTGGCAAGAAAGGTCTCCACCAGTCTTCCTCAAGCGTGTCATCAGAAGACAGCACATTGTCCTACTGCTCTGCCCTCACCGACCACGACAGCGAACTGACCGGGAGTGAAGTTGATGAGGAGGAGGAGCTCCTGGACATGATCAATCTGCACAGTCACATGGACCTGCCCATCACGGAGTCCCCCTTACTGCTCTCCTGTTACTCCCAGCATCTGTCACATTATTATTGTCAGGTGAGTGAGTGGATTAATGAAAGACTTGAATGAGGTTTAGGGAAATAGAGGTTGAAACACCTGAAATCTACAAACGGAGTGGAAACTTCTAGTATTCCAGCACCTTGTTCACCATGGAATGAGCAGTAATGGGAGTGCAGCTTTCTGCTGTGCCTTTTTATCCTAAGAGAAATGTTGAAATACAAAATTTGAATTTTTTTAAAAAGTGGCAACGCCTACTCAAGAAGTCCTCTTTAATATGATGATTTTTCTCTCCCAACTTAAGTTATACGTGTCATGACGCTGTGGAATCAGGCACTCGTCAATTTTCGGGCATTTGGAGTTATTGATATCATCCTAAAAGTTGTTCATTTGCCTTGCTTTCGATTTTAAAAAATATTAATTTATCTTGAATAGAAGTCGAGATATTTGCGATTGCAGGTGGGGTCGCCTGGTTTCAGAGGTAAAATTAGCGAGAAAATGGCTGCCAAAGTTTGGTGACTTCCATAGCTTAAGAGTCCTTGGAAACTGTAAATTTAAATCTGTTATGCCTGTAATCAACGTTTTTGAAAAAAATTCACACACAAGAGCATTTTTGAATGGACATACAAGGTGTTGAGCAAAAAAATATAAGATTCGAAAAAAATTTCCATACTGCCCGAAAAATGCCAATTTCTCAGATTTCATTCTTTTCCTGATTTCACCACAAGGCGTCACATATGCTTTTAGTTTCAGTCATACTAAAAATCACTTCTGTAGTCAGAGTCTGAATTCTCTTCATTATCAGTTGTAAACACACACAGGCACACGCAAACACACACAGGCACACGCAAACACACACACAGACACACACACACTCTCTCTCTCTTTCTCTCCCTCTCTCCCTCTCTCTTTCTCTCCGACACTTACGCTTACACACACACACACATGCACACACACATGCACACATACACTCGCACACACACACATATAATATATACACACACACTCACTCACACACACACACACACACACACACACACACACACACACACACACACACACACTCACTCACTCACTCACTCACTCACTCACTCACTCTCTCGCGCACTCGCGCACATGCGCACACGCGCACACGCGCACACACAGGCACACACAGGCACACACAGACACACTCTCTCTCTTTCTCTCCCTCTCTCTTTCTCTCCCTCTCTCTTTCTCTTTTACACTTACACACATACACATGCACTCACACATATGCACACATGTACACACACATGCACACTCACATGCTCACATACACTTGAACTCACACATATATATACACACACACACACTCACACATACACAAACACACACACTCACTCACTCACACTCACACACACACATACGCACACACGCACAGACGCTCACTCACACACGCACGCACACACACACAGCTTCACATATACATGCATGCACACTGGCTCACATTTAGTGGCAATGAAATGAGTGCATGTAATTGTGTGGTTAATCAGTTCAAACATTCTAAATTTAGAACTGTACTTTTATATTTATAGAACCGATAAATAGTGTGCACCATACTTTTTACTCCCATAAAATGTGGCCAATTTTTTTCCTTTAGGACTGGGCCTCTACAGGCCCTCAGCTGGCAGTGTATTCCGGCCGTGGCCAAGGACTGACCTCTGTCCAGTCTGAGTACTCCCTTTCATCTGCTGGTCACTCCATCTACAGTGCTGGAGCTGCCTGGACACCTCACTTCCTCAAGGTCAAAGACGGTTTCAGTGTGAATGTCATGAAGCCGCGGGCAGACATGAAGGTATGAGTGAGTTCAAAGGTGTAGCTAGGTTGTCAGTGTTTTATTTTCTTTTTTTTTCATGTGTGTGGGGGCGTTAAACCTATACCATTTCTCCATTTCTCCAGAGATGTTCGAATTTTCCTCTCTGTGTCATCAAGGAAAATTGTGTGTATGTCTTTATAGTGGGTTTCTATTAGAACTGAAAAATAAATTTAACTTAAAATTTGTCCGTAGAATAAGGAAACTTTGTAATATCTAACACTTCCTTGTCTTTTTTATATTATAATTACACTGTTCAAAACATCCATTTGTCTAAGACAATCATTTTTCTCCTTGGCAATAGGTGGCAGTCTTGGACAATCTTGATTGTGATGTAAAAAAATGCAATGGAGGAAATTCGATGTGGTCATTTGTACAGTTGGTTATCTTGGACAAGTGGTCATTAGAGCAGGTTCGACTGTATTGTCCATAAGGAATTATTTACAAAAAGAAGTATTACATAGCTGTTTCCTTTCCAGAAACCGTCGCCAACAAGCATCGCGGCCGATCTGTTCAATGTGAAGGCTACGATGGACAGGGAGCACTGGCAGCAGACTCATCCTAATGCAGGTTCAGAGAGGTTTTGTTCATTTTTTTAGGATATCATGTTGCTGAAAGCTCCTGGAGCTATGAAATATTTTGTTTTCTGTCAAACTGACACTTTTTTGTTTGACTCTTTCTGTTCATGCCTTATCGAAAAGAATAAATGGAATGCCAGAAAGACAATAGTTTTAGATTTGGATGTAAAAAATACATTTGGAGCTGCAGAGACTCGTGAATCGTCACTTTTCATATATGAGAAGTGCCTCTTTTCCAGATGTTTTGTGTTTGTTGAAAAGAGGTGAAGTATTGAAGACTCAGTTGTTCTTGTATAGCTCATTCAAATTCGTCTTACCGCAGTTAATACAGGATAGAAACAAATTGCTCTGTTTAATCTTTCTGGGTCTTTGCATGCCAGTCTACGAGTTAAGCGATCAACAGAATCTAAAAGCACATTCATAAAAGTCACTGCAAACTAATGTTCCGACACATTTTCTTTGATGCAAGCCTTATATGGGTAAAAAATAATAATGCGATTTACAGCATACTCCTAAAACATTTAAAAGTTGACATACTTTCCACAACACCACACTTTAACGTTCGCCTGAGAAACACGATTCAAGAGACGGAGTGAGTATTTTTGAGACTCACGAGGAGCACGTTGAGACGTCTAGACTGCTGGGGGATGAAATTGACAAGCTTACACTGAAATGTGGGGGCAGGACGGTGTCGCTGTCCCAAAATGAGAAATTCGTAAGCAAGGTTACTGTAAGTCATTTATTTTAGTGATCCCGTGAATGCATCCAAAGAGCGTTTATTAATATAGGGCCCAAAGAGAAAAACTATTTTATTACTGGGTCAAGATTAGAAAAAAAATTTTGTTTGTTTGGTTGCTGGCCTGCAGAAGTGCCATGCAAAATTTCGGCCGCATAGGTAAATTCCTCAATGAGCTAGAATTTTTTAAACATTGTCAGACAAAAGTGAGTAAGCTATAATGAAAATTTATGTATCCTAAAAATTTATGTATGTAATGTGTATTTATGACCGACAAGAACTTGTAAAGATGTTACTGTGATAATTCCATGCTAAACATATGTAGTCCAGTATATGGATTTTGGGCTGCTTTTTTTTTCTGTTAGTGACATTAAATGTTTATGCTGGATGGTTTTAATGCAAGTTGTTTGACTACTATATGGAAGTCCCCTATTTTCTTGTCTTTTCTGGAATGTATTTCCTTTAAGGACATTGCAGTGATGGAGGATCAGGTATGTAGTAGGTTATTACACTTTACTTGAATAATTTCTATGTAGAATGCAGGCCCGGGCTGTTCTTCATAATTCGGCAGAAAAGATTTAATTCAGTTGTTTCTATTCCCACTATCAGAAGCATTCTTCCTTGAATATTATACCGGTCTGTGTGTTTTTGTGTACCTTGCAGACAGCACCAGTTCTGCAGACAATGTGTCTAAAACCACCGCTGTGGTCCAGTTGTCGGGTTCTTTGGATGTCCTGGTCACACCACTGTTGCTGGAAGCCTGGCAAAGGTTGGTTTGGCTTTGAAGCAGTTCATTTTTGTCGCTCAGCAAAAAAGAATATTTTTGTGAAAAACTTTCCAGGTAAACTTTTCATGTTGAAAGGCCCAGTCTTTACCATCTGTGGTTCCAAAAGTCATTTGTTCCGGTAGAATCTAATACTTTGAAATCGTCATGTAAGGCCTTCACTGAAAGATGCATCATGTCAGACTGCAATTCGTGGGTGGTTGATGGGTGTTCTGGTGTGGTTTGCTCCTTCTTTCCTATCAGACATCTATCGTCCTTATCTCCCCTTCTTCTTTTTTATGTTTGTTACTCCCTTGTAACACCTCTAATCTTCTGGCGCTCATATGACCTTATGCAGTTGTGAGCGCTGTAAAACCTCTACCAAAACTAAAACTAAACTAAACAGACTGCAATCTGAGAATCCTGATTTGACTCAAGTAGGTTTACTTTTATTGTGGGTCATGTGAGGACTTCCCAGAGCTCTCTCATCTCTTGGCCTGGTTGTATGAGAGATAGACTCAGAAGTTCTGCTTCCAAAATAACCTTCCTGATTGCCTTCAAATCAAAGGGTCTGTCAAAAATAATCTACCTAAATTTGGCTTCAAATCAGAGGGTGTCTCTTAAATATTCTTCCTACATGATGTCTGATGTCGTTCATAATGTCATTCTTGATAACAATAATACTAACTCCTTGAATTTTCATTATTTTTTACTGGGTTTTGTACTGATCTACAGATATGTGGAGGCAGTCACCCCAACTCTGTCCAAGCTACACCCATCAGCTCTGATAGACGGCCTCCACAGCCAGTGCCTGGACCGATTGAAGCAGCAGAACAAACTGAAGAAAGGCAAAGGCAGCGAAGAGAGCAAGGAGGGGCAGGAGGATGAGCTGCAGGCCTGTGGTGATGTCACTCCAGTCAAAACCTCCTCTCTGCAGGCTCTTTTCACGTTGCCAAAGGTAAGAAAGAATGGACCCAGAAAAAATGTTATCCTTAATAGAGAAATGCTCTCTGTTCTTCATGCAAATGTTTTGTAGTACCATGGTTTCTACAGCGCAGTGACCCTTGTGCTAGGGTTAACATGTCTTTGTCAGAAACTGTTACCCACTTGGACATTAACTCTTTTTGACATTGCTTGATTTTTTTGACAGCGTTTATATACCTCTTGGCCGTTAGTCTCTCAGATTGATTGAATTCAGACCAGCTCACCTAGCTCCAACAATGGTTCATTTGCTAGTGAAAAACAGAATACTTCCTAAAGAAGTAAAGAGAGAAATACGGAAAAATTAAAAGTGAAGTCTTTATGGACAATCTTTTACAGTGCGTACAGTTTGGTAGAAATATTAACTACATTTTCAAAGATTTGTATGGGATAAAGTCAAAGTAAGTTATCAACTGTTAGTTATAATTTTATGGAGTGCACAAAAAAGCAGTAGCAAAAATCCATTGTAAAGATCAATGAAGGTCTTTGTTTTTGCAAGCACACGGCATTGATAAATAGAAACTTTGATGTGAGAAGTAACATTTTTGAATTATATTTCAAAATACGGATAGAAAGACAAGAGTAGTGCTCCCTTTGAATAATGTAATGATTGTCATGAGTCATGTTGTGAGTGATGCTGAGAACTGATGAGCTCCTGTCTTCCTCAGATCAACATCTGTGTGCTGCAGGCCTCCATTGTGGAGGAGGTGATTGCCTTCTCTAACCTGGGCACTGCCAGTGATCTGACTGCTGTATCATTACTAGCTGTTTGCATTGATGGCATTCGCTGCCAGCTACTTTCCAACAATCACTCGTGCAAGGTGGGTTGCCAAAACCATGAAACATTGAAGACTGATGTATAAAGCAGGTTTCTCAGCTGTTTAGTTTAATTCCTTATGCTAACACACAACAGCAAATGGTTTTTCAGCTCTCCTTTCTTTTTCAACTTTCTGAAATAAAGAATTGATTGCACCGTTACATGTAAATTGCTACTGCTTAGATACAGGTAGATTTTAGTTTAAGTTCACTTGTTGGCATCACTGGATGCAGAGTTGTCCCATGTATTCAATAACATAGACTTCTACTCTTTGAGCCTGTCTGCGAAAGCCGTGCTGACAGAATAGATTATCATGCAGCTGGATTGGCTGATCGTGCCAGTGGTGTAGTGTGGCAGCTTCCTCTTTTTTCTTTGCGATGGATTTGCTTTTGCTTCAAAATTGACTCATGAAACAGATTTCTCAGCTGTTATTTCAGTGTCCCAGCTTATTTACATTTTTTGTCTTAATTTCAGGAAACACAAAAAAATACCCCTAGTAGCCTTTGGATTTAGCGTTAAGGTTTTGAGTCTGGTTTAGTACTTCTTACAATATTTTTTACTTGAAAAAGTGTTGAACATTCATGTACAGGCATGGGGCTTTGCTTGTATACTGTGACATTAATTCATTTCTTTAACATATTGGACATTTAACCCAAAGCTGTACTAATTAACTGATAGTTGTATGTTCAAATGAAACTGTTGTATACCATGAATGATGGAATATATCTGTCCATTTAAAAATTGTGTATTTCCTTTGTAAATATGAACATTTACCAGTATAAATAACCTTCAGTGAAGATAACATGTGTTGTAATTGTTCTGCACTCTTTTCTGCCAGTGTCTGATGAAGATATGAAAAGGCCTTATCCATGCATCTTTCTATAGCCTATTTTTAACTTTAGATATGATGCTGAGATGAGATGGCTGATATTCATAGATTACCTCGTCCTTTCTCAGGTGGCTATTGACGGTGCTAAAGAACCCCTGACTAGAAAGACCAGCTCCACTCCGAGTTCTTCTGTAAAATTTTCTGCTTCAGCGCAGGCCAGGGCAAAAGGAGAGGTGAACCCGCTTGAGCCAGATATTGAAAAGTAAGAATTTTTGCATGATAATAATGTTGCACACAAACTTTCTATGTCTGAGATAAAGGAAATTGTTTTGGTTTGTCTTATGTGTCTTCATTGAGTGTAGATGTAATAGTACTCTTGTAGCGAAAAAAATGTGTCAATGTGGCTCTGAACTTCCATTATACAATTCAAATGAAGGGATGTTATAAAAGAAAGGTAAAGTGATTTTTTTTAGTGGATCACTTTGCGACCAGTTTCATGCTTGCAGGTTTAGATTTATTATAATGTGGACAGATGATGGTATATTTTTAAAAATGTAAGTACCTTCTCACATTTGACATACCTTTTGCCTGTATTTTCATGCAATAAGGCACAACAAACATTATGAAAGGTAGAAATTGGAAAGCATGTACTGAATATTACCATCATAAGTAGTGAAAAATAATTTTCACTGTTCAAAATGTCCTCTTTTCATTAAAAATGTCCTTTATATTTAACACACAGAAAGCAAATTTTGCATTACCATCGGTATGTGATGGATTTGTTACTCTAGCAGGCTTAAAAAATGTCTCAAAAAGACGTTGTGAGACTTGTGGTTCATCTTGAATTTACCTGTGTCTTAAACATTCATTAACCGTTGTCTTTTATGAAGTAGCATCCATGTATAGAAGTCACATAAATAGCACGATGGTCTTTTCACCCTCCACAGACCAAAAGAAATAACAAGAGAAGAGAATGTGGGCACCTTGCACATCTCACATATCCATGTTCAACTTCGGAGGTTGCTTAAGTTCAGCAACTTCTCAGAACATGTGCTGCTCACTGCCATTCCTGAACAGTTCTCTCGCGTTCAGTTCACACTGGAGCAGCAGGACACCACCACCCCAGTCTCCACACAGACCCCCAGCTCAGGGATGCCTCACCCTCCTGTTGGCACCGACAACAGCACTTTGGGTAAGTTATGACAAAGGACATCTGTTTCTTCTTGCTGGTACTTGGTTATGTCATGACATGTGCTGTCAAAGATTGCATGACAAGTAGTGGTACATATCAATCTGTAAACTCAGGGGTACTTGCACAGTTGCTGGTCACTGATCGACATAGTCTTGTTTTGAGCTAATCAATTGTCTTGCCCTAAGAAACACACCCATTGCAATTAGTATAGATATTGTGAACAGTTTTGCACCCTCTTATTTAACATTACAATGTGAGGAAATAAGGCCTTTGTTTCATTTACTCATTTCCTTCTACTGATTTCCTAAATGCTAAGAAACCAAATGAGACCTAAAATTATTGTTTACGAATTGGCAGATTTATTCAATTTGGTAATTAACTAGCCAGAAGATGAATTTCCTGACTCCCACTTCAGTCAAGGTAAATATGTGGATTTGGTTAATTGGCTGATTTCATAAAACCCTGACCTAGTGTGACCAAATGAAACTGAACCTTTTTTTTTTGTCTTTCAGACTTGATGAGTGTGCCTCTGACATGGTCAATATGTTTCTGCAATTATCTCTTTTTTTGTCTGATGACATTTTTTTCTGTTTGTCACAAGGTTCTGGTTATCCTGGTGGAACTATGCCGTCACCGAAGCGACGTTTGTCTCGCACTTCTAGTAAGGACAGGGAGAGTAGTGAAGCAGCCACCCCAAGAGGAGGTAGCGGCAGCGACACCAGCTCCTCATGGCAAGCATCTGCCCCCAGTATTGGTTTCATCATGTGTGAGTGCGGCCTAGAGGATGTGTCAGTGACAGCAGTCCGACGTTTGGGCTACCGTGAATCTGGAGAAGCTCAGCTGGAGGAGAAATTAGGAAACATTGATAAGACGGTGCAGCATATGGAGGAGTCAACCAGGGTCAAAGTGGAGGGGAAAGATGCGAAAAAGGAGAAAGACGAGGAGGAGGATGAGGTTGGTGGTTGTGAGGATGAGTCGAAAACTAAATCACAGGATGGAAAGTCAAGTGGACAGCGCGGTACCGGAGCCAGGAAAGAGGGTGTGGTTGGGGAATCGGAGGAGGAGTCCAGTACTGATGAACCAGTTCCTCTGAGTTCTCCGTCGGGTCGGCACACATCGAACTCGCTCGACTCTTCACCTTGGGACTCGGACAAGTCGGTTGGGTCCAATGAGAGCATGGAGGACCCACCAGCCCCTCTGCCCACCCCACTTGATGGAGATGCTTCCAATGGGAGACTTGAACTCAAAACCATCTGGTTCAACTTTGCTTCGCCCCCTCCCATCTCCATCCACAAAAAAGTTGATTTCACTAGGTAAATTTAAGATGGTTTCAACACCATTAGGTCTCCATAAGTAAAAGTTTGATTACTTAGTAATATCATTTTTGGTTTGCAAATTATGATATGTGACTCTGGTTTTCATGGTCTTATACACCATTTTGAAGTTCAAATTTTATTATGAAGGAATTTTTGTTTCTTTAAAAATAATTTTGGTAATACAATCAAACTTGCTCAAATGGCCAAGACAATCATCTGTACGAAAGACCTCATCCCCCCTGCTTTAAAAAAATATTATAATGACACTGTCCAAGATTTTCCCCTATCTAAGTTGACCACATTTTTCCTCGACAATGGGTAGCCGTCTTGGACAGGTTGATTGTGTTGATTAGGGATTCTTGGATAATTTTGCTTTTTCAATGTGACTGTAATAGATTACGCTCCCAGAAAATTTACCAGCTTTTTGTCCCTCACTGACATTTCTCTATCTCCCACTTTTTACCACTTTCTTGTCTGTTCATAATTTTTTTTGGTTCTCATCAACTCTTTTAACCTGTCTCCTATTAGACTTGACTGGAATCTGCTCAGCACAGCTAGTCCTGCCATTGACGCATGGCTGAACCCCAGCGACCGACTGATGAATGCTGTACGGGGTTTGGTGCGCGAGTATTCAAGAAGGCTGTGCTGTGTCATTGCGTGCATGATGATTGAGGGTTTGGAATGCCAGGGCATCCATGTGGCATATAAGGTGAGGGTTTGTGGGTCTCCTGAAGTATAACATCCCTGTCTCAAGAAAAATTAGTTTTTCTATTTGCAAAGCTGCCAACCAGTACGTAAAAAAACCCAATTATTACCTTTTAGAGGGTCTGAATAAGGAAGTTCGTTTTTGTGTCAGAAAATATGCATTCACTGATTTCTGATACTGTTCCCTATGGATTTGCCAAGGCTTATATTGTGTAAGGAAAAGTTATGAACTTTCAAGACAGAATTTGCCGTGACAATAAGAATGAAGCCTGTAAGTATATATTGTAGTTGTGTCCCTCACTATGTTTACTTTTTAAGCATGTATTTATTGAATTTAAAAAAAATGCAAAGTGCAGTTTTGATCCATTTTTTTTTACTAGTATTTAGATATCATTCATTCGAATTGAAATTCCTCAGCAACTCCGTTCCTTTTTGGTTGGGTCTTGTGTAAAAAACAAATGCCTTTGTCTTTTCAGAGCAAGTTCAATAAGCTGACGCCTTTGTCCCACACGCTCCAGGAGGACCCATCCAATCAGCTGCTGACAGTGCTGCGCAAGTATCTGCACAAGTACGGCACCAATCCCGTGGAGAGAGCTGTTGCCGCGGAGACCGTGCCTCAGCTTATTACGGTGCAGAAGGGCATCTTGGCTCTGATGAGGCAGTGGAAGAACGTCCTGTACATGCCCAACCTCAGTGAGATCAACTTCAAGGTTTGTTTTTTCTTGGTTTCTGACGTTTTTGACTTGTGTGGTTGTTTGAATCGACAAGGAAAGAGTTTTTCTGTTTTTGGAGCTTCAAACGAAATATATATTCTTTATTGTTCAGGGGGTCAATGCTGTGGTTAATGACAAACTTTAGTTTTACATTTTAGCCCCTTTTCAATGTCCCTAAACAAATGCAGTTTGGTTTCAAACGAAAGAGATTTTTTGTTTTTCCGTTGTCATTGAGTGTGTGTTTTTCTAAGTCCTTGAGTCTGGGGTATTTTAGAAAACACAATAACCTCTGGAGTCCAGGCTTTTTTGGAGGTTTTCAAAAATTCATCAAAATTCACCCTCTCTCACTACATACCCATATTTACACCACAGAAACATCAGATATAGTACAAAACGTGCAAAATAAATGACAAAGAAATCTTTAATGACTGTGGATGTAAATCTTTCTATCTGTGAATACTATTATATTTTGTATGTCTGCTTTATCTTTTTGGTAAAATGTTTTACAGTGAATTGTATTACTGTCAGTCTGTTTTTGACAATGTCTTTTACATTCTTAGAATTTGTTTGCAGCACATTTGAGAATTGTTTGGCATGTTACCAGTTTAGCAGTTGCATTTCGACTAGTTGGTCCATTGAGTTCTCCTCCTGCTCCTCCTCCTCCTCCTCCTCCTCCTCCTCCTCCTCCTCCTCCTCCTCCTCCTCCTCCTCCTCCTCCTCCTCCTCCTCCTCCTCCTCCTCCTGCATGGGATTGTTTGTTTTTTAAATGATCAAAATCTTCTGATGTATTTTTTGGAAAAAATAGTTTTTTTTTCTTGGAGTGGGATTTCTATTCTGATGTTTAGTTTTTGGCCTGCTGTCATGAGCAGAGCTGAAGTCTTTATTTTATTCTTAATTTCTCCTAATGAATTGTGCAAAGTATGATTTTGATGTTACACCAAAGCACTGTAATGATAATCAGAAATTAAATGAAGAAATGAAAAATGTGCTTGAGGAAAGAAGTGTTGCTTTGATTGACCATTCTAAGCGGTAATGGGCTCAGTAATTATTTTGCTCTGTCATTTGCTTTTATTTTTTGTTTTCCATTAATGGAGCAAACATTGAAGTTTAAAAATAAAGACTAGCCCATGTGCTATAACGTAGAAAAAACATCTGTTTGAGAGCTTAGAGATGCTTTCTGAGAACTCAACCAGTGATAGCTTGTTATTTATTTTGTTTCAGTCTCGACGCAGCATTCGACCGTACAATGTCTCTTTTGCCCTGCCTCAGCAAGAGGCGGAGGAGGTGGAGGTGGTGGGAGAAGAAGCTGAGGACATCATTATAGACCAGTTTGATGTGGTGGATGAGAGGATGTCTCTCTTACAAGTGAGTTATCTTGTAGTGGAGTGGAGGAGTCTATGTTTTGGGATTCTGTTCAACATGGAAAGGAACAAAGACAAAACATTTTTTAGCCTCTCAAAAAAAATTGCTGTGATATTTAATACAGCACTAGTTTAGCAATTGCATTTTGACTAGTCTGTGTGCATAGAGCTAAGACTCGGTTCTGAGAAGAATAAAATATAAATGAGTTAATTTGAAACCTGTAAATGTCAATCAATGAATTTGTACCTTGGGGAGTTTTTTCTATTGTGGACTTGTTGAGACTCTGCAGTCAGTAGGGTCACATTCATGAATTGCAGGCTGGGATGCATTATTATAGTTACTTTGTAATTTATTGCAACTCAACATGACGGCTGCTTCTTTTGTCTAGGACAAATGAGAGTGAGAGTAACAAAATGTTGATAAAGAATAGAAAGATCAGCTCTCACCAAAGTGCTCACCATTTACCCATACTAGTTTGAAATGTCTTAGAAAAATGTTAAGATTGTTTGGTGCCTTTGTTTTGTCAGAGCTTTTTTGTCAAGTTCAGCGTCCCCTATTTGATTTGTAGTCATAAAAGTGGAAAAAAGAGGAAGAAAAGGACCTTGATGTGGACCAGTGTGTAAAGTGTTAATTGCGTAAATGATTGCGTTCCTGGACAAACATGTTCACTATACCTTCAGTGTTTGAAAACTGCTTGTTTCATCTGTTCAGGCTGAAGGAGGTATAACCCAGAGGTCCGGCTCTGTGCCCAGCATCAACAGCAAGCGTCAGTCGATCAGCACGCAGGGGAAGACTGACAAGACTGATGGGATGGACTTTCACAGTGCAGAGTCCAACGTGTCCGGAAAGCCTCGCAAGCTCTCAAGTATATTTAAGTATGTCTAAAGCTACTCTGAAAAATGATATGATAAACCTTGCATTTAATGAATTCGTTGGGTTTGATGTTTTGTTTGTCCAATTCCAAGGTATTAGGGAAAGCAAGATTTTCCAAAGTGGAGTATTTTAGTTAGATGGTGCTACAGAAATATATATTCTTTATTGTTCAGGGGTCAATGCTGTGGTTAACGACAAACTTTTGTTTTACATTTTAGCCCCTTTTCAATGTCCCTAAACAAATGCAGTTTGGTTTCAAATGAAAGAGATTTTTTGTTTTCCAGTTGTCATTGAGTGTGTGTTTGTCTAAGTCACTTGAGTCTGGGGTATTTTAGAAAACACAATAACCGCTGGAGTCCAGGCTTTTTTTGGAGGTTTTCAAAAATTCATCAAAATTCACCCTCTCTCACTACATACCCATATTTACACCACAGAAACATCAGATATAGTACAAAACGTGCAAAATAAATGACAAAGAAATCTTTAATGGCTTTTGTGTCATCATCTTTCAAAAATGGGCACAATTTGACCAAGCGCAGAAATTATTTTAGAGGTACTTGTCCAAACTGTGGAGGAGTAAATGTACAGAAAAGGGCTTGATTTGGGTGGAATTGAAAACAAAATCAACTAAGTACATATCTTTCAAGTTTTCTACAGCAGAAAAAATGTTTATTTCAGTTATTTCAGAGTGAAATCTAAAAAAGAGCAGAGTTCAGTCAATGGAATGTCACAGACTGCACAGCTTTGATTGATGTCTCCTTTCCCTTTACACGTTTTGTCTGACTAAGCTGACTTGCATGAGATCTTAATGCCTTATTTAGTTACATTTTGTCACCTAAATCTACTCATAGCTCCTGCTCTTGTGCTACAGGATCAGGATCTAAAGGTATCTTTCTTTTTTATTTGCTAACATCTCGGGTCCAACTCTAGTTCTAGACCTATGTCTAAGTTTGCCGAGCGGTTACCCTTCACGATTGTCAGTACTCATGATTCGTCCCGTACTTCACATTCGAAACGTTTCCTTTGAGCTATTTCAATACTAATATGAGCTCTGAAACTAAATCAGAGTTGCAGCTTTCGATATCCTCGCTAAAATCGTCATTATTATTGTGAAAAATCTAAAAATCAAGATCGTTTGTTCCGACATCGTAACAAACGCCGACTCTATGACCGCAGTGACAGATGGAAAACATTGCGGATCGGTTCACGTGAGCTTCCAAAATCATCTGCTACATAAAAACTACTACTCGGAAACAAGATACCAAGCAAAATTTTGATCAGCAGAAAGTAAATGATACTTGTTGTGATGTTTTGCGCAGCTTACGCGGTGAATTAGAAGCGCTGTCGTGTTTTAAATACCGATCTCTCAAGGGGTGGGGGATCAGACATAGGCCGTTGGACGGGCTTCCTGCAACAGGTGCGAGAAAAGACTCGAGTGAGTTAAGATAATGGGAAGGCAATTGACAGTATGACAACCCTGTCAATATGTCAGGGAAAAGTCTCACATTTCTTCTTAGAGACTGGTATAAAATTCTGTTCTATTTGTGAAACAGGGCTAAGAGAGGTGTCGGAGCAACGGATTCCCCTCTGGATCATAGCTCCTCAAACCTGGCACCCCCACCCATCGGAATGATCCTGAACCGCAATGACAGCAACATGAGTTTCAACTCTCTGGCAGAAAGTGTGTCAAGCAATGAGCAACCCGTGGCCCCAACACCTCCTCACACACCCCTCCGGCACACCGGGCCAAAACATTCTATCTTGAAGAACAGGTACAATAAGACGTTTATTTAGTATGTATGCCTTTGATATAATGATACTGTTCAAGGAACACTTGATAGACTTTGATTTTTTCTTCTTTCTTTACATTGTTAGCTGTATTGTACAACTCAGTTGCCTCAAGATGTTTCTGACCCCCAACATTAAATGATTATAATCAAGGAACCAAAGCTGCTAGGCTTGTACTATTTTCACCCGCTTGTAGGGCTTGATATATCTTAAACGTGATAAAAATTGTGTTGTATTGTCCAAATGCGTCATGTGAGTCACTTTGTCATAATGCTTTGTAAATTATTTCCTGTTCAATTATAGCTGTATGTTTGCAGGTGTTGCTTATCAGTCAGAGATGGTCTAGATATTTCTTTGGCACTATTGATTATGTTTGAATTATGAATATGTTTTTGAAGCAGTGTTTTGAATTATTATTCATAACATTCAAGGCGTTTAAAAAAATCTTAGTAACACGGCTCTGTCTCTGTCTTGTTATCTGGCTGTTAAACTGGTGGTCCGCAGGTTTTTGGGGCCAGCTGAGGGCAGAGCGAGGGATGAAGGCTTTTTGCAGTAATGTTTTTCCTCACTTCATTCATGTGCAAGTCAAGTACAGTTTTTACCAGATGTGATCTCATGTCATCTTTTAGTACTTTGAAAATTGTCTTGTTTGAGCTCTTTGGGTGAGATGCCTTTCGTCTTGAAGTCCGGAAATTATTGGAAATGTTACTTGGTTTGGGGGACTCCTACCTTTCTACCACTTAGTTTTGGTGAAAGGGAATGGTCCCCTGCGTGTTGGAGTGCCAACAGCAACCACCATTTCTTCTTATATCAGGAACTAGCTTCAGTATTTTTGTTGTTAATTGTTAGGCTCTTCACCTGATGTGCAAAAGACTTGATTCCGGTTTGAGGAAGATATTTTATCGAATTGTTCCACCTGTTTGCTAGTTGCAGTATCCCACACAGCCAAGCAGCAGAAAGTGAGGTGTGTTGACAAAAGGAGTCACTTCTCTGAATTTACCCCTATGGAAATAGGTATGTCAAATTTAAAATGGTGTCAATTGAAAACCTACAAATTTTTTTGGCCAATATCTCAATTTTGTTGATTGCAAGAAGTGACTCATTTTGCCAGTATGTCTCACAGTTGTTCAAAGGGTTTTGTAACCTTATTCCAATGGTCCAATATATCAGGTACAAGCAGAACGAGGACCTGTACCAGTGGATGGCAAAACAGCAGAGCGGTTTCCGCATGGACCTGGAGGAGGACCCAGCGCGCTACATCCGGCAGAACACATCCGAGTCATGTACTGGTGGCCTGGGCTCATGGTCACATGATGACAGCCGCACTGACCTCAGCGATGACCACTGCACCATGGCCACTTCCATCATGCAGCTGGCAGATGCTCAGGTTAAGGAATTTCTATTTTCATGCTATATTTCTTCAAACTCTATGAATCCACATGCATGCCTGAGCATGAATTACTTTTATTCCTCTATTCACTGAATGCACGCATCAGTGTACAGCGATGAAAGTCTAGCTGTTGATCCAGAAGGGCTTCAGGTACATAGGTCTCGGATACTCTAGAGACAAGGGCTCAAAGGTTTTGAGTCTGAATTTTCTCTGAATTTTCTCGAATTTTCTCTAAAATTAATGGGGCTTTCTGTATTGCCATAAGAAAAGGGTACTTTGGTTTTTGTCTGCCTTATGTAAGGATTTTTGTTCAAATGCATCGCTTTCTTTTTGTTCTAGGCTTGAGAGCCCTGTATAAAGAAAAATAGAAAAGGTGTTCTTATTTATGAGCATATTTTGATTTGTTTTCAATTTTTTTGGGTGTCCTTTGTGTTTTATTTTGTTGTTGTTGTATTGCTAATGCTTCCTGATTTTAGTTTTATATCATTTTCTTTAACGAAACAATCATCCTTTCAACTGATTTTTTAATATAGCCTCAATATTTTTAATTTTAGACATTTCTGTCTTTTGCTGTTGCCGTTTTCATTTTTGAGAGCCACTCGCGGCAGATGGACGTATCTTTATTGTGTACCAGGGAGTAATTGGGGAAACTATGCACAAGCAGGCAAAATAAACATGCAGTTTTACATGAGAGTTGACAAAAGGTCTGTGATTTTGTAATTGGAAAAACTTCAACTGTTGAAAGATTACAGACTGTAATGCTTATTTTGTTTTCTTCTCATAATTTTACAGATTCTCTTCAAGCCTGTCCTGCAGAGTTTAGGTTTGCATGTAGAGAGCGTTCGACCGTCTGCCATGATGAAGAAGTTTGGAGGCCATCTTCTGCTTCAGGGTCACTTTAACACCTTCAAAATCCTCATAGCAGAGTCTGAGGCTAGGCCTTCACCTCAAAGCCATCACAGTTCAAAGGGAAAAGGTCGGGGCAAACGGAGCATATTGAAGATGCAGATGGAAAGCGCTGCTTTTCAGTGTGAAAAGTAAGTGCTTTTATTGAAAATATATCTACTTTACCTGCTTTGTTGCAGTGCAGGGCTGAGGGTTACTTCGTTTTAGAAAAAGTAAGCTCTTAGGTTTAGGGAAGTAGTTTCATAATTACAAGTGTTTCCTTCAGGAAGGTTGAGTTGTGTGTGTTTGAATGGATTGATGGGTGGGGGTTTGGTTCGGGGACAATTGTTGTGCTTTCATAAATAATGAATGTTAAGTAGCTTTGCTCTTTGTAGATCTTTCAATGCGTAAGGTGAGTGTCATTTCATTCTGCAGTTTCATATCATCCCAGTTCTTTTCATATCATCCCAGTTCTTTAAAATCTTTTTGCTCATATTATAAGCACATGCAGATTTATATAATGTCAAAGTAGCTAAATTAATGGGAAATGATTGTTTCTTTTCGCTGTAACTGACAGGAATTCAGACACAGGTCTCTTGAAAGTATCAATGATGTGGAGAGCATTTTGACTGCTTATTGTAAGACTTTTCTGCCATACGGCATTTTGAAAAGTGACATACGACGGAGTCTTACACCAGCAGTCCATTTAAAGTGCTTCTTTAAAATGGTCTATACATCTAATCTTAAATTTTGGTCAGATGATTTTCTTACTTAAATTAATACCCATCCCTTTCAGGGCTTATCAAATCCTATGTTTCCCATTTTTGGCTGTTTGTGTTGTCTTACTTATGAAGTAGACATACTTCTTTTTTTTTTTAATTCCAAAATTTTGGAAGTATTTGGTTCATTAAAATTTTTTTTCCTATTTGACAATTTATATTCTTCATTTCGTCATCTTAGAACTATTATTTTTGTCTAAAGTGTACTTAAGTAGAGGCACTGTGGACAAAATAGTTCTGAGGCAACGGTTTGTATATTTAACACTTGCTTTAATTTTAAACCCATATAGGTATGAAAACCCTTCACTGATAATTCTCTTATGACTTTTGTTTCTTCTGTCTCTTGCTAAGTGTCAACCCCCCCCCCGGGGCAATGCCACTGACTGAAGTGCCTTTGGGCCATTCCCAAAGGGGGGACATTTCTCGTTCTAGTGCACAGTAGAATTATAAATGGGCTGATCTAACAATGTCATGCTCATAACTGTGCCTAAACTACAACAGGGAACTGCTGCTTTTTCTTTCCTAATCCTTACTATCGTCATTTTCCTCTACTTCTTTTGTATGTTTGTCACACTCTTGTGACCTGCTATTTTCGGGGTGCCTTGATAGTCGAAGCAGACTTTGTGCTGCTGAAGCTAGAGAGGTGAGTAGAGTAAGTCTGATTCCCTGTAAGGACTTCTATGTTGACATCCACCCTTTGGCGCTCATATGACCTTATGCAGTTGCGAGCGCCTCTATTGAAACAAAAAATAAATGTCAACTCTTTTGACCACTTTGTCTCCTCAGCTTTGATGTGAATGTGTCTCTGAAGGACGTTGTTGACTTCAGTGAAGGGGAAGAGTCGTCCAAGTTTCCCTACAAGTTTGCCATGCACAAACTTGAGGCGAAGCCAAGTACATTGCAGGTTTGTGAATGTTTTGTATTTAATTTGCTCTTTCAGCCTCAAACTGTTTCATTCTTTTCAAATATTGTTTAGATCAGTTGGTTGTTTCATTTTGGTAATCTTTTCTCAGATGTGCTATTTTATATTTTTCTACTTACATTTACTGAATGCTGTCAAGCTATCGCTTTTACCAGTAGTTTTCTGAACAAACTTCCCAATTCATTTTATTTGTACAAGACTGTTGTTTGCGTTTTTTTCATTACTGATTGGTTGAATTTTTAAAAGTAGTTACTGATTTAGAAGTTATGCAGTCTTGTTCTCACAGTTTTAACTCCTCATCTCTGGCAAGCTGCTCCCAGCGGCTCAAGGTCGGAACTGCTGTGCTGGTGAGCCGCTGGCAGTAGCTCGAGCACTTTCCTTTACAATGGCTTCAGTGTTAAATCATTTCTTGGCAATTGTCGAAAACTATTCTCTTTTTTACTGGGAGTTCATTCATCAGGAAGAACTATCAAAATAGGCTCACTTCTTTTGATTTAATGACCAATTCAGTGACATATATGTTACTTTTAGATTTCATACCAAAAAAGGAGTCCCAGCAAAGTGGGTACCTAACCCCCCCCCCCCCCCCCCGAGTTGAAGAGTTTAAAAAGTGTACTCTTACCTTTGGTTTCCCCTCAGATTAACTTGCTGGTGAACTGTCATGCCATCAGACAGAATGTAGACATGGCTCTTCTCAGACTAGCCCATCAGGTAGGTTTGTTATATTTCTGTGTGACTATTAAGGAGTTCATGTATTCTGGTTCTTGTTTTAAGCTGAATGCCCTAAATGTATAGTTCTTAAGATAGAGGAGAAAAGGAATGAAATTCAGGAGGGCAGGACAGTAAACGTCACAAATGTATACATCTGAGCGTGTTGTTTGCCTTTTGAGTTATTTTGTCATACAGTCTTACTGTATTTTATATTTTTGTACTCTATGCTTATGCATGCCTTCAATCTATTTTTCTCTTTTTGTTTTCGATAAAGGGAAAGGAACAAAATTAAGCATTATTACCTGTGTTACAGGTGTTGACAATGGTTGGCAATGTGAAAGAGACCCGGGGTGAGTTGAAGCAGAAAAGAACAGAGCAGCCTCCAGCCTGGGTACAGACACACCGCAAGCAGGAGTCGAAGGACTCGACTTCTAGCGCTGACACAAACCAGTCTGACACCTCGCACACAGAACGTCTGCTGGGATCCCTCTCCAATATCATGGCTTTGGAAAAGGAGAGAGGTAATGATACATTGTCAGTGCTGAGTGCAAACTGAGAGACATAAAGAGAAAACTTTCCACACTTTTTGTGTTGAGTTCATTCAGAATTTTGTTTTCTTACAATTTCGCTGTGCAAAGTAGGACTATTTTGACCTATTGAAAGCTGTGATTTACCAGCATATTACATGTATGTTCTGTTTTTTACATGTGAGCACCTGTCCTAAAGGCATATTGCATTACAAGACAAAATTTATAATAATTCACAATCCCATTCTAGGTCTATTCATAATCACATTTCTTTTTTCTTTTTTTTAATGGATACATTAGGAAATTGAATAGTATAAAAGATGACCTGAGTAGTTTGTACAATTTTATAGCAAGGGTTATTTACTTTTGTTGATATGTCAGCTCACGTATGTTCAATATGTCAATTTTTTTTTCATACTACTTTCCTCTGAAAACTTGATCTCATTCTTGGAATGTGGCACCATTTTGGGAAGGATTTTCTCCATCGTATATATTTATGCTTTTAATACAAATAGGCTTTTTTGAAGGCAAAATAGATATTCTAGAGCTTTTCATAATCACAATTATTTTCAAAAGAAATTCAAAATTTTAAAATGATTAGTAGAGGTAGGGAATTGACGTCTGTTACGAACAAAAGTTTTTTTTGGAGTGTGGACACATGTTCAAATTAATATGTACTCTCAGCTCAGGTACATTTTTTAAATATTATATTCATCTTACTCTTTTTGTCACCACCTGCAGACCCTCTTTGTGTTATTGTGCTTTTGTTGAACTCTTTCAAAAGAAAGAACCAAACCTGAATCTTTTCATTCATTTCTTCTTCTTTTCGTACCAACTAAACACCAATAAACACGTGGCTGATCTTTAAAGTATTGACTGCTGTCCTTCAGAACTTGTAAACAAACAGAAGGCGTCTCAGGCCACCACTACAAAGTCTGTGAAAGAGACGATGACAAGTCAACTTCAGCCAGGGTTCACAGCACTCAAAGGGGAATCAAAACCATCGTCTAGTTTCAAGCCCCCTGTTTCACCGTCACTTGCTCTCAAGTCGCAGCAAACTCCCCAGGTAAGTGATTACTCACAAACACTTAATATTTTACCTTACAAACTTGAGGTTTCGGCAGAGAAATCCTACTCCTTATCAGATAGTTAAAGGTCATGGATGCTTACAACTGCTATTGTTTAAGTTATATGATATAGTGTTTGTGCATTCTCCACTCTTTGATTAATTGAAAATAGGGATAAATACATTAACCCTTTCACTTCCAGACCTGCTCTACATTCCTGTTGAAGAGTCAAAGACATTCTTAGATCAGACAATAAACAAGAGGTTTGTCTGATAGGCTGACTTGAGCTGAGAGGGATCAGTCTCAGCAGAAAGATACAGATACTCTTCATTGTTGGAGTCATTTTGATTTGTTTATTTTCTTTGTATTGTGTTCACTATTATTCTACTGTTTATTAACCTCCAGGTGACCCCGAAACCCAGTGCAACTCCATCTGAAATAGTGCACACCACCCCCTTGACCACCACTCAGGGAACAAAACTGTTTGAAGGCACTGCGGTAAAAAAAACGGAGGACAAGAAAAGACCAGAGGGCTTGGCACTTGGTTCTGCTCCAGGAAAGAAATCGACTCACCTTCGCTTCGCTCAAGATGCAAAGGAAGAATGTGCTTCACCAAGTGAGGATTTCAGATATGTTAATTATGTTTTGTTCAGTCATATTTCTTCTCTTGTAGAATTAGAATAAGTCGATTGGGTGGTCAGTTTATTCTGGTTTTGCTTCCTTTTAGTGCGGTCAAAAATTTGTTACCCCCCGAGGCGGTTCTAATGACTGAAGTGTCTTTAGGCCATTCCCAAAGAAGGGGCATTAACCTATTCTTATGCACAGTAGAATTGTAAATGGGCTGATTCATCTATGTCATGCTCATTACTGTGCCTGAACTGCAACTCGGAGCTGCTGCTTTTTCTTTTCTAATCCTTACTGTCGTCATATTTCCTCTACTTCTTTTGTATGTTTGTCACTCTCTTGTGACCCCTCTATTTCCGGGGTGCCTTGATAGTCCAAGCAGACTTTGTGCTGTTGAAGTTAGAGACGTGGCAGAGTAAGTCTGATTCCCTGTAACGACTCCTCTGTTGACATCCACCTCTTGGCGCTCATATGACCTTATGCAGTTGCGAGCGCTGTAAAACCTCTACTAAAACATATAAAACAAACAAAAATTTGTGGTGCAACTTATCCTCAAATATCTCTTTAATGGGTTAATCAGTGCCACCCATGCTTTGCACAGCAGTTTGTATCAGTTTGTCTCAACTTAATCATATTTTTCCACAACAATTGAGGCCAGATTAAAAAACTTTTCTTCACTAATACTACAAATCACTGCCGTGCTGAAAATGGCAGCGTTCACAGTACTTCCCACTTCTCACACACATTTTCAGTTAAGTGAGAAAAACAAGATAAATATTATACTTTTCCTAATGACAAGAGATTGATAAAGTTGAAAAAGTAGATTTTTATTTTATCCCTTGCACTGCAATGCTTGATAATAGGCCTGTTTTTCAATGCAAGATATATTATGTTTAGTTGGTCTGAAAATTAGTGTGTCACTTTCTTTAAACTTTCTGTGTCCTAGAAATATGGGATATGTCAGACTTTTTACAAGATCTTTATATATGGGAGGTCATTTGTAAATGCCCCTCTCCAACTCTTGTTCTTTGTCTTGCCACCAGAGAAAGTGACCACCCCCCACCCTCACTCTCAGCACTCTGCTGGGGCGGGGCCTGATGTGATGACTCCGCCCCACTCCCTGAACCTGAGTGACTCGGTGGTCCTCGATCTAGCTGACACGTCGTCGCCCATTGTCAACGAGAAGACCATCATCGACGAGATCAAAGAGAGCACGCCCCAGTGCTGGCGTCACCTGTACCAGCTGCTGGAGCTCTATGCCACCATGCCGGAGCCAAAGACAGTGGCCATGAGACACAGTCAAGGTGAGCTTTGTTTCTGAAGGATTAGCTCTGAACTTCTGGGTTCCTGCATCTAAAGATGAATGAATCTGATAGATTCCTTTGCATCTTTCTATCTTTTTTTCGTCTTCATATCCTGCTGGCCCTTCTTGTTGTTTTTTTCCTGTCTTTTTTGTCTCAAGTTTCATGTGGAACTTTGTGGTCTTCATTTCCTTTTGACACCTGGGAAACAAAATTCTCCTGTACATCTTCTCAGGAGAAAAGAGAAGGAGGGGTAGAAGGAGGGAGGGTGGGAGATGGAAAAATTAAATACCATGTGTCCTCTCAGTTAATGCTGTCATGGTTGTATCTGCACAGTGGCCAAGTTACCAGTCATTGAGGAGGAGGAGGCAGATGAGGGATCATTGAAGAGAGAATCAAGAATGTCAGATTATGGATCACGGCTGAGTACTCTAATCCAGAATCGCAAGTCTTCCATGCTCCATGGTCTGAGGCGAGACTCTTCTACAGGTATGAGTGGATTGAAGTTGATGCAAAGCTTGAAAGTTTTTTCACAATACAATTGCTCTTGTAATAATTCAAACACATGTTTGTGTCTTCCATTAGTACCCTGTTAACATTTCATAGAAACTGTCATGGGATGCTATATCTCTCTACCCTTGGGGAGTTTTAGTTTTTATATGAATGTCTGGCTAGGAAGAGAAGAGACGGTTGTGGCAAGTTGCAAATAGTAAGGCCACATTTTGCTAAAATACTGATATATAGATATGGCGGCATCACATTTTTTGTGGGACTGTTTAGGTAGTGGTTGATTTTCATGTTTTTTTTCAAGTTCTTTTAGGTTTTTTAGCTTTACTTGTTCAAATTTTCAGTGGTTTACTGGCATATCACCGCGGTTCAGTAACCCTGTACTATGTGTGGTGTTGGTAATCCAGTGGTTCGGCTACCAGACTTGTAATTGTGAAGTTGTAAGTTCAGGGATTTGGGGCTCAGGCATGACATTGTGTCCTTTGAGAGGCACTTTACACAAATTTTCCTCACTTGACTCAGGTGTGAATAGATACCTCGCCTTAGCGGTTAGTGTTTTAGTTGCTGAAAAATGGCTGCTTGCACTATATTCTTCCCTGGAAGTTGAGATCGTTTCAGAATAATATCAGGTCTGCTCGGGTAATAATATAGATAGTAAAGCGCATAGAGCTTGTAGTTGAGTGGGAATTTGCACTATACATATGCTAATATTATTATTTTTACTGCTTTCTTTTAAAATATGTTTACAATTTGTTTGCTTTTATTTACATCTTATTTAAGTTCCTCGGCGTTCTCACATTTTTGCTATATTTTATTTCTGGGACTTCTCTGTAGTGCCTTTCATTTACATCAGGAGTTTGAGTGACTTTTGAGTCTTCTCCAGATTAAGTTCTTAGGTAATTGTACACATTTGTTACTGTGTTACGTTTGTCAATGCGATCACAGAATTCTGGAAAATATCGAGCGATGTTGGTGCATTGGATTTTGGATGGATGATAATTGAAAGGTCTCTTCTTACATACTTACTTCTTGAGCAATAATGATTAACCGTATCAATTGCATTCTGCCGTTTGAGATGTTTATTGTGTCGTGTATTCGCAGTTATGAATGTCGTTATTAATAGTTATCTCCCTATGAGCATCTATGAAGTCCTAATTTTCTAGACTGTAAAGTGCTTAGAGAATACTTTCAAATAAAGATACTCACTTTTTTTATACTATCTTAAAATTAAAAAAACTAATTTTTGCTTGTTTTTAAAAAAAAGAATATTAATATGGTCTATTATTATTATCGTTATTTCTATGAAATATTCTATGCTGTCCTCAGGGGGTCACGAGACTTCTCACCTGCACAAAAAAACTGGCGGTAAACCAGTTGGCCAGGAATCTGTGGACTCCGCTCACAGCACCCAGAACGACAAAGTGACAGCTGCTGCAAAAGAGGAAGAGACCATCGGAAACGACTCTTCCCTGGCTCACCAGTCTTTGATCAGGACACGGTTCAAACAGAGTGAGGAACATAATTATAATAATAATAATAATAATAATAATAAAAGATGAATTTATAATGCACCAGAATCCACATAAATGTTTAATGAAGGCATAAGTGAATTTATACAAATCTTAAAATTTCCTTTCAATGATTATTAGCTATTTAGTTGTTATGCTGGACTAGTAAAGTAAGAGAAAGGTTTGGAATGCTAGTTCATACCAGATGTTGTGTCCTCTGGAAATATTCTTTTGAATGAGTTTTCCTCACTTCAGTCAAGGAGGAATGGGTATGCAGCAAAGATAGTGGAAAATCTTGTGGGTAGGTTAATATTTGAGGGTGGGTAAAATTGCTGCTTGAACTGGGTTCTTCCAAGAATGCTGAGAATGTGTCCCTAATCTTGTAGAATCTTAACCAAGTAATTGTAAATTATTAAGTGTGGAGTCTTCTTTCAGACAGGTATATGCCTTATAAAAAAGCTTTCTATTATAACTATTACTGTTACTGTACTCAAGACCAATTTACTGTAAGCGGTTATAATTTATCAGACAGTTATTTGATTTGTTGGTTTACTTTGGTCTTAATTCTTACATTTTTAATGAAGCTATGCTGACTTTTCTTAACAGCTGTATTCTTGTATTGCTTGCTTGATTTTGCGACCTGTTAGACTAAGGGTCTACCAAATGGTTAGAAGGTACCAGTCGTTGGTCTTATCTTTTAACTTTTATCTTTTTATGTGTGTCTGATTTGCTTTTCTGCTTATTTGCTTCTCTTTTCTCAAATTGATTTAAAGGCATAAGGATCCTACAGGTCACATGCTAAGGCACACACAAATTTTTCCTATCTTAAATTCACTTTTTGAAAAAAGTGCTTCTAAATCTGTTCATGTGAAAGCTGAACTTGCATGTTATCCGAGGGATTCCAGTTGCAACAGGGTACCCTTGCGTATTGCTTATGCCTGTCTGTATTGTGTGTGCAGGTATCTATGTGGGAGAGAGCATCCCTCTCATTGTGTACGGCATCCTGAAGGTGGAGAAGGTTTTGGTCAGCGCTGAGTTGAGTGGCCTCAAGCTGGAGGCTCAGACCACCAAGGTGCATGCTAGTGGGACCTACAAGAAAAGGGTCAAAGGTCAGTTTCCAGACAAGGATCAGGTCTTTTTGCTAGCTTGGTGGGTTGGAAGAACCTACGCAAAGGTGCATTTATCTGAAGTGAGATCCTTTATGATACCATGTTTTTTTTTGGCTCTTCGGTTATTTCTTCCACAGATGGACATTAATTCATAGTGTCAGCCTTCCTTTGAAAGAAGCTATATTGCCTTGGGAAGCAGTAAGAAACTTAAAGGGATTGTTTTTGTTTTAAGTAATTCCTGCAGAATTTTTATTTGGGGTGTGGGGGGCGGGAGGCTTAAAGACCCTTGGAGTAGGAGCCCTTGACCTGATACTTCAGGATTTAAAAAAATAAATAAATGATAAAACACACACACACACACACACACACACACACACACACACTCTCACATACACAGAGGGCATATACAGGGCTATATGTGAGCTAATTTATGGACATACCTGGACAATATTAAAGTCAACTTGGCAGCCACCTTGGTGATTTGTCATTGGTCCCGGTTTTTTTCACCAAATCTCGATTTTTTTAGCCCTGAGATCCGCATTTTTTTTCATAGAGTGGCAGGTCTGGTGATGGCTTAGTTGTTTGTCTGCCATAACTCAGTGTTCTGCTGTGAGCCCTGCCTGATCGACCATGGCCCACCATATTCTAGAACCCCCCCCCCCTCCTTGAACCCCTATCCAAAACATGTTTGATATAGCCAGTGACAGTCCCTAGTCTGTATGAATGCAGACACAAAATGTAAAGTGATCCACTTCAGAAGTACCAAGCTTGCTTAAAAAGGTAGGCCATCAACTGAACCAGCTGTCAGACCAGTCTGACACTACACCGTCAAGTAAACCAGTAACATTGTGGTAGACTGTCAACTAAACTGGCACTGAATTTTTTTTTCTCCATGATATGTGGAAAGTTCTCTCTGTGCCAAATTTTCTTAATATATTTGGACCAGAAGCCTCTGAAAAGGAGTAAGAAACTCAATTTTTGTAGTGGTTTCTTGATATTTAATTTAATTCTTTAACCATGCAATTTAAAATCACGTTTCCGCGACGTAGAATTTATTTATAATTGACTTCCAGTACCAACCTGCCATGGTTACGGAACTCGACTACCGGACACTGCCACCGTCCAGACATGGTTAAAGAGTTAAAGGCCAGGAACCAAACAAAGATTTTTCCTTCAGTTGCGATCATTGTTCTGTCTGTGTCTGCAGGTTTCATGCACCGTGTGTCCTCGGACTCATCCTACACGGCCCACGTGGGACATTCAATGATCAACTTGAGAGAAGGAGAGCCACCAGATTGGCAGTGAGTAAACAGTAGTAATGATAATAATTTTTACCTTTATACAACGCATACTTACACTCTTAGGCATGCTCAATGTGCTTTACAATTATTAGATGATGACATGTGTGATATCTGTTTGATATATTTTGTTTCCTCTTGTTTGCTGAAGTGTAATGTGTACCTAGGCACAATGTTAGGCATTGGAAAATGAAGCACTTAGCTGATCACAGGTTGAGAGGGAAAATGTTTTTGGAAGGGCCAAAGGTCTGAACACTTATATTTGAAGCCCAGGCTGCACTTGTCAATCAAGTTTCAAACTTTTACACCTCAATAGCCAATCACCACTAGTATAACACAGGGTAAAGAGATAACAATATTGGCGTTTGTAGATCTGTTTGTCTTTTCATCAGCAATATAGTTAAGCATTGTTCTTTTCCTCGTACACATCTCATGTATGGCCTCTTTACACCTTATAGGGAATAATTTAGTAGTGCCTTTGATGAAAATGACAATAGGATAATTTAGGAGATAGTTTGATTGTGTATGAAAGAAATATGTAAGTGGATCCCTGTTCTCCCCAGAACTGTGGTGACCATCAATGTGAACAAGTCTCAGGCCCTACTGACCACCATCATGCGGCGCGGCAAGGAGCACAACTCCACCCTGGTCTCCATCGGGGTCATCGACGTGGACATTCCCCAGCACCCTGTGGTTCTCCACGACATGATGTCACGCAGCACCAAGCGCATCACGGCCACTCTGCAAGAGCTGCGCTGGCCAATGCAGACCACCAGGTACTGTTGGTCTGCCTCTTTTCAGACTCATTCTCTTTCAAGACTCCTCCCCTGGTTCACCTTTTTCTGCTCACCCTCTTCTTTTTTGCTCTTTTTCTTTTGCTCCTTCTCTTGCTCCTCTCTTTGTGCTCCTCCCCCTCCTCCTCCTCAGAGAGTGCCATGAACTCAGCCACTATTATGCTGGGCTGTATTGTAGATAACTCTGATTTGAATCTTCAATACTTTGGGGAAATGTTTCCTTCTCCTCCTCATCCTCTTCCTTCTACCTTTCCCCCTGTTGATGCTGTAAGCACCCACCCCTTCTCTCAGGCATAGCCTACTGTTGGTTTTTAATCTGCTCTACATATCGTTTTGTAATTTTTAACTGTTTTTGTATTGGAGTGTTCATATCCACAGAATAAGGTGAAAGACTTCTGTTGTGGCCAATGTGAAAGTTGCAGCAAATTTTATCAACGTACCGTACTGCTATACACATATAATGATCTATTTAGTGATATGGCAGTGCCGAACGTAGCTGAGAATATTTGAAATATAGAGCTGTATGTTTTTTAAAGATACATATTTTCGATGAAAGTAATGAAAGCCAGGACATTGATGAACCCCTTCATGACGGATGTTTTTTCCAACTTTTACTGCACCCAATTTTTGCTAGCCAGGAAGTTCACAGCTATTCTAGTGCAGTTATAAAATCCCATATGGTATATGTAGTCAGGTCCACGTGATTGCCGTAATCGGCTGATTTTAGGATGTGCATTGTACAGGAGGACAGCATCTTGGCACACAATATTGGATGTACGGTGTACAGGAGCTGTCACGAAGAGGTCAAACAATTTTGTAAAACTCAAAAAAAAAAAAGAAATGCTATTTTGTGTTGTGGATTTACAAGAAAGTTCATATAATGCAGATAAGGCCCCCTAATTGTTTCCATCTGGTTTGTGTACATTGCATGAAACGTTTTTTGGGAAATATTTTGCTTTTGTTCATTTCAATACCGCTGACTGACTGACTCTAACTGATTTTGTCCCATGATTCAGAAAGGGAGAGGTGAGGGATTTGGCTTTTGGAATGCACTTTAAAAATTTTGATAAGTTGATAATGTTTTCTTGCTCATTTTTAGTTGTTAGGCTCGTAAAACATAATTACCAACTATTTGTACCATTCCTTTATTTTTAGGGAAGTAGAATCGAGGTGCTTTTTATCCTTACTCCTATGCCATTCTAGTTTCTCTATTAGAATATAGAATACCATTAGCTACTGAAGACCAGTCTTTTTTTTCCCTTGAGAGATGGATGACTTTCTGTGGCCACTTGTAAAGTTCATTTATACTTGGAGACAAGGAACGTCAAACTCAGGGCCTGTAAAATTAAATAGAAATCATTGCTGGAAGCAGTCTGTCAGCTGTATTGGACTGATACTCACTTCTCTCCAGAATAGAAAACATTCAGCACATATGTAATGTTAGGAGGGGGTCTGTCTTGTTCCCCAGCCGAATGTACCACTCGGCCGACGATGAGAATCAGTCGGCGTCCCCTGCTGGAGGAACAACCTCTGACCTTCATAGCCGGATTCCCTACCAGCGCTTGAACAGTGTTCTGGGTGGTGTATCCAAGCCTGTACCAGAGACCCGAACTGTACGCAAACACCTTCACATCAAAGCTGTACTGCAGGGTTTTGTGATTGGTGCTTCCATCCTGCCGTCATTGAAAGCTCAGTATAAGACTGAGGCTATTCCCATAACTGGTGTGCTGGGCAAGAAGGCACACTTCACAGTTATGCTGCCCTCTCACCTCCTATGCTTCAAGTCAAAGGTGAGAACCACCACCGAGATCCGTGCCTGTCTGAATAAATTACATTTCTTATCTGTCTCTTCCTTTTTCTGCTTTTCTTATAGGAGTTAAAATCTTGGCCACTTTACACCTGATACCTTTTATAAAATAAAGTCTCTGTGTGAAAAGGGAAAAATCTTAGAAGGGACTTCAGGTGCAATGACAGAACACACATTTTGAGAAATGGGCCATTAAAAGTAGCTATCGTCCATTCTAGTAGCTTTGAATTTAAAATTGCTGTTGCAATTTGTTGGGTGCTCATGATTTGTTGATACAGAGTAACATCTACATTTTCTGAGAGGTGTCTTTAGTTGTGATCATACCTAGAATTATTTCCTTTATTGGTGTCATACGTGATTTTGTTGTAGGTGACCCTGATTTGACCCCACAGTTAGACATTTTTTCACGTTAGCTGTTTGTGGAGTCTGTATGGTTGTCCACTGACTTGGATTCATCTAATCAGTGATGGACATTTGTATCAGAGGTCCCAGCTCTTGAATAACTCTCCTGTGTTGAACCCATATAGCACCATACCATCACAGAATTTCATACATCTTTTACTGGTAAAGGTAAAGTATAGCCCCCATTTTGAACAGTTTGACCTTGTACATAACCTGCAGGATCACAGTGGGGCAGGAATGGGAAACAACGGGCAGTGGTCGCCGTGATGAGCGAAGGTATGGGGCTTATACAGCACTTGTACCCTTTTATCTCCCTTCCTTTTCCAGGTTACAGCTGCTGCAGCCTTGGCAGACACGCCCATCCCTTCCTCAGCAAGCATTGAGCTGCCGCCCATACAAGTCATTGCCAAGGTCCAACCAGGGACTCTGAGTGTGGAGCATCAAGAGCTTGATCTTGGTACGTCGTTGTCTTAGCTTAGGGCTTATTTTTACAAAGATTTGGTTTCAAATTGTGAAAGAAATTGTTCAGACTCCTACTACTGGACCTTAAAGGGATCAGTTTTCAAAATAATTGCAAAAGAAAATTTACAGGCTTTTTATAGGTCCTAGTAGTGGGAAAGAGTCATAAAATGGAAACTGGAACTTGAAACTGATTAAAAGGAGGAACCTCTGTCGTGGTCAGAGGCACAAAGGTGGTGTATGTTTCTGTCCAGGAAGTTTTTATGTAATAGAAATATGAAGCAAGGAAAGATTTTACAATCACGTTCAGTTTTACTATTTTCCTTATCAATTTCCTGGTACAATGTTGCCTTTATTGTGCAATCTCCTAGTATACTCATATAATGTTTGTTTTATGTTTTTCCCGAAATCTCTGTTAACCTACTGTAGGTGAGGATTTGGAGCTGCTAGAAGGCAACTACCTGTACGCAGTGGCTGAGGTGGGCATGCTGGAGCACAGTCTAACCACTGACTTGCTCAATCACCTGGTCTTTGTGCAGAAAGTCTTTATGAAGGTAAAAACGTTGGACAGGTTTTCAATTTAATTGTTTCAAATTGGGCATTGTTTCTGTGAGGTCATGAATCTTGTCACTACCACCACCACCTCCACCACTGCCACCATCATCATCATCATCATCATCATCATCATCATCATCATCATTAGTGTCTGTAAATGGAGTAGCTGTGTTGATGGTTTTCATGTATACATCCCTGTCACTATGATTTTTCCATGCACTTTCAATGGGTTTTTTTAACAGGGAGTTAATATTCTACATATTTAGTCTTCTTTATCCTTTCCTTCTTTTCGCTCTGATTTCCCTCTCCCAATGGAAATGCACTATATTAATGTGATCCATTATTATTGAATGTGCATTTCTTGTCTAAATATTCACAGGAGATCAATGAAATTGTTCAGAAAGTGTCTGGCAGCAGCACTGGTCCTCCTGGCATGCCTGCTCACCTGGCCACCCAGCCTGAGAGTGTTGAGAGAAAGCCGCTGCTGTATTCCATCTCTGTCCGATTCAAGGTGAGGATTTTACTTTGTTATATAGACTGTTACTTTACTCTGTTAAGACTTTGCATTTGTTGTTAGAGGCTGCCATTGCCAGGTTCTGCTTCTTTTCTTTCCTCTGTTGTCTGTCTACTTTTTCTGTACAACTCAAAACTCGTTCAAAACACAAACTGAGTTCTTGCTGTCATTCCCGTAATGCCCAACAAAATGCACTGTGTTAGTGTTTATCTCTAAATTTCTAGTCTTACTGTGGACAGTGTCACTGCCTCCATTGGTTGTTATGTAGCCCTAAACATGCAAACCATTGAAGTTATTTTTGAAAAGTCTGATGCTGCATATGAACAGTTGGCTGTTGTCTTATACAAATGTCAGATGTGTCACCACTGAATACAGCAACATCAAAGAATTGTGAAAGATTTGAAGTCCTACAAATAAGCCTTGCTTATTTCAGACTGATAATTATTTTGTTATCAATTGTTTTCACTTCAGCAAAATACTTGTTCTTTTTTAGGGTATTCAAGTCACTGCGACCACCCCAACCTCCAATGCTGTCAGATTTGAAACAGGAGCGATCACTCTTGACTTGTCAAATCGCTTTCATCTGCCAAAGAAGAATGACCCAAACAAAGAAGACAGCTCAGATGAAAAGGGTAACATGACCTCATTTGCAAAATTTGGTGAAAGATTTGTTTTACATTTTAACAATTTAAGCAACTTTGTAAATGGTGTGTTGTTTTTTATCCTGTCACATTTTCTAGCCTGCTTTGTTGGGTTTTTTTGGTTTGTGGTTGCCATGTGTTGTATTTGTGGGTATTTTTTCTCTGAGCTTTATGTTTGATGATGATAATTGTCCTTGTGTTCTGTGTGGCCCTGTCATATGTACGGCCTACTATAATTTTTGGGAGATGAAATATTTTACTCCAGCCCTGTACCCCTTTCCAGTTTTCTTTGTCTTGACACTTACAATGGTTTTTATGTCAGAGTGTATGTCTGCAACTGAAGTTAACTGATTTTTTTCTCTTCACTTTTTTCCCTCTAGATGAGAAGAGCAATGGTCAAAAAATGTTTATCCAAGCTGTGGTAGATATGAACCTGGCTTTGGGCCAACTTCTCAAGGTAAGTGAACTTGTTTGTATTGCCTGCACACGTCTACTGTTAAGGTTGCACAGACATGAATAAACACATCCCCTCAAATTCCACACCCCATGCACACGTTCACACACAGGCACGCACGCAGGCACGCACGCACGCACGCACGCACGCAAGCACGCACGCACACATACACGCACCCACTGGCATACACACACACACTCTTGTTGACAGACATATACATGCATTTGAGCTTATTTACAGTCATGCACACCCATGTACTTCACACATTCATAATTGAACATGCGCACACACACACACAAGCGCATACACACACACACACACACACGCACGCGCGCGCGCGCGCGCAGGCACACACTCCCATTAATGTGCAAGCGCTCGCATGCATGCAGCACAAAAATGCACCTGCACATATAGACTCAAAGAACTTGATAGAAGAGTACACATTTGTTAAAACTCTTAAGTAAACGGGTATATTCAAACAGGACCAAATAAATGAATAAACATGTTTGAGCAAGCTGGTAGATACACATGCTTTATACTCATTTAAAGAGACCAGTACTTTTGTGCCAAATAGAAATGTGCCTAAAGTTTGTCTGTGATCATCCTCCAGAATCCTGTGTTTGAGGAGGCAGAGCCAGAGTTCCATACAATGGCGTTCTTCAAGACCAGCATCAAAATCAGGAATGCTCTGAAGGTATGTCTCTTTGTTTTGCCTCTCATACGGAGTATCATTTTTTTCTCTTTGAGTATTTTCTTTTAAAGTGTGTGTATGAACCATGATATTTGAATTAAAGTTTGTATCTTGTTTTGCTTCAATAAAAGTAATTATAGAAATTGTTTTTGTAGGACCCTTAACCTTACTCAAAAGTAGGCTCTAAGCTCAAAATGATTTATTATTGCCTTGATAAGAGGCTACATTCTGCAATATTCTCAGCTTTCTGACAAGTATTGCAGTGCTAGCTGTCATTTTTTAGGCGATGAAATATTAAAAAATATGGGCAATTTTTTTCACTGTCTTCGCTGGCTGCTCATTGGTATATGTGGGTGAAGTGAAGACAGTGTAAAGTGTCTTTCCTCAGGAGAAAGCATCATGCCTGGATCCAGATTCGAAGCTGCCACTTTATTGTTTCATGTCTGGCAGCCCAACCACTACATTACTCTTGCCAAATTTGTAACAATCAGTTTTAAAGAAGGCGTTAAATATTTTAGAAAAGTTTTTGTTCTTTCTGATAGGTATCCCAGTGCCACATTATTTGTTGCACAGATATAACTACATATCAACACAGCTTATGTACAACAACATCTCCAACTATGTGTCATCTTTTTGCTTTCTAGATAATGAGTATTCTCCTATTCTCCGTACAAAAAAAAAGTACTGGTTGCCCTTTTGAAATCTTTTGGAATATTTTTTCTGTTTTGATTTTTTAAAAATATATTATTATATCTTGTAGTATTAGCCTATAGGCTGCAATTATTATTAGTTCAAATTTTGGAATTTTTACTTTTGTGCAACTATTAGTATTTTTATTTTAGATATATTGACATATAAACACTCTGTCTTTAAGTTTGTACTGGCTCTCTTATAGGCCTACTTTTAAAAAATGATGTATTTACTCATATTTAAAAAATTGACTATATGGACGTTTCAGCATGAGATGATTCCCAACCTAGCCCATGACCAGGAGGCCCTGTTGATCAACTTGTCCAGACCCATCATCCTGGCACAGCCACTGGCCTTTGACAAAGGTAAACATACAGTGTCTGTCTGTTGTATCATCAAAGTGAAGGCCTTTAGTCATTTTTAGGGGGTTTCTGGTTATTGTTATAGTGAAAATGCTTTTTACGTGTTTCATATTCTCAATATAACAGGCTTTTGTATTTCATACTGAAAATCCAATTATTGAAGCGTTTTCAATTTTGCTCAGAGTTACTGGATATCTAGGTTAACAAATGGAAACGCTGCTTTTAAAAAGTTTTCTTGAAACAAAACAACAAACATGAGCCTTCCGTCTACTATAGATAAACTTTTAATTCATGAACGTAAAAAATTCAGAACGAAGCATTTTTTCAGTAAGTACAGTTGTATGTGTCAAATATGTGTGCATAATTTGTTGTTGGTCCTGATTTTATTTTTGCTGAATCTTGACTCTTACCCCTTCCTCCTGAAATCCTGTTTCTTTTAGATTTCATAGAGTGGCAGGTCTGATTTAATGGCAGTTATTGTGTCATTGTGCTGTTGTCAACTTAAACTACACATTTACTGTTATTTACTGTTTCTGGCCAAAATGTGGACAGGGTTTATCTTCTGAATTACACTATGCCACAACTTAACATTAGTTATTTGAAAAGGGAGTTTGAGAAAATAAAGGAGTTCACCGTATGCATACTTTTATGATACTTTGGTTCCAACAATCATTTTAAGAATTATGCTCAAATTTTCTGGTTATCCAAGCTTTAATTTGATGATTAGGCCTATTCTTATTCATATGTGTCACGACACAGTCGAATCAGGCGCCTGTCAATTTTTGGGTACATGGAGTTATTTGTGTCATCTTAAAGGTTGTTCGTTTGCCTTGCTTCTGATGAAAAAGCATCCATTTATCTTGAATTGAATTTAAGATATTTGCGATTGAAGGAGGTGGGGTCACCTGGTTTCAGAAGCAAAATTAGCGAGAAAATGACCGACAAAATTTAGTGACTTCATAGCTTAAGAGTCCTTGGAAACTACAAATTAACTTTTTTTGTGCCTTTAATCAACTTTTTTCCTTAAAACCAATACATAAAAGTGTTTTTGAATGGATATACAAGGTCTGGAGCCAAAAAAGAGAAATTCGAAAAAAATGTCCAAACTGGCTGAAAAATGCCGATTTCTCGGATTCGATTATTTTGACGAGTGCCTGATTTCACCACGATTCTTACTTACCTACTACCCGTTACGCCATGTGGTGTTTAGGGCAGCAACAAAGGATCTCCAGCTCTGTCCGTTTTAGGCCATCTTGGTCAACGTCCCCCACGAATGGTTCCAGGACTTCATTTCGGACTCGACTGTGCGTCTCCAGGTCTCTTTAGGTCTCCCCCTCTTGTGATGTTCTTCGGGTGTCCAGTGGAGGGCAGTCTTTACAATAAAGTCTTGTTCTCTTCTCAGAACATGCCTAATTCATCTCCATCTTCTCCTTGTTATTATGGTGGTCATGTCCTCTTGCCTACATTTCACCACAATGCCTCACATATTTTTGTTTGACAATTTCAGCTGTTCTTGTGTGGCTGAACTACAAAAATGCCTATGAGTACTGGACAGAACAGAGAATGGCTCTCAACAAGGAGGTGAGTCATGAAGATGAGCTTTTGTGCTGATTTAGTCTTCAATTTTTAATTTAACATGAAATGGAAAATAGAGGCGAGTTCCTTTGTTGGCCAGAATCAGTTCCGTGGACTTTCCTGAATAGCCAGAATGAAATTTGTGCTGCCATTCAGAATTCGTGTAAATTTTTTGGATCTATGATATTTATAGATTTAGATCTACGTTGTTGAGGATGCCAAAAAAATTAACATCTGCAACATCAGAGAAGTAAATAGTGAGATTGAATGCAGAAAAAGACAGATTTGATTAACAATATTGATTTGAAATTGACTTGGATTTTAGATCCAAAATTGTGTGTAGTACAAAGCTCTGCCACAAAAAAAAAACTGCCTTCAAACTTCGATTTCTTATAAAGAAGGGAAGTTTCATCTTGTTATTTTAAACCTGACCAATATTATAAACATGGATTTAGGGGAGTGGATGGAAATATGTTTTCTATCAGGGCAGGAGAAAACGACATGTTCTGTGTTGTTCTTGGTTCCCCGACCCTCCCCCATTTGAAACATACTTGCCCTTGTGCACAAATCACCTGTGGTAACTTCGGGGAAGGGGGGGGGGTCTCAGTAAGGCAGATGATATGTCTTACTAGGATTGGAAACGCTGCCTGTGTTTGTTGTGATGCGAAAAGAAAAAAGGGTTATACTATTTTACTTTGACTACTCCGCATTGTTGTGCATCCCTCTCAGGTCCTCACAGCCACTCGTCAGGTGATGGACAAGCTGCCATCCATCTCCCCAGCCGCGACGCCTTCCATCACCACCTTGTTCCTGCAGCTCACTGTGGATGATTTGGGCATTTGTGTACCCTTGCTGGCTTCACAGTATCAGGTGTGTGAGGGATTGAGAGAGAGGGAGTGAGTGAGAGAGAGAAAAAGGGAATGAAAGAGGGAGGGTATGAGAGAGTGAGAGAGAGAGAGAGAGAGAGAGAGAGAGAGAGAGAGAACACAAAAAACACACCTCTTGTCTTCGGTCTTGACAGTTCCATTTTTTTCTCAATAAACCTTCCATATGCACTTTTGGTAATTCTTTTTTTATAGATAAGTGAGATCCAAGCGGTTGGACAGTGGTATGGTATGTCCTGCTTCTTTTCTCACCGTTGTTTTTGTACGCATGTCTTTCTTTTTCCCCTGCACCAAATAGCAGTTAAACTTCCCAGCATTAAACAATAGTTATTGTGTCAGTATGTGTCTGTTTCTCAAACTATATAGATCTATATGAGAAGGACATGATTTATTTTAAAATATGAAATGAATTTTTTCTTTGTCTAAAACAGCCAATGCCAGGCCCTGGATCAGGGTTCCAGTCCCCTCGAGTGACAGAGGCGGAGCAAGGGTCAGCTCTGGTGTTGACAGTAGAGAGCACTCAGATCTCAGCCTGCTCCTGTGGCTCTTTGGTCAGCAAAGGGAAATTCAAAAGTGAGTTTGGGTGTTGAATTTTGGATCCCTTTCATTTTTTTTGTTATTCAATAGGTGGGATTTTTTTTTCAATTTTTTAAAGAAGTCTAATGGTGCTCATATGACCTTATGCAGTTGCGAGCGCCGTAAAATTCTACTAAAACAAAAACAAAAAGAAGTCTACCTGCTTGTCTCATTTGTTGAAGATTTTTATTTTATTATTTATTTCCCGCTAATTTCAATTACATTATACTCCTGAAATGTTTTTTTCCCTCCAATTTAGATTTCTGTTTGAGGTTCGCTGATGACTTTGGTTCTTCCTGGGATGATTGGAAGCCATGGCCAACTGACTATGGAGCAGTGATGAACCAGTGTAATGTGCCCTCTGGCACTTATGAAGTGTGTTCTAGAACCATCAATAAACATGGTGAGAAAGATAGGTGTTTGTTTTTAGAGGTCTTAGTCTAAGAATGCAAACTTTTATGTATTACATGCCAATCTTTTCTCACCAAACATTTTAATTTTCAAAAATGAATTGTTTCTGGTCTAATAGAATATTCTTGAAAAATCTGCTTAATTCTAAGGTAATTCAAGTTCCATCGGTTTGAATACCCATGGTACAACATATCTCCTCTTGTCCTGTTGTGGAAGGCAAACTGCTTCACCACATGTGTTATGGAAGGGTTGGCTTTGTCAGTGGCATTTTCTGTTATACATTTTGATGCCTAATGATGAAGAATTACTGTGGTCTAACACTATCACTGTATGTTCTAGATCTAGTAGCGAGAAAGAAAAATGACCTTGTGAGATTTTTTCTCAAATTTTGTCTTCAGTGAAAGTAATGTGCAGAATTTAATGTGACTTGTGTGATACGCACTACAATTTAACTTTTCTGTAGTACTACAGCTTTTTAAAAGGGAAAGAGGGAGTAAATCTAGGTCTTTGCTCGCAGGTAGACCATGTAATGAAATATGTTTGAATATTCAAGAAGTCAATGTTGCCAACTCGCCAACTTAGATTTGGACTCAACTCTCATTTTTTCCCTTCTTCAGAAACAAGCAGCGGCAATGCGAAATGGATCCTAAATGTTCAGTATGACATGAAGGGTATCGAGGTGCACCTTGATACGAACATCGGCAAGCGCTTTACCTTGCTCGGCCACACCCTCACTCTGTTGGCTGGCGAATCAGAAGATACTTTCTCAGACATGTCACATGTGACCAAGCGAGATGAGCTGGAAGGAATGGTTGATGATGATGAAGATGTCATTGACTTTAGTAGTCCAGACACACAGGATAACTCTGAAGAGGTACTTATCCTTTATCTGGAGTAGACTGCATGTCTGAATGTGGTCGTAAATGTTAAGTTTTCTACTTTGGAAAGTCGCTTTTTGTGTCATCTTGAAGATAATTATTGGACTCAAAATGGGTTCATATGCTTAACCTCAGACACCTAATAAATCAGCTTTCTTCCTCATAGTCTGACACAAGCAGCACCTTAGCCTTACATTTCATTAGGCCATGAAGTGAAAGCTCTCAAGCTGTAACAGCAGTAACGACAACAATGAAAATTATTTTGGTTTGTTGTTGACATTATACGGTAGTTTGGAATAACAGGCTGGCCAAGGAAGTTATTGTTAAGTCGGTAGGTGCATAACTACAGATAAATACATTGCGTTTTAAAAAACTTTCTGATTAAATTTAAAAAATCTCTTATGTTGTTACAGGAGACGGTGCCAAAACGTCGGACGAGCCTCGCTTCAGATATTTTGCCAGAGGAGATCTTTGCTGACAACTTTGACCCTAAGGAGAGAGCACGCAAGATTGAGAGAGAAATGAATGAGCAAGCCAAAGTTGTGCAAGAGCTCAAGTAAGACATCTGTCTCTGCCCCTTTGTAATGACTTATGCAAATGGGAGTAAACTAAGTCATAAAATAGCTGTAGTATTTTAGGAGACATCAGTCTCATGTTTGTATAGTGAGTTCACCGTTGTCATGGGCTCACTCTTACTCTTGCTCACGAAGCGTCCATCTAAGTAAATGGTCTTGACGTCATAACTTGTTCATGAAAATACCATGGGGATTGTTGGCAGTTCACCTAGTGTGGTTTGTTCAATTTCTATTAAAAGTTTGTATTTTTATAATTTGTTCCTTGTGAAATGTTGATGTTATTGTACTGAGTTAATGTAAGCTTTACTGTGATCCTGAACAGGGCAGTGATGGTTAGGGTTTTGTCAGGCTCTGGTTTTTTTTAGTGGTATTTATTATATTCCTCACATGGATGCTCTTTCAGAAGTTTCAAGAGAACTTGCTCTTTGGGTGGTAGTAAATTTTGGCCTTGATATACTTCTACATGTTAATGACTGCTTCTATTGATTGGTGGACACTATTCCTTTTATTTGCTTCCTGTGTCCTATTCTGATTCTTTGTAGAATGTTGCAGCTGTAATGCTAACGTGATGAAAATTCCAACCGGCAGTTCCAACTCCCCAGCTTTTTAACTGATGCCAGTTGTGTTTTCTTTGCTTTTCTGATGCAGTTTCATTATTTGAACTCATCAGATATTTAAGAATTCATTTGTACGTTCATTCTCCCTAAATTACTTGTATTTTAAATATACTGTTTAGTGAACATAGGAAGTTGAAAGCAAAGAGAAAATAACTGCGGTGGTATTATTGATGGTGATATTATTGATAGTCATACATATATCGACTGTATTGTTCAGGGAATGTGGTGCTACTGAGGCGACCATTGATACTGAAAGGAAAAAACTGGAGGACTTACAGGCTCTGCTGTTCCAAGACTTCCGCAGAGATTTCCTGGAAATGTTGAAGCGAAAAGGAGACAGGGTAAGAAAAGTTATGTACCGTTGAAAACGTCTAAGAGGACCCTCCATTGTGGAGGAAAAAAGTGGCTGTCTTTGACAGGGGGTTGTTGCACACAGTGCCATTATAATGCAAAAAATGTGCCAGGGTGGAAATGTGACTTAACTGTTTGTGTAAGTGATCGTCTTATACAGGTGGCCGTTAGAGCAAGTTCAACTGGATTTTGTTCTTTTTATGCTTATCTTACAGATATTAAGGGATGATAAGCTCAGTTGATATTGATCTGAACTGCAATGCAAGAGACCCTGGTTTGATTCCACAGTAGGCCGATCAGTAACTTGAGATGGTTAGGATGGATAACAACATAATCCTCAACCCTCTTGGCTCAATTCTGTTAGAGATGAATTTTAAATTTTATCCTTACCTCTTGGATAACTGTATTGAAAATTGTGTTAATAAATGTGTAACAAATCAAATTAAGGGTGTTGAATTTCTTAAAAAGAATATGATAACACTGAGAAACTGATAAACAACAATGGCATGACATTTTGAATATGAACATTTAAGTTATATTTTAACATGTCTTGATATAACAACATTTTTATTTTTGCATCATGTATGTGAAGTACTTGTTGTTTGGCACCAGAGTTGCAGTCCACACAAAAGATGCAAGTGTTTATTGAATATTTGCTGGCAGATAAAAATAAGATAAATGAAGTAATCTTTAAATTCTTCTCCTTTTATATGTTGTTTGTCTTGTTTTTCTCCCTCTATTTAGTTGTTATTAAGAATTCAGTCTTTAATCCTAGGATGATTCGGGTAAAAAGTAATTTTGTGCTACTTTATAGTTCCTGTTTTGTATTCGAATACTTTCTTTTTTGTAGTTTTGGTTCCTCATTGAATATGCAGTCAAGTTGTGCAGCAAAACGTTCTTTGATGGATCTCTCTGACAGTATGAGTTGCTGTCATGCTGTTGGAGTTGATTTGTCTATCCTTTCTTTTTCTTCTTCAAGTACCAGCTTGACTGCAATAGACATCGAGGTTCGACATTCATTTCTCTGCTCGGATGCTCCATAAAGAAACAAACATATATTACCTTGGGTGTTTTCCCATCACCCATTTGGTTTCAATCCTTATGACTAAAAATACTATTTATTATATTTTGATTTGTATTTCAGGCTAGCCTAATCAAGGACAAGCTTGGACTGAGCACCCGGCCGTCTCATGTTAGATCTAAGTCAACTGGTGGTCAGAGACTGTCGAGGTAAGAACTGAGTCTTGTGCTTGTTGTTGTGTGTGTGTGGTAGCCTATCCTTTCGAAATGTTTGGAGCCCCGAAGAGCGTGCTCTTTGTCAGGGCCACCGCCTCTTTTGGGTAGCGGGTGAGGCAGTCCAACCTCCCTGAATCCTCCCCAAAGAGATGCCACCTCCGGACCTCCATGGCGGGGCGTCCCTGCAGCCAGTGCTCCAAATCTTGGGGCTCTGCGCTCCACAATGGACAGATTGGGTCCGATGTTTTGTCTTTTCTATTTTTGTAGGCTTGTAGCCCAGAGAAGTGACCGGTCTTGATTTTTGCCAGTAGTGACTGGTCACTGCTGGACTTAATTTGAGCCTCTCGTTTTAAAGAAATTGCCCGGTATATTTCCTTCATCTGCATGCTTGCTGTTGTTGTTCTTTTTGTTCCTTTCTGGACCCTGTAACAATGGGGCTGCGAACAGAGTATTTTAAAATGAAGACAAAATCTTGTAACATGTTTAGTAGAGAGGGAGAGAGCGAGTGTATGCGAGAGAGATTGAGAGAGAGAAGAGAGATCGAGAGAGATCGAGAGATCGAGAGAGAGAGAGAGAGAGAGAGAGAGAGAGAGAGAGGATGTAAATCAGTATCACTCTATTCCTTTCTCTTGCTTCAACATCGAATAAGGAGCATGTGCTATCCATCCTTCTTTCCCTTTATCGAAACTGGGTACTCTTCATGATGGCAGTGTTTTATCTTCCGACTATTATACTGTCACAGTTACTACCCTTGGTTTTCTTCAATATTTCTCTTGTTTCTCGTTGTCGCTGTTTCCTCAAATTACAGATGTTTAGAATGCATGTGTCAATCCCCCACATCTTTTAGATATCTGTGCTCGACTGCATAGAGTCATATGTTGATGTTATTGTTTTATTGTGGTAGAATCATAATGACCTTTAGGTGCATGTTCATTAACAAAAAAAAAGCAGACATCATGCTTTCCTCTTGCTTTCATCTCGACTGTCCATCTCATTTCCAGGTCCCCAGTGGAACGACCGACATCACTGGAGAGGCAAACGTCCTTGACTCGAAGGCAGTCAGAAGACTTGAGCCGGCCTACTAAAGTTTCTTTCTCAGGGACACAGCTCAGCACCTACACTCCCCCAGGGTAGGAAAATTTATGTTTTTGAAAAGAATGAAAGTCATGTTGATTTTATTTGTGAAGACGGTCTTCTGGTTTGGGGTGCGGTGGAAAGGAGGCTTGGTTTTAATGTGTTTTGGGATATGAAATAGATGATTGACCTTTGAAAAAAAAAGGATGAAATGTCCCTTTTTTTATCATTACATGAAAATTTGGATTGCAGTTTTGTGCACAGTGCATTTTTCAATAAATTTCTTGGTTCCACTCACAGTTTATTATATTGCACAATGTCATAACACAGACAATAGAACCCCCCGCGGCGGTGCCACTGACTGAAGTGTCTTTAGGCCATTCCCAATGGGGGGACATTTCTCGTTCTTATGCACAATAAAATTGTAAATGGGCTGAGTCATCAATGTCATGCTCATAACTGTGCCGGAACTACAACTGGGAACTGCTTTTTTTTCTTTTCTAAGCCTTACTATCATCATTTTCCTCTACTTCTTTTGTATGTTTGTCACACTCTTGTGACCCGCTATTTCCGGGGTGCCTTGAAAGTCGAAACAAACTTTGTGCTGTTGAGGCAAGAGAGGTGAGCAGAGTAAGCCCGATTCCCTATAAAGACTTCTCTGTTGACATCCGCCCCTTGGCGCTCATCATATAACCTTATGCAGTTGTGAGCGTTGAAAAACCTCTACTATAAAAAAAAAAAGGAAGCATGTCATTGCAGGCCACCGCAGTTCTGCACCTTGTTTGGCAACCTGGTTGTAATGAGTACATGGAAAGAATCTATGATCTACACTGTTTGCTATTGCTTTGTTCCTGAAGTGAAATTTAAAGTGAAATTTAAAGTTCATATAAATATTTCATGAATAAAACAGTTGCTTGTAGCTTTTGTTCCTTCAGTCCAAAGACTTACTCAATTGAGCAATTTCTTTCACTTGCCTTTTCACCACAATTTAATATCTCAGTACCTTAGAGTGGGGTGGATGTACAATACTGTTAACTGTTTCATTCTAATGGCTAGGGTTCTTTTCTTGCTTTTGTAAATTTGAAAGCTACTGTCTGTCCGTCCGTCCGTCCGTCCGTCCGTCCGTCCGTCTGTCTGTCTGTCTGTCTGTCTGTCTGTCTGTCTGTCTGTCTGTCTTTTGCTCTTAATAACTGAACAAGTTTTTTTCTTGACCTGAAACAGAGAGTGATAGTTTTGAACTGATTTCAACAGTGTAAACGTTAGGCTGTATCACACTTAACCTGGGTTGGCTCTGATAGGCAGGGTTGAAGCGTCTCACCATTTAAAAGATCTTAATTTTGTTGATATGATTGCTACAGGGCTGCCCATCATTACAAATTTGACGGAATCTTTACGATTTTTATTCAGTTTTACGAAAATACAAACGTTTTACCCCTGATTCTGATTTTTAAGAAATTTTGGCTACCCCAGCCCACTGCCAACCTCCCTGGTGTGTAAGGCAAATATGAGGTTGATATGGTGTAAGATCAGAAAATATCTGCCCTTTTGTGTTGTGGGTAACAGCCGAGGCCAGTGAGAGAATTTTGAAGAAATGGATTATTGTTTGTATTATTCTGTAGTGCCACAGATTTCTTTTGTTTTAGCAAAAGTACCTCCCCCCCCCCTTCTGAACTGGACAATGATGAGCCCAGCAAGACCTCTTTTTCATCATGCCTTTGTTTATGTTACATTTATATTTGACTACAACCTCTGTCCTTGACTCAAGATTACTAATTTTCTATTACTATAACATATGCTGGTTGGTGGGCAGCCCTGTTGGTAAACATTTTGGATTAGTTACATATTGGAGAATTTTTTTTTTCTTTTTCCAGTTCACCCCAGATTGTTGCCTTTGAAGAATCTGATTCTGATGGGGACGGGGCAGAGGATCACATCATCAGAAACCAGCATAGATCAAGGTCTTTGGAGGCTATTCCCAGTTCAGGCTCAGACTCGCAAACAGATGAGTCAGTTTACCTGCGGCGACCACGCAGTTCGTGAGTATATTTGTCCCTTTTTCTGCTATAGCTAAGTTAAATTAGGTTTGGAAGTACAAGAGCGGGTAAGTGACAGGGAAATGCGAATCATGACTTGATTTTCTTTACATAAAGAACTCAGCAGTCTTCTTCCCAGTAATTGTAAGATGAGAGTCATTCCGCTGTAAAATGACAGACAAGCTAATTAGCTCATTTATTGCCTTATTGCCACTAAGGCAAGAACGAGCATAGAGAAACTAAATGATCAGTTGCTGTTGGAACTTCTTTTAAAAATGAAAAAAGATTTGATGAGGGAAAGAAATTATGGGTAGTGAGAGAGATGAGAAAGAGTTTGAACAGGTTAAAGAGATTTATAAAAATTGAAGTAGAATATAATCATTGTCAGAAGAAAAGGTGAAAATTAGAGAGAGAGAGAGAGAGAGAGAGGGAGGGAGGGAGGGACGGATGGATGGGCGGACAGTCAGTAAGACAGACAGGAAAAAGAAAAGCAGAGGAAACTTTAAAGTATTAATTTATTGTTTTGTATTTACCAGCAAAAAAATTTCCGAGGACACTTCCTCAATAACTTCACGGGAACAGATGAAGGTCACGGAGCCCACCATTGACTTCGAGCTCGATGTCAAAGTTTTCATTGACCGAGGAAATTGTGTTCTCTACCCGAAAGAGGCAAAGGAGGAAGAAGTCAGGAAGTAAGTATTGATTCCAGTTTCGGATTTTGGTAGTGTTGTGTTCTTTGCCAAGATTTAGTCGTCATGCAATGTTTTCACTGTGCTAGTACATTGTAGTTACCAAAGTCATGGAATCGACTTGAATAGAAGTCTGAAGGATGCTTTCAAGAACTGTAAATTCATTAACGTTATGCGTTTAAATTGGCAGAAAAACATGTACAATATTGATTTCTTCTCTGGTCTCCAGGCCTTATATATATTTGTTGATATCAATGGCTGTTTGAGATTTTGCTGTGGTTGTGAAAGGAAGGTTGTGTTCAACGGGTAGAGTAAAAGTTAATTGTGCCCTTTGAAGAAGGCTCATTTGACTCCAAACAATTCTCTTAGCATGCCAGTCACTCCATCTCTCCATTCCAATCTTCTGGAAAACACTTCATGCCGTTGGATGCATATCCCTATCTTTCATGTATTCTCAGGCACTGAAAATCAAGTTCCCTTTCAGTTTAAAAAACTGAGGAAGATAGGGTGTCGTCTTCCATCCAGCAAAGTTAAGAATCTGATAAAATTGGTCATACTGGACGTATTTTACAATTATGAATCTACTGCACTGGCTGCTATGGCACAAGGGTTGGGCTCTTTGCCTTCTGCATTAACCAAGATTCAAGTACAGTTCTTTAATTAAGGGGGAAAATATTTTGTCAAGTTTCTCTGTCTTTCTGCTAGGATGAGATGTCCTGCATTGTGCTGATTGGCCCTGGCCACTGCAGCCGGCTTCTTAAATGATCTAAATTGTGGTGATGGGGATGCAAAACTTATAATCGATTGAGTCTAACATGACTAGCACAGGCTGCTCAAGCATTAATTTTTGTTGTTGAGTATAATGATCAAGGTTTTTGCACCAGCTCCCTTCCCTACTGTGGCTGGATTGTACTGAGAGTGACATGTGTTATGTGACTGTTCTTGTTTTTCTCTTCAGACAAGCGAAGAGGGAACGGCAACAACAAGCAGGGGAAAGTTCTTCCACCACAGCGGGCAACAAACAGAAGGCGAAGCGAGAGAAATCTGGGGCTGGCATCAGTGAGAGTAGGAAGATCAGCGGAGCCCCAGACCTCACCACTGTCTTCTTCATCCCAAGTGTGGATGTCAAGGTAACCAACCACTTTAGAATATTGTTATTTGTGTTATATAGAGAACACATGCCGTTCATAGGACTCTTGAATAGACATAATGTTTTGAACATCTTGCTTTCACTAGAAATATAGAAGGCAAAAGTAGCTGAGATAGACCAAGAATATTTGCAAAGAAAACACGAACAGTAAAGTGATTGGAAAAGGTCAGAATAATGTCACTTGTTAAGAGCATCCAAATAGAGAAATAAGTGGTGAACAATGATCCCCGGCGTCTGTTTCAGATCTTGTACTTGAAGAAGAAGAAGAGTGAAAAAACATCAACATACATTCAATGGGTAGCTATTGAACAATTATATTTACTGTATGAAGATACCTAAAGATGTAATAAGACACTCTTTTCTCTTATACCAGCCATCAGTTTTGTAGGTTGGAGGGTGCCACTCGTAGGTCCTACTTTCCCTCTGTTGTTCTGTTTGTCTTACTTTTTCCATGTACTATATGGCCATTTTAAAAATTGAAATGCTTCTGTTGACTCAAATAAAAACAAACATCTTAAAAAAATCTCTTTCACACGACAGGTTCACTACAACTCTAAGACAGATCCCATCCAGTACACATGCCCAGCGACCATCGTTGAGGAACCCAGCGTGACCAGCTCCTCTGACAGTGAGAGAAATCCCCATCCATTTGTCCCGGAGATTCTGATCTCGGCCCCGTCGCCCACGATCCCACATCGGGAGGACTCTTTTGTAGATTTAGAAGCAGGCAGTCCACGCAAGTCAAGCCAGGCTAAGAGAGCCAGTCTTTATGCTTGGTTTTCACTTCAGACTTTGCCTGAGGTAAATTATTTTCTGTGACTTTTTCTCCTCTGCTTTTGTAAATTCTGAAAGTAGGAATGACAGTTTTCCTGATTTTGTTTTCTTTTAGGAAACACGTCATGTTCTTGAATATTCTTCTCTTCTCAGTTTTCCAGTTTTCTTTTCTTGAGGTTTTGTCTGTTGAAAATATAAGACTTTTTTTCCCAATGTAAATTTTTTATCATTTGTAAGAAAAAAAACGTCATTCTCAAGAAGGCTAAGAGTTGAAATCACAGACAAAATTTAGAAATATTAAAAATTAGTACATATTCATTACACAACATTATTGAGAAAAAAAATTGGTCATGTTTGTATTTCGGCAATTTTTATTTTATCATGATATAAGGTTTTTAGGAATACTCTTAGTGGTAGGTTTTGGTAAATATTCGTCTCGTATCATTTTTCCATGTGTAATGTTATGTTATTTATTAGTGTTTTTGCTTTGGTGACCAAATAAGCTTTTCTCTCTGCAGGAGATGATCATCAGCCCAACATTTCTAGACTTCTTGGAGCAGGCCCTTGAACCATTGCCAATAACCCATAGCAGCTCCCCATCTATTTTAAAAAGAGGTAAGATTTAAGTGAGGATTATCTAGGTTTTGTATGTAATACTCCTCCACTTCTTGACGTTTATGCCATTGAGACTCTTTCAAGAAGTGACAAGAGATTCTTTCTCCAGAAAAATGATTCTACAGGTAAATGTTTAAAACTAAACTAGTTTTTTAAGTTCCCATTCTGTCACTGATCACATAGCCTGTTCAGCTCAAGGTAATAAGCCTCAAGTTGTATTTACTTGAAGCAAATTTTTATATGTGGATAAATTCTAGCTGTGTGGTTTCCTTGAAACCTTTTTTTAGTGTATAGAACATTTGTATGGTGAACACAAAACTTGAGGTTCATTTATATCAGCTGGTGTTTCAACATTCCTAATGATGGTCAAAAGCTCTTGGATCTGTTCCAAACTGTTGCATGTTATTTTTCTTGTGGTACATTAACATGTAAAAGAAAAGCTTCACATGGAACTTAAGGTTGGAGCCGGGATTGGATCTTAAGTTTTACTGCTATTCCTGTAATATCTCCATTCTATGTGGTGGGTCTTTTCAAGGAATGAAGTGCTCTGCTTTTAAAATAACATTCATGTACTTGATCAACATTTTTAAAGTAAAATCCACTGAGGATGTGTTTTTAAAAGGACATAATGCCCCCCCCGCAATAATAAAAAAAATTGCCCTTTGGTCAGAAAACTGCTGGTTTCTTTGATTTCGTTATTTAGATGAGCGTCTGATTTCACCACGATGACTCACATATATATATGTTCCCCCCCTCAGACATGGTGGACAGCCTAGTCAACAACATGGACCTGGATGCCTCTCAGGGCTCCCTGGGCCAGCAGTCTGTGGCTTTCTTCCCCGTGGACGTTGTGGTGCACATCAAAGTGGACCCGTCATTCATTCGCTTCAACTGTCACCCAGTGTCACGTGTCGAGTGCCTTCTGCAGGTGCCCTCTCTCGACCTCTTCTTCTCCACCAAGAAATCTGATATCAATGAGAGCATGCTCGCTGACAACATGCAGTCACCAAAGTCTGGCAAAGGTATGTGGGGACGGAAGGAAAGAATTGTGGGGAAAATTATGATCTTCCTGATGTTGCAACAGTCAGGTGTAGGTTATGACAGTGTAATGTGGAGATAGGCCTTTTCTGTACTGTGTTCCAAAGATATATGAAGCCCTCTGTTACAAGACTTAGTTCTTTTCTAAATATTTTTTTACAGACTTAAATATTTTTGTTGTCATTAAACCAAAGATAAACTTAGGACTCTGTAAAAAAAGGGCTGGCTAATATTGATGTCTTTTAAAACTTTTTCTCCAGAATCCCTTTTTTAAAGAAAAGTCCCCTGGCATAAGAAGGGATATGTGACAAGATACATTTTCCACGGGATTCAAAGGATTGTATTAAGTTGCAGTGTTTTGTTTACCTCCATAGCTGCAGCTGTAGTTTAGAAATTGATTCCTTTTTTTGTTCTCTCTAAGCCAAAAAACTTGCTGTTCAAAATAGTTTTCATTTTTGTTGCAACCCTTATTCTAAACACTGAGGTAAGTCAAAAACTCTGTGGCCATTTGATATTTTAAAATTAGGAGGTTAAAACATTTAACAAAGAAGGCATGTAGTTGTACATGTATTTTTGGATATATGATGTTTTGAGCTCAAATGCATAAAAAAAAAATATAATGATGTTTTGGCCTCAAATACACTTTTTGGATATATAATGTTTTGAGCTCAAATGCATTTTTTAAAATGTATGATATTTTGAGCTCAAATGCATTTTTTGGATATATGATATTTTGAGTTCAAATGCATTGTGTACTCCTTTGAATCAAGTTTTGATCTTTCAAAAAAATAAATAAGACATGCTCTACGCATGAAGTTAGTAAACTGGAGGCGCAAGTTTTGTTATTGTAAATAAATTTCTATTATTGAATGTTTAGGGCTAAGGTATACTAAAAAGTGTATTGTACCTGAAACCTAAATTGCTCAAGCGATATGCTGAGGTATTTTTCTATGGCAAAACTATAGTCATTCACCTCTTTTTTATGAACTTTCTCTCACTCTATTGTTGATTCGTCCAGCAAAGAGACTGAAAATATTGTAATTGTGTATGGCATAAATATTTGTGTGTTTGTATTGTGTTGTTAATCATATTTTTACCAATACCACCTATTTAAAAAAAGAATTTCCTTTTAATGAAGTTAAATCTGTATTGTGTCATTATTCTGAATAGCCAAACTGCAAGTAATTGGAGGGTGCCACTGGTAGGTCCTACATATTTCTTTTCCTTCTGTTGTTTCTGTCCATCTTTCAAGCTTTTTCTCAGCTGTAAATGGTCATCATTATGTTAGTTTGCTTCTCTTCACTCAAAAAAGTAAATGAAGAGCCAATATTTAAAGTTATCTTTTTAGACTTTAAAAATTTAGGTTCTAGTTCTTTCCCTCCCTTTTGTTTTACAGCACAGAACATGAAGTCTTCCGCAGCCAACAACAGTGCTTGTGGCAGCAGCCAGTCCACGCCTCGCACTCGTCACACCAGCGGCATGTCGGACAGCTCCTATCATCAGGGCTCCAACTCAGGAGGTCTCAGCGTGACTGGCTGTATGTCTGACTTCTCCCTCTACATCTTCCACCCGTATGGAATGGGTGTGGCACGTCGGTTTGGAGACTCTCCTGGTTACCGGGGACAGGGTGGACTAGGTGTGTGTGTGCCGTTGTGTTATACTTGTTTGTGTCTGTGAGTGTGCGTGTGTGTATGTATGTATGTATGTGTGTATGTGCATGTTTATGGACTGTTGGTTTACGGTAGGCAGAGGATTTTCACTATGTTCTGATAGATTTGTTTTTTTACAAGGTGTGTATGTGCATGTGTGAGGGGGGGAAGATGATCTTTAGTTGTTCATGGCTTTGATATTTTTAAATAGCGTTACATTTGTATTTGTAATTTTTTTTCAGGCAGCATCTCTGAAAACACAACAAACACAATTCATGACATGGGCCGAAGGGATTCCCTCAGCCTGAACCTGGAGTTTATTCGTGTCAACATTTCACGCACCCGAAAGCTCGAGACCTACAGTGAGATTGGCGACTCACCAATGAGGGGTGACCAGCAGACTCGTTCCAATGCTGTGCGCTTCTCAGGTAAAATTTGGACTCTTTTCAGGGAAGGGATCTCTGGCACTATATTTTTTATCTTCAAGAATTTGTTTGAATTTTGTAGTTAAAGTTTGTGCACACTTTAGATGCCAGAGCTTTTAACTTGTAGGCTTGTGATTTCTTTCCATCATTTATATTTCATGGTAATTTGAAATGTTATTTTGAACTTGATACAACCAAAAATGGAACTTCCTACCATTTGATCTCAAATGTAAAGACATAACTGCAAAGCCACCACCACCACCTTCTGATTAGTCTATTGTTATTGATGTCCCAATTTTTGTATTTTCCTTTTCGTACTCCATCCTTTCCCACCCACCCCCAGCTATTTGTGATGTGGGCACGGCTTCGTTTAAGTATGACATGCGGCGTCTGTCTGAGATCCTGTCCCTACCCAAAGCCTGGTACCGCCGCACCCTGGCGCGAAGACTCTTCCTTGGAGATGACAGCATGAACCCTCACTCCGGTGATGGTGAGTCACTCTCTCTCTTTCTGACTGTGCCCAGAGTTCATGTTTACTTTTGTTGCCTAAAGCAGTCCTATGTTGTTGAATTATGTTTTTTCTCGTATTGTTTACTGTGTCTTTGATGTTAAGCGTATTTTGAAAATGAAAATGGTAGAGTTGATTTTGTTACAGAGATGCCAGCTAGGGTGCTTTGATATAGAAGGGATATTGTAGAATTAGATGCACTTGGCTAGACTTTGAGGAAAATATTTTAGCTTTGCTTAAAACTTAAAATAAGACCGAATTCGCAATAGAGCCAAAACGTTGTTTGTATTTCATTACTATAAATATATAAAAGAAGGGAGAGAAAGTTAAAATAGTCTTGTGAAATCAAATGTGCTGATTGTCTGTGGTTAGTTTCGGACCAATCAGACAATTGTGAAGACTAAAAAACTAAAATTGTTGTAACAGTATTGAAGGATTCAGTCTTAGTTTTCTGATGAAACATGAAAACTTTTATTACTACAAGGAAAAAAATATTAACTTCAGTATCGATTTACAGTAATTGGTTTCAGATGTTGTTTTTATAGCTGTCACTGTATTATAGCTCTTTTTGTTGAAAGCTGTGCTTATTTTCTTCTCATTTGTATTTGTAAGTTTGTGCTTTTATTGTTGCCTATATATGTATAAATTCAGATATATTTGTGTTATTCGTGATTATTTCTTGTAAGATGATTGCTATTTATTGTGTTGTTTTATCTCAGATATGTGTATTATGCATTCTTTTAGTCTCTGTATAGGGCACACAGCTTCATATTCTCCTCCCCTCCTTCCCCTCCCCTCCTCCTTGTCACAGCACGTACATGTTAAGTACTGTTAAGTCAGGTATGAGACTGCTCATGCCCCTGCAAATGACTTAAGTTGGATATTTTGGAGGGAAAATATGAAACAAAGGATTGCAGGAAATCCCCCTTAAATGTATGGTATGTGCACTACAGTTTGTAAATTCCCAAAAGTATACTTGGAGGTAAAAATCTGACATCTCCTTACTCAGTCTCATTTGTTACCCATTGGTTTGGTCAGATAATGTAAAGAGAAATGAGACTCTGAATTGAATCAACTTATGCACTTTTTATTGATCTATATGGAATTTCACAGAATTTCTGACCATGCCGTTAGCTCATTTGGTATCATGCTGGTATATGGTGGGAATGGCCGTGGTTCGAATTCCGAAAAGGCATTATTGAACTTTTTGTTTTGTTATCAATGCTCGCTGCTTACTTGGCTGTATAAATCCCATCAGATATGAGCGTTGAATTTAAGAGGCCCAGCCCCTTTAATCACCTAACAGTATTGAAAGGGGTATCAAACCCACTCAACTTCAGAGATCCCAATAGCCCACCTGTATTGTTGGATTTATGTTTTCATGTAATTGTGTTACTGTCTATTTATGTATTGTGCTTCTTTAAAAAGGTTTTTGTTCTTGGTGGAATTTCTTGCTATGGTGTTCAAATTAAGGCATGTTGTATGAATGCGATTTTTTTGTTTACTACGGGGTATTTCACTGTTGCACTGTGACTTGACATATACAGCTGAGTTGTGTTTTGGAGAATGCTATTACTTCTTAGTGACATAGGTATGAAGAAGGGTAGAATGTTTTACAGGCTCATGTGTGTGTTCCAAGTTTCTAATTGCTCAAGTAAATTCTGGATGCTTTGACCAAAATAATTTTTGCTGAGTTATAATCTGAGATTTCCTTAACTTTATTCACAGGGAATTTTTTTCCAAAAGCTAAGAGTTTAAGAGAACTGAAGGAGCCAGAAAATTTGTGATGGTTAAATTGAAATTATTTTTCTCTTATTACTAATCTGAGGTATAGTTGGCTTTAGTTACTGGGAAAAGTACTGATCTGCATTTCTCAAAAAGTGTTGAGTGTTAAGGAACTTGAATATTGAAGTAAACGATGTCATTCTGTGTTGTACTTCACTCAAATTGTCTTGAGTCTCTACCTTCGGTTTATGTTTTTATTTCAAGCAACGCAGGTCTCTGAATTGCTCATAATGTTTTTGTTTGTTTACTTTCTTTGCACTGAACCTTTTTCACCCGCCTGTCTTAATTTGCCTCTCCCCTGTTCTTGGCTTGAGAGTTGGATGTTTCTTTTGCATGTGGTGACCTGTGTGAACACCTTTCAGAACTGGACCCCCCATCCCCCACATCCAGTCAGAGCTCGCTACGACCGATGTTCATGTCCCAGAATTCTGTGTCCCACCCGTCACTCAATGTCCTGACCCCGCCTAAACAGCTGAAGAAGCACCACCGACGAGGATCCTCTGGTGACAAAATCCGCATCCAGCTCAGTCCGGAGTTTAAGAGTGAAATAGCTACCAGGAGAGGTGGGGTTGACGGTTATATATTTTTTTTTATTTAGGAAAAAGAACACATCTGGGTTGTTTTTTTCACTACTATAGAATTGTTCAACACTTATAATTCTGTTGAAAAGGAGGGGGTGCCATTTTGTTTTCAGTCTACCTGTAAATTTAGACAACCCAGAACTGACTCTTTGCAAATACTGGAAGGGAATTTTTATATTTATTTCAACATGATGTATACTGCAGTCTGACATTTGGAAAGTTAGGTCTTTAAAGAAGGAATCTAAGATTTTGAACCGCTGACTGCTGCGACTGCCATAGGTATCAAGAGAAATGATCTGATTAGTATGGAATAGCATGAGTTGGTTGTTACTCATTTAGTATAGCCTCTCTTACTTGGTGTGATGTTTGGTTTCACTTATCTGTTATTGCACTAGTTGGTCTCTAATGTTTTCTTTAGTTTGTTAAGTTTTTAAAAATACTATATTGATTGCATGCTTACTAGACATGTGTTTTCTGTTGCTTTTAGTATTTCTTTGATGTAATTACATCTATAAGGTATCAATGTTTGTAATATTTTTTAAAGACTCATTGAGCAGTTATGCTTGAACACTATTGCTCTTTTGCTATTTTCTAAAAACTAACTTGGAAGGGGAACAAAAACTAGACTTTCCCCAGTTTAAAGTGTGAGCATATTGCTGCTTGAAAAGCACTGGAGACTCCATAATGGCAAGGAAACAGGCAATGTAATTAAGGACCAGTTGCTCTGTGGGCTCATCAACCTCTATTCAACTCTTCTCCATAAGTTGTAGCAGTGAAATATGTGTGTGTGTTTGTGGAGGGGAGGGGGTTGGAGTTACAGATGGAAGTTCATGTAGCCTTCCCAACATCAATTTTGAAACCAAAGGCTTTTATTTTTTAGATCACTTTAAATGCAAGCAGAAGTATTTGATGATAATGTGTCCTAATTGATGTAAAAAAAAGGTAATAGAGTAATTATTTTTAAAATTTTGACATGCCAATCATAAGATCTTACGTTAAAGAGGACTGACATCTTATACCCTCTCAAGGTGTGTGGTTCATCAGCTTTTTTCATAAAATAGTTAATAAAGACCCCCAGCCTACCAACCGCCTGTCACCAGCAGTAATGGATAGAGATTATTTCTGTAAAGAACATGTTGAAGATTGTAGTTCCAGAAAACCCTATCTGTGAGGCAGTAAATCTTTATGGGTGCTCAATGATTTTGATTGAAAACTAAATGGTTGCATGAAACATTCCCCTTCGTGGCTTTACAGAAGCTTCCTGTCCTTCGTGACAGGGAGTAAATATTTCCAAAGATGGAGCTGTTGGTTCCCTACCTTGGCTCTGGTGTGCTGTGGCCTGTTCTGATTAGTGCCTTGGCCTTCCATGTATTGGTCGCTTTAATGACTGCCTCAGCCACTGACAAACTTATTAACTTCATGAGTGTATGTTTTATTATGTGGATATTTCATTTGTGTGGAGGCAAGCAGGGTGAATAATTTCCCTTTGGTTATTGGAAGGCACCTCTGGTAGGTTTTACCTGTCCGTTTGTTGTTTCTATCTATCTTGATTTTTTACTTGTACTTAATGATCGATGTTGTGTCATGTGCTTTTCTTTACTCAAACTCACACCAATAATTACCTATGTATTTCCTCCCTTTTGTATGGACACGTTATTAGCCTCAGCGTCAAACCAAATGGCTTCTGATCATACCTCGAGCAGCCATCGAAAGAAGTCACGAGCCCTGAGCTCCCCCGACATGCAGCGTCAGAAATCAACCGCTGGGTCAGGTGCGCCAGCCCCAGCCAGTGTGAGCACATCATGGGAGACTCTGGTGCTGTTTGCTGTGAACCTCTCACAGTTGAACCTGGAGGTCAACATGGCCAACGTAATGGGGAACACAGAGTGAGTGTGTGGAGTGTTGTTTGTCAGTACTGGAGAGATTTCACTTTGCTGAGATATAGTGCTTGTGTAACACATTGGTTAAACTTTGGCATCTTATGAATATAAGCTTTGGCTACTTTTTTAGGCAAATGTAAAGACAAAAAATAATTAAGGTTCCTTTTGAAGGCTAGCACAGTTTCTCAATAATTCCCATGGCTGGTCTGTTTATTCCAATTGTCCATTTCAGTCCCCTGGAAGTTAAACATCATTGCAGCCTGTCAGTCGCTTGTCCGTATCATTCACAGGGTCTTTCTTTTCAAAGACCAAGTACCCTTTTTCGGTTGGGTTGAGTGAAACACAAGTGCATAGCTGGCAACCAGTGCATAAAAAATGCCTTCATATGTTTTTAGGGTCTCAGGGCAGGAGTCTATTTTCGTGTTGGAAAATATGTATTCTCTGGGGGTTTTTTACTCTTAGATTTGCAAATAACAATGAGAACAAAACCTATAACTCTACTGTAGTTGTATACGTTACCATAGTTAACTATTGAGCATGAGTTTATGGGTGCAAAAAAAGTGTGTAAATAGTTTGGAGGGGTGGTTACTAAAAATTTGGTCAATGCCCACCTGCCAGTTGTTGGAGTGTTTTCTGGTTTTGAAGAGCTGGCAGCAATGCAAATGTGGTCTTGTCATGAGTTTGAATAGTTTTTGTCCTGAATACTAAATACCTCTATAGATAATCTATTCAAATCTTATTTATTGTGAATTGAAGTGTTTTACGCTTTGGCTTCAGATCTGTAAATGACTTTCACTTTTGCTTCTTTGGTGTAGTGGGTGTGAGCTCTTCTCTACTGCACAGAGAAGATATTAGTTCGTTTCTCAAGTAGGGAAGTATTGCTTACAGTAGCTCTGTCTGTCTGGAGGGATGTTGCTCCCCTTTCAAGTGGGGTTGTTTGTTTTTAGTTTCATGAAAATGAAAGTTTTACAGCGCTTGTAACTATATAAAGTCGGATGAACATGCAGCCTGACAGACAGGATCAAGGCAACCGACCTCCAGATCGACGTATGATGGAGTCTTACTCTGAGCAGTCGAAATGATCTAAATTGTGTCAATGGGGGTGTAAAATTTTTTAAATTTGCACTTCTTTAGGTGGCGCACCAAAGACCTGAAGACCCAGGGAAGGCTATCCATCAACAGTAGTGGCCACAAAGATCTAAACATCAATGGTGGTTTCGGCAAATCCACATTTGAATCAAAGGGTGGAATTGTTGGGGGCACCATTGAAGTCGTGGACCTGCATGGTTTCTGTAAGTATCTGTTGATTTCAGGAACAGAACTTTTATAAGTGAACGTGCTCAAAATTGTTGTCTTAAATCTTTTTCTCCGAGGGGGGTAAACCCTCTATGCTGGGGCCCTTTTTTATGCTAAATCTAAAAACAACAAAAGCGTCATTAAATGGGTCATTAAATTGGAACTAGCAAACTTATTTTGATAGTTCTTCATCTAATGAATGAACTTCCGGTATAAGAGACCCGTTTTCGGCAATTGCTGAAAAGTAATTGGATGTCGAAGTCGTCATAAAGGAATGTGCCTGAGCCACTGTCAGTGGCTCACCGGCACAGGGGTTCTGACTGCGAGCTGCTGGGAGTGGCTTGCCGGAGATAAAGAGTTAAGTTGTTTTTTGTAGATGTTGCGTGATTTTGTTGTTGTTGTAGTTCTCTGATGTTTTTGATATATCATTGTCGATGCTTACATGTTATTATGCTGTTATATTTATCTGTCATTCATTCATGCTTTTCACTAGCATTAAATGATCGTTTTTGTGAAAATATATTGCTCTATAGCTCAAAACAGAAGGACCTTTGAAATCAGAGTGCGAATGAAATTGTATATTATGTTCATTCACAATTTCTTGATAGCTAGTAGGAGGGCGCCACTGGCAGGTCGTACTCCTTTCCTTTCCCTCTTTTGTTTTCATCTGTCTCGCCGTAAATGACTGTTAAGTATTGATTTCCTTCTCTCTAACTCAAACAAGATTAAGAACCAATGAAGGTTATAGTGAATTCCAATCTCCTTCAAAAATTCTTCTCTTCATGTGCATATGGTTTAAATACTCTACTGGTTAAGTCCTACTTCGTTACTTTCCCTCTTTTTTTTAAAGTTCGTACAACTTTAAATGACCATTATTGTACATCTCTGTACTCCTAACAAATTGTTCTCTCCACGCCCACCCAGTCTCTGTGTGCGAGGACCCTGAGCTCGGCCGTGACCCGGATCACCAGGCAGGCTTGAGCACGGCCCTGCTGGAGACCAAGCTGGACTATATGGGTTCTTCTATTCTCATGACGCGTCTCTCCCAGCTGCAGCTGGTCCTCAAAGACGAGTGGCATGTGGACGCCAACATTCACAATGACGCGCCTCTTGCCACCAACCGGTGAGTCTTAGGGTGGGAAATGCTTTTGCTACTGTCTGAGAGTTGAGAGATTCCGTCTCTAGTGATGATTTTACTCAAATAAAATCTCCGTCATATGTCACTTTTCAAATAGCGTATGGCGGAGTCTTACACTGTGCAGTTGAAATGCTTTCAAGCTTCTGCCAATATGTGAAGTTTACAGTAATGATTTTCTAAAGATGGATTGATTCTGTCAAATTATGAAGTTTCAATCTATTGAATGATGAATGGTTGTCTGACAGTTTTTAGTCTGTCCTAGATCTTAAAATAATGATCTTATTTTTTGTGATTGATAATGTTTCTCTCTGTCTTAGCAATTCTGTGTGCTAAATGTTGGACGTTTAGTTCTGTCAGTTGGGTTGAAATGTATGTTTATGTTTTCTCTAATGCATATTAACTGCATCTACATCATTGTTTTTCTTCCTCTTAGCTTTTCCAGTATTTGTACATTACCTCATGGACCTTTGTGCAGTAAAACCCTGTTTCTTGCTGTTCTGCCTGTCAATTATGTTTTTGTTTCTGAGCCGGGTTTCTTTGTCTTGTTCCCATCTCTTATTAGATCTCCTTCTTCATCTCGTCATCTACCTTTGCTTTCAGAAAATGTTTCTCAAGCGAATCATGGCATAATTCTGTTTCTGTTTGTTCTGCTCTAGAGGAGTGTTCGTGTCTTAATGCTTATTCTTCTTAGTTCTTCTTCATTCTTTATTTTCTGTTGCTACGATTTTCTAAGTGCTCACATATAACTTTTCATTATAACGAAAGCTGTAAGTCTGTTAATTTGAGTAGTTTTAAAGGATAAAAGTACAAAGAACTATATTCATTTTCATTTCCAATATATCACTTCATTGAGGTACCTAGTTGATGATTCCGATTGACAAAATCTTGAAGTAATAGATCACTATTTGTATTTTCAGCTCCGCTTTCCTGTTTGTCAATGGCAAGCTGTCATGGTCTCACTTTCACCTCATGATATCTCGCTCCACGACCCCTGACCTTATCAAGATTATCTCCAAGCTAGATGAGTTCTTCTCCCAGCAAGTCATGAGCGGCCGGCGGGTGTTCCAGCCTACGGCCGGCACCTTTGCATCCGCAGCACAGGGCAAAGTGCCCAGGAAGATCTCTGAGAGTGGTGAGTGGTCTATGGATTTAGGCTTGCCAGCCTAGAGGTATGATGGTTGCCCTCTTCATGGTCTATAATGCTTTGGCTGCTGGACTCTCCTATGTAAAGTCACATGTTTGAATCACATTAGTTGTGTTCTTAGGAAAAAGTTTCAACAATTTTTTTCTGCTTCACCCAGAAGCCCTTGCTAAAAAAGCTGATGCTTCCCTGTAAGTTGAGAGCATTTCTCAGTATTGCAGGGTCTGTCAAGGTAATATACCAAGTTGCAAAAGTTCTGTCACACCCACCTTAGAAATACAATAACTCGATTACTATTCAACATAGCTAAGAGAAATTTGGTACACGAGATGTTTGTTCATTTTCTGCCAACATGACATGAAAAGAATTGAGAAATGTCTTTCTTTATTCAAGGGAGATAATTTCATTCACACTGACCCTTGCAAAATCCAAATCAAAGTTTTCTCAGTATGGTGTGTGGCCTCTTCCAGCTTGAATTACTGATACAAAACATCTGTTCATTGACTGAATTAATGTCCTTATGGTTGTCTGAAGAATCCTCTGTCATTCCTTGTGAAGTGAAGTCTTCAGTTCCTGACGAGTATATACGGAGTGCGGCTTACTTCTAATCCTCCAGTCAAAGCCATTTTACAGATGTTCTGTCGAGTTAAGGCTTGTTGGTCTTGCAAGCCAGTCCAGAACAACGATTTGATGAGTTTGGAAGGAGTTTTCACTGATCGTAGCCATTTATGGTCGAGCGTTGTCTTGTTAGCACGTTCCATCATCCGTGCCGTGTAGGGCAGGTCAACGTGACGATGAATTTCGTCACAGTACCGTCGTCCTTTGAGGTTGCTTTGAAAAGTAACCAAATGTGTACGATAAAGAGCAGAGATTCCACCCCATACCATCACATTTCAGACACCGATTCGGGCCTCTTGGGGGACGTTGGATTTTGGAAATCTATATCCTCTTCTTGTTAACACTTTTTCTCTTCCATCAATGCAACGAATTAAAAACCTTAACCATTGCTTAAAAGAACACTTTACCGACTTCTTTAGTTTCATCGCCAATGTTGTTTTGCCGAAATTTGGCGACTTGTTCGTTGAGACAGGGTTAGAATGGCTCCACGCAAAGGGCGATAGTCACGTAATTCACGATCTTATAAATGTCTAATAATGGTGTTTTAAGATAGTCCGAAGTACCTGACAGTCTATGCACTTAGTTGGAACGGGTTTCGTACATGGGTGTTGACAATAACCCAATTCTGACGTCGAGTTGTCGCCCTTGGTTGGCCTCGCCTAGGCTTGTCTTGGACAGTTTTAGTGGTGTTAAAACGTGTGTTCAAACGTTAGATGGTTCTTCTACACACATTTACGTGTCTTGCAACAGCGGAAAGTGCAGTCAAAGAATTTATCATACACACAGCACCTTTATTTTCTGAATTTGTCAGTTTTTTATTTTGAAAAACAGGTGAAAAAAGTACCCAACAGTTAAAAAGTTCAGAATTTCATAGTGTGTAAGGTGTGTTTACACATTGTCTTTGTGATTCAAAGCAAATGTTGTGTGTAGGAAGGGTTGATTTCAGTGTAGACCAAGAGAAATCAATACCAACACTTTGTTCACGGACTACTTCCGGTTTATGATTTCTTTCGTCTGCTCTTTCACAAGGAGAGCAAGGAGTCTCATAAGTCACACAACTCGTACTTTTAATTTTTACGACAATTCTAACGCTATACCGAAAAGTATCGTAATATAATGGGTGTGACAGAACTTTTGCAAATCAGTATAATAAACTGTAAAAGTGCATATATGATCTGTGTAAATGCAATTGATCATATTTGTTGATGTTGTCGTTGTTGATCTTATTGTGGTTAATACTGAAGCTTTAATGCCTTTAGTTGAAATGAGTTCATATAAGCTTATTCTTTTCAAATGAAGTGGCTTACAATTTAATATTGAAATATGTATTGACAAAAAATATCATGTCTTAGTTTAAAATGGTCTTTTGTGAGTTCTCCTGAATGTGTACATGTTTGAGGTAAGTCAGAGCTTTTAGGACTTTTATAAAACAATAAAGCCCTATTCTACAAGGATTTTGGGACTTGCTTCCTTTTGCTTTCAAAATTAATTGAAAGTTATTTCTTGAAGATGTACGCTTTTTGTAAGAGTTGTGATACTACAAAGGTACTGGCTGTACAAACAAATATGAAGCTGAAGTGACATTATTAATGCAGAGGAGGAATACCTCGTTATACCGTATAGGTTCATAGAATTGAATAGAAGTATTTCGAGTTGAAAGACAAGATCAGATGGTAATCATTAACCTCATTACTCAATGGACATTGAATGTAAAGCAAGGGTCGTTTGTGCCATTTTTTTTTCATTTAGTTCCACAAGGCAGCATTTGAAGGCATAGTATCATCACACTTGTTTAGATTTTTCTTTCAATGTTTATGAGTTTTAGCTAACATAATGTAAACATTCTAAAATTATCTAGAGACTATGTTGATTTTTCTTATTCATCTTTCATTTTCATCTGTTTAAGGTCAGTTGTCTTATAGTTGAAGTCACAACAGTAGAAGTTCATGAGACTCTTTTAGAGCATATTGGTTACAACTGGCTAGTTTGATAATGGTAAGAACATCAATATCAATACTTGCTGGCCATGTGGTGCTGAATGTTACAAATGTTCCAAAGATAATTTTTTTATGAGCTGAACCCCCTCCCCCTCCCCCGAAGTCTCAGGCAATTTGTCCATTTCTCTGTCCTCTCCAGCTGTTCTGGACGAGCTGCGGCACCACCGGCACTGGCAGGAAGCCCTGGAACATCTGACGGGCTACCAGTTCTCCATGTTGCCCTCTGTGGTGCCTCAGGAGGGCATGGTCCTCGGGGGCACCATGACCTTGGAGGGTCAGGGCCTCATGCTGGCCTCATTTCACGGAGTCAACTTCCGGGCCAAGTACTGGGCTTTGTTCAACATCAAGGACCCGTACATACACTTCTCCACTGAGTCACAGAATATTCCAGAAGGAGGTGAAGAAAGCAATCAGAGGAAAACTGGTTTTCTTTGTTATGTTTCTTTATTCTTGGTTTTAGTATCCAAACCCCACTGTTCTCGATGCGGGTGGTTGGCGGATGCTCTGGTGTGGTTTGCTCCTTCTTTCTTATCATACATCTATAGTCCTTATCTTTCCTTTTTGGGGTTTGTTACTCTCTTGTAACACCTCTAGTCTTCAGCACTTATATGATCTGATTTTGTTGCAAGAGCTATAAAACGCTTATTAACACAAACAAGCTCTTCTCAGGTGAAAGGCAGATAGGTGAGATAGAAGGTATACAAAAGAATTTTAAAATTTCCTTTTTGATTTTCATGTTGTGTTTCATTTTACTTGACTTATACAATGAGGGAAGTGTGAAATGGTTCAGGAGGCAAAAAAAGACATGTAAAAAAAATTACTGTTATATTATGCTATAATTCGTTCCTTTTTTTTTTGGTTTAGTTTTGTTCTTGTACCAGCATGTACACTTTGTGTTTGATATATAGAACATTGTCTTTGGAGGTAAAGTAGGGATTGATCTTAATAGTTATAAATGTTGCAGGCCTTATGACCACATTAATGCCATTTAGTCATTTAGGAGGTAGGCTGCTTCAACCGTGCCTGTCGGGGCCAAAATTGGTTTAGTGGGATGCAACATCAGAAGATACAGGAGGAGGAACCATATGAAATAATTTCCTAATGTGGAAATTAACTCAGGTTTTCTGCATGCATTGGCAAAGAGCCATTCCATTATGCCACAGACACCAGGTTAAAAAAAAAGAATATGAATAAATAGTTGTTAACTGTCAAAGGTGAAAGCAAGCATGTGTTCAAAGCTGCAGTGTCCTTTTTAGAAGAATGCTGCTATTGCAAAATTATTTGGAAAAAAGTTTATCAAAAAAGGGGAAACCAAAAACAACAATAGTGATCCATGTCATCTGTTTTAGCCAAATGTTTACTCTGTTATATTTGTAAAACTCCTTTCTGAAATATGTTCAGTCATGCAACCTCCTTCTCTTGAGCAATGTTCTGGAAGAGTAAAGTGTATGTGGTCACTAAAGACAGAATTGTAATAATCTAATTGTACCCGGTGCTAATGTGATGTCAATGTTTTTCCTCCTATCCAGGCACCCACATTGTGCAGGACCTTCAGTTTGTGGTAGGCCAACAGAACAAGCAGATGGGCGTGACCCCGCGGGCAGACGCGCTGCACAACCACATGGCCACCATCTGCAAGATCTCGCGCACCCAGCACATGCCCCCAAACTTCACCTGTCTTCACGAATGGTTCACGTATGCCATGACCTCCTCAGCCACTGACCCAAAAGGTATGTGGATATGCATTGTGGTGCAACGGCTAGGTTCTTCACCTTGCATCATGAAAACATGAGTTTTATTTCTTGTGGGGTAAGTTATTTTATTGTGTGTCTCAGTCTTTCTGCTGGGATGCATCCTCCCATACTGGCTGGGTTGGCCCTGATAAGTGAGGCTGGTCCAGCCCACCGCCCGAATTATTGAAATTGTGTCAATGTGGATGTAAGATATAAACAAAGGGGTGAGAATTGCTCAAGTAAGGCGGTGAGAGATGGGCATATTGATTCTGGTGCCAGTGATGTCAAGAGTTTTCTGAAAAGTCTAAAAGCACTGGTGTTAAACTCATGGACTGCGGGCCACATCCGGCCCACTAGAGAATTTTAGGGAAGATTTCCAGCTGATCGAGGAAATCTGTCGGTTTATGGACACCAAAAAGGAAGACTCCACAATTTGTGAGAAGGAAGGTGGAAATGTAAGTTGGCATTTCTGACTGACATAACCACTCATCCCAAAGTCTTGAACCTGCAGTCCATAATTGGATCTCTTGATCACTGATATGCATGATGAAGTGGAGGCATTTCAAGTGAAGCGATGCTTTTTGGAGATGCAATTGCACCAATGCAACTTGTCTCACTTTCCTTTGCTGTAAATTAATATTGAACCAACCTAGCTTCATAGTCTTCTGAAACGCACACTTTGCTAAAAAGCTGAGCTCACTTCTCGCAGAGTTCGCATGGTGCTTTAGTGATTTTGAAGCATAAAAAAGTACTGACGATCTGTTTTGCATCCCTTTTGCCATTGATGTGGAAGCTGCACCTGTACATTTGTAAATGGAACTTACAGAGCTACAGTGTTGTAGGGAAAAAAAGGCAAAGTATGGCACAATGGAGCCTGCACATTCACTCATGTCATTCTTTGTCTACATGTGACTCGAACCTTGATCACTTTTGGGAGGACATATGTGTGTGAGCAGTTGTTCCCTGGGATTTAGATTAATAAAATATAGTACAGGAGTCATCCCACCGATGAACACCATCAGAAAATCTCCATAACATAGAAATGGCATTATTGCAAACATGAAGGAACTTGTGTCAAGGAAAGATGCCAAGCATTCAGTTTTGACACATTGTCATAAGAGTGAAGATTGGTATGCTTTGATTTCTTTTAATTTTAACTTTTGTCATTTTTAATTCAAGTAATTGTTTTAATAAAAGGTTGTTACTGCTGTTCAATGAATGTTTATTCAGTTGGCTCGTAATATTATGTGTGACATGGGGTATTGGCCCACTATGCAAGAGTTTGACACCCGTGATTTAGAGAGTGAGTGATTTTTCTGTATTACTGGTTCAGGAAATTAGTTTTGGGGGTCTATTTAATGAATGACTAGCTTCATTGCTTGAAATTGTTGTGTGTCTGAGTTCACTCATCACTTGAAGACTGGGTCCATTTTAAGTTTCTTCTTATTACTTCTTTTTTTCTTGGTCATCTAGTGGTGCTAGAGTTCCCTAGTGCTTCTCGAGGAGCAGACATGGAGCACCAGCGGAAGACCAGCAAGGTCAAGGCCACCTACTACAGCCACGAGACAGAAGTCATATTTGCCTTCCCCTCCTTGTACATGAATCTCAAGACTTCACACTTCCAGGGGGAGAAACCTCCGGAGGAAGGAGGTGAGCAGAAAACAATTCATATGAAAGTAGGTTAAGAAAGCCTCAAGAAAAATGACCAGTAAAAAAAATTATATTTTTCATACATTTATTACTTCTGTGTATTCCTCCATGTATATTGCACAAGAGTTAGAGAATGTCTTGAAGGCTGGTGTCCCTAGAAAGTCTACTTTTTTTTTTGTTCATCTTTTTCTTTTGTCTGTTATCTAGCTTGCTCGTAGTTTTGAATCTCCTTTATTGCATTGTCATACAAAGAAACAAAACCTGTAGGTCAATTTAAAATGGAATCTATGTTTATGTTTTGTTTCAGAGGACCGCCCTAAGGTGGAGTGTAGCTTTGTGGCCGAGTTCTATGATCATATCTACGTAGCCATGGATGCTGAAGTGATTCTCTTCCTCCATGACCTAGTGTCCTCGTACATTAGGGAGAAAGATCGCGGTATGTACTGAGTGCTTTCAACTTTCCCTATTCTTCACATAGGTACAGTCATAATACGATTGCCAGAGTCATTTTTTTTCCAGGTTTCTAGTAATTGATATTATGATTAAAGTACAGTCGAAACTGTAAGATGGCCACCCATTGCCAAGGAGAACAGTGGTTGTCCTAGACAGGTGGACATCTTACTCTGTCATTATAATGTTAAAAAAGAAATGCAAGGGGCATGGAATGGGAAGCGGTAGTTTGTGCAGCGGATTGTCCTATAAAATTTTGTTTGTTCTTTTCAGTTTGTACTTAGGGGTACAATTTTTAAAACAACATGAATACTGGAAAGTAAATCTTTGTCTCGTACGCTATGTGAATCGCTCTCAGCTTTGGTTTTCCTAGCTGTGATTTCCTTAAAGGAACTTTGACCTCAGTTTGTGACTATCCTGCAGGGTCCGGCCCAAGGCCTTCCAGTAAAACAGGCAAAGAAATGTCCAAGTCTGAGAGCAAGCTCAGTGACCCGACCTCTGCCCTCAAGCATGACTACAGGAGCTTTGAATGCAAGACGTGGCAGCTGGAGCCTACCCTCAGGTTTGTTTTACTATTCATATTTTGCCGTCCTTCACGAATTGGAGGGACATTCGCTTGGCATTGTGGTAAAATCAGACGCTCGTCAAAATAATGGGATAGAAGAAACCAAGAGTTTTCCACCGCTTGATCAATTTGTATCAAACTTTTTGTTGTTGCCTTAACACATTTTATATTTATTTAAAAACACATTTCTGTGTGGATTTTACTGAAAAACATTATCAAAGGCAAAAAAAAAGTAAATTTGCAGTTTCCAAGGGCACTCAAGCTTTGGAAGTCAGAAAGATTTTGCAACAATTCTCCTGCTTATTTTACCTCTCTGACACCAGGCAACCCCCACCTTTTCAGTGGAAAATACCTAGACTTCTATTCAAGATAGATGGGTTGTTTTTTTTTACATCGAAAGCAAGGCAAATGAACAGGACTATAAAAACCCAAAAAATTCAATATGCCCAAAAATTAACTAGTGCCTGATTCCACAGTGTTGTGACGCATTTTGTTTTTGCAAAACAGAAACATTTTTGATAGGATATGATTTACTATTTGTGAGGCAGCGTGGTGAAATCAGACGCTCGTCTTCTTTTTTATGTTTGTTACTCTCTTGTAACTCCTCTAATCTTCTGGTGCTCATATGACATTATGCAGTTCCGAGCACGGTAAAAACTCTACTGAAACAAAACTGTTATTTTGCCAACTTGCTGTAACTCTGACATGTCTCGTAGGTTGATCCACTGGGCCAGCACACAGATCGACCCTGTAGGTGCGGACTACGTCCTGCAGAAGCTGGGCTTCTCTCACGCCCGGGTCACCATCCCCAAGTGGGTACAGCGCGGCTTCATGGACCCCCTGGACAAGGTGCTGTCTGTATTGGTGGACAAACTGATCACCATGCTTCGGGACCAGCAGAGCAGCGTGCTTCTTGATGAGTCTCTGGATCAGGAAACAGGAACAGGAGATCGGCCTGTTACAGAGAAATGATCAGTTGGGAGATGGGTCTTTTTGAGAAATGATGGCCCGAGAGATGGGTCTGTCTGAGAAATGATGGCCCGAGAGATGGGTCTGTCTGAGAAATGATGGCCTGAGAGATGGGTCTGTCTGAGAAATGATGGCCCGAGAGATGGGTCTGTCTGAGAAATGATGGCCCGAGAGATGGGTCTGTCTGAGAAATGATGGCCTGAGAGATGGGTCTGTCTGAGAAATGATGACATGGATGATTGAAATAATGACTCTGGAGGTCGGTCTGGCTGTGAAAAAAATTGATTCAAGTGCCGAGTCTAACTCCAAGAAATGCTAACTTGAGCACACATCTGGGCACACATGACCGTTACTCGTTTTTGCATTTAGTGCATTTCTCAGTATGCAGTGGTGTAAATGGATCAGTTGACCAAAGCGAGGTCGAAGCATATGCTTGTGTAGGTCCTGAAAGGCTCAGGAGCCCTCAAAGGGTAATGCATAAGGGAATGGGAGAACAGTGTCCTTCTTGATGATTCAATTAACTGTTAACAAGAGTTGGCCTGGACATGGAAAGGGGGGGGGGGGGGATTGCTGATGTCTGGCTATTTCTGGATTGCAGCTTAGATCTTGTTGGAAAATCCATGAAAAGGGATGGGGAACAGGTCCATCTCTGTTAAGTGAAATCTGCTGATGACTTGATGATTATAACTCTTATATTGTGTGTGGTATGCCTATATATGTCATGTTCTGTGCAAATCCTTTTTTACAACTGGTTAATTTATACCTGTCTTATATTATTATGAGCAGGGCTCCTTTTTTCTGGCCAGTTGTTAATATGTAAGCATAAAGTCTGCTGATGGGCACGCGAAAAACAGAATGAGACGAAGATTATGTGTTCCACCATAGCTTTTATGTAGCCCTGGTGGATGCAGAAGGGATGTAGGTGCAGGTACACTACTCTCTTTTAATGTGCAAGGAATAGTTTCTGTCAAGTTAAATGTGCATTTTTTTTTTCTTACAAAAGAGCCTATTTGACCTGTACCAATTTGGTCTCGGTTCCACCTGTGCAAAATTGTGAAAGTGATATGAGAATTGTCAAAAATAATACATTTACTTGTTTATTGGGACTTAAGAGACTATCTGTACTAGAAGTAACATTGTCAGCCATTAAGTTATGATTTGTTTTATGAGTTAACTCTTTATCTCCGGCACACCGTTCCCAGCGGCTTGCTGTCGGAACCACTCTGCTGGTGAGCCACTGACAACAGCTCAGGCACATTCCTTTACGACTTCGACATCAAATTACTTTTCAGCAATTGCCGAAAACAGGTTTCTTTTACCGTAAGTTCATTCATTAGATGAAGAACTATCAAAATAGGTTTGTTAGTTTCGATTTAATGACCCATTTAATGACGTTTTTGTCATTTTTAGATTTAGCACCAAGAAAAGGGCCTCGGCGTAGTGGGTTTACCCCCTTCGGAGAAAAAAAATTAAAGCCTCATTTTTATCTGTATATTTTCTTCTTTTTATAGCTTAAGAAACATTCTTTTTTAGTGAATTATGAGAAGTTAAAGATATTTGCCCTTTTGATCTTATGTTCGATGGAACATACATTGTACAGAATCTTCACAGGCAGACTGAACTTCATGACACAGACTCATTTCTCATTATTGTAGACTGTCGATGCTTTCTTGTGTTCACATGTTGATCAACTTTTTGCCCTTAGAATAGCAACGAAACTTCTGTCTTTTTATTGTTGTGAATATTTCTGGCCAGTTTCAAAATGATTACCCCATCCTAATTGACTTGCATTTTATAGAGGATCACTGCCTGACGTGACAGTGTAGTGTCTTGCATATCACTCACCCACTTACTCAGATTATCTGTTTAGACAAACGATTTTCTGTTCTTCAGTTGTTTTTAGATGTTTAATTATATTGTGCATTGCTTTATTATCATAGCAAAGAAATTGCACCTATATATTCATATAGGAATAGCTCCAAGCTTGTTCGATGAAGACATTGGGGGCTTTGCAATTACATAATTCATTTTTGTCTTCTCCTTAAAAATGTAAGAAGATTTGGGTGGGCGATCTGCCTGTGACCAATGAGTTACTTCTTTGAACAAAAGAAAACAGACTATGTTATGAAGTTACATTTCTGAAATAAACCTTCAATATTCCTCCTTTTTCTGTCCTTCCATCTTGTGCTGTGTTTCACATTTTCCCTTGACATCCTATTATTACTTGGCTTTTGCTGTCTTTTTTTTAACAATAGATTTGCTTTTTATCCTTTTGTTATGTATACCTAGGCATAATACGCACATGATTATTATGACAGCTGTTTCAAATCAACAAATACATCTTGTTTAGTCAACGGGTGACTGAATACAATCGATAAGTGTTCCCCATGTATTACTAGCTGTTTTTTCTAATGTTATTGAATGTTTTGCTCGAGTAATTGTTATGTAGTCAATGATAACATCAACTGCTAGATCTATACCTAAGTTAGGTAAAAGTTTTCCCAATGCTTGCTTTAAGATTCTCCCCCATCATGTGTCCTGAGCTAGTGCTCAACCTTTGAAATGACCAGCCTCTTTCTAGTTAAAACACTAACAAAGACAAGATGAATAAACAACAAAAAGATTGAATGATCCTTTCTGCTTGATGTCCATGAAAGTGCACACACACATGCGACATGTTCATGTTTGTCATGTGTTTTTATTACTGAGAGAAAAAAAAGTGTTTCCTTTTTCTGAGCTAGTTACTTTTTTTTTTTTCCATTATATAGTATGTCTTAACATTGAAGTATGATGTTCAGATAAGCATTTTATTGTTCTAATGTTTCCATTATACTGTTTTAATGTAGATTTGAGGCATCACCTTCCTGTTATTTGAGAAGTAAAGATTGTAAAAAAGAAAAGAAGAGACAGCTTTCTTCCCACTTTGAGGAAGTTAATTGTATAATCGATTGCACAAAGATATATATACAGATGGTAAAAGTCCTTTTGTTCTTTCATATGAAACTACACATCGACAAATTTTCAGCTTAAACTTACCATGACTCTTTCTAGCACCCTGTTCTTGGTCCAGTGTTAAATGTATCGGACTCAATAACCACCCATCTAATAGCTTTTCTCATTTTACATTACTTCACATTTTCATTTGAGATCCACCCTTGCCAAATTGTATTTGTTATATTGTTTATGTCCTAACCGTGGGGATTATTGCGGATAATGAATTTTCTGTGTTCCGTGTCTCTTAGGCAGATTTCAAAAATACTTTGCGATTTCTTTTTAAATACATGATGTATTCTTGTGCAGATGCTATTAGTACTTTGTGAGATTTTTTAAATTAAGCATATCTTTACAATGTGGTCTACCATAGAAGTTTGACAGCTTCTTTGAATCATTTTGATGTATAAATATACTTTAAATATAGGAAATGGCTACAAGTAGCTGTGTTTCTAAATGTCATGTGAAAATCTTCCATATCAGAAGCAGGATGGAAAGGGGTGGCTAGCCAAGAACTATAAAAAGTGTTTAAATAGGAAGTTCTCCTGTGAAAGACTGAGAAAATATGTTGACATTCCAAGAACTTTTATGAGTGTTCTAAGTGTTTGTGACATTTGTAGAATGTATAGTGTAAAAAAAAAATCATCTCTGCTTGAAAGATCAGTCTTGAAATTGTTATAGAAGAGGGAAGTTGTAAAAAGGAATCCTTTTCAGTATGTTGTTTACTTTATTTTCTCTCTTGATTTAAAAAAAAAAAAAGGCTGGTTGCTGTCACAGGGGAGATGTTTGATCAGGGAATCCGTATTTGACAAAAGAATGCAACTATTTTACATCACCTTTTGTCAGTGCAATATTATCCTGTGCCGTGTGATTTGTGGTCACATTCTTTGTATGCCTTTAGAAACAGGGATACAAATTATGTGTGGATTGAAAGTGAAGCAGATGGATTGCACAGAATGGGTCATGGTGCAAAAGATTGTTGTGTTGTAGGAAGTAAGATTGATTTGAACACTGTTTTGCTCGTTGCACCCCAGCAATATACAGACTGTTACTTCTGATTGATCATCGTGCCATTGTTTTTTTTTAGAGACTGGAGTGTGATAATACTTCATAGTGAATTCCAGTGTTGGTTAAAAAATTACAGTGAGGTTCTTCATGTACAAGAAAGTGTCCATGTCTTAGATTTATCCATTTACCAATAAAGCCGGCACCGGCTAGTGGTGTGATGGTCCTGTCTAAATCACTTTGATGTGGTCTTATAGAACCTGTACATATGTTTTAAAGTGTCCTATGATTACAGCTTCTTTAGTCTTGTTAACTGATAATAAAAAAATTTTTTTAAGGGGGATAGTGGTATGAGTTTTTATATGTTCCTTTATTAAATCCACTTTTTCAAGTTACAGGGTTTGTGCTTGTGCCAGTCAGTATTTTTTGTGGGCCAGACATATTTTGTAGAATGTGGTTTAAACCTGACAGAAGAAGGCGATTAAAACAATTTTTATGATAGCATTGGGAAAAGCTGTGATATACATATATATATATATTTTCAAGTTGTTGTGACGACATCATGTCTTTATAAAATTTATACTTTTTCTTTGATTAAAGTAATTTTTTTTTTCTAGAAGCATTAACGTTTTGGTCAATTCCATGTTATGAGTTTGTTCTATATAGTTGGTAGAGTGATATTGCCTTTTCCTGCCCTGAGTCAAAGGGACGCTTCAGCACTTGTTTGTTTAGTTTGTTTTTGTTCTCAACTGAACACAATTGTATTTTGTGGAGAGCTTTTGTCCGTTTTGCTGAGTAAACTGAAAAGACAGAGGTGTTAATTTGTACACTTGAAAGACTGGTAGATTGTTTGGATAATTATATTATGGAAAATCATTTTTTTCTATCAATTTACTGTTGTCATATTTGGCTGTTGCCAATTCCATAATTTTGGCAAAGTGAAAACCTGTTGATATGCTGTGAGTATAGCCTCAGACCCACTTGGTACTGGCATTTTCGACAGCGCATATTATTGGTTTCCCGATCTGAAGGAGGGGTAAGCTTGAGTGTTTCACGTAAAGTGCTCACTGAAGGTCAACACACATGCTCAAAACTAGCCAATCTAAGCCGTTCAAAGTCGTTTTAGATTATTACTTTTGCTTACTGGTGACATCACCATTGTGGAAAATGGATCCCATTGTATATTTAATGCAAATTATATTGAAATTTTGATCAGTTATGATTATCAAATGCTGACTAAAAAAACAAAATTGCATGTGCAATACGAGGATGATTATGGTTGTTCATGAACTGTCTAGTAATAAAATGTGAGAGGTTATCTGTTAACCTAGAAGTCCTCTACTCTTTCCATGACTTTCACCTTGCTGATTTAGGCTACTAAAGTTTTTTTAAAAATGTCATTTTGAATATTATATGTTCTTTCGGATGAGTGCCATATAAAGGAAACGGTCAGTAACGAAGTTGTCCCTGTCACGAGTAACATTGTCATCTAATATTTTTATGTTCTTCCCTCTTTCATTTCTTTCTTTGTCTTGCATATTTTTTTCACAGCTCTCGTACGTTGACATGTTAGTCATGGTCTGTTCATCAAAATAATGAATTGGTGAGGAATGGTTGAACAATGTGTCGAACAAAATTTTGGTTGTTTTGTTTCAGTTGTGTTTCTGTGAGATGTTGGCCCTGCTTTGCTCTTTTCTTTCCAAGCCCAAATATAGATTTCCATTGTATCAAGGCAGAAGTTTTAAGTGTGTAGAAAATTAAGGGACAGATGTTTTTGGTTGCATAATGGAAGAAAAGCTCACCACTAAGGGTGAGGGATCCTCCAGCATTATATCTCTTGATAATGCCTCATCTTTGTATGCTCATTGCTGGTATTGGGCTGATCACATTGAAGGTTGCTGCAGAGATGGGAACTTTTGCTCTTTCACTTTCTGATCTGTGTTATTTTATCTAATTTTTTGTTTGTTTCTAGAGAAAGCTCAATAACTTATTCTTTGTGGAGTTTATGAGAATCTCTATGTGTGTTAATATAAATGTATTTATTTTCATTGTATTGTACATTATCACACACACTCTTGTCTGACACTTATACAATATTGTATAAAAGATCTTGTAAATGGTATTGATTTTTGTTTGTGAGCTATCAGGTCTCTCATGGGATGATACGTCATAAGAAAATGTTAAGAGACCGCAGAAAAAAGCCTTGAGTTATGTCATATGAGCAACGGAGAAGCTCTTCTGACTGCTTTGGGTGTGCTATTTTTATCATGTTGTGTCATTGTCTTATCAGGTCAATTTTTTTTCTTTCCTGTCTTATGGCAGAACCCCCCACCCCCCAGCACATTACAATTACAGGGAATAAACTTTCAATGTGAATTGTTGATGTTCAATCTGGTGTGGCCTCCTGCTTATCATTTTCTTCATTATCTCTATTCCTCTTAATCTGTGTGTGGTGAAATCCTTCTGACTGGTTAACTGATCCTTGTGCTCCACTTAGTCTCACTTTACTAATCATAAAGGAATGTTTTATTGTATGTCATAGGAGATTATGAATTCTAAAAATCTTTAATGAGTGTGCTTTCCTCACTTTTTGACTCCCAGCAGTTGGGTGGGTGTAGAATTGTGAATTACAATGGAAATCCTATGTAAGTTTAAAGCTCACAAAATAGAAACTCCTTTGGCTGACACTTCTTTTGTTGTAAGTGTCATGCCGTCACATTTGTTAATGAGCATGTGGTGAATGGTAAGTCAAGGCTGGGAGTTTCACATCCTGAAAGGAAGAGTGTATTTGTCGCTGTCACAAGAAAAAGGAGTAACTCACCCTGTGGAGCAAAGTCAAAAAGAGCTACTACTTGTTTTTCTTGCGATATCGAAAATGGGTTAAGAAGATATGTTGTATTCTAGGAACAATGTTTCCCTACTGCTATTTGGCAGCCTAAAACTACAGATTCTGTTTTCATCACAAATTTTCTTTCTTTCTTTTCTTTTCTTTTCTTTTTATTCTTTTCTTTTCTTTCTCTTCCTTTTGTTTTTATTTTTGTTTTTGTTTTGTTTTGTTTAGATAGATCTATATTTATTCTTGATGCTTGGTAAGGAGCTTTAACAATATTCCTGTTGTTTGTGACTCATTTGCTGTACACACTGCCTTCACACTATGTTGTGATTTCCCTCGGTATTCTGTTCATTTGCTCAGTATGTTTTTGCTTTTGTCATATTTAATTTTAGTCGTGTTATCACAAGATATGTGTACCATGCAAATGTACTGTCCTTTTTTCAGTTGAAAACAATATATGCGAGATGAATAAAGATTGTCATTGTCGTTGTCATATTAGTCCAAGCTAGATTGTGTACAATTGCTACTGGGAGTACATGTAAATGAATAAATATGTAACGTTATGACTTAATTGCTAACAGCTGATATGAATGAGTGAATCCCAACAGCTGATGTGTGTACTAATGTAAAAAGGAAATGTTGAGCAATCTTAAATCTTTGTACCTTGACACTTTGCCGATTAATCAGATTTTGCGGGTTTTAAAAAAAGTTACTCATGTGCTTTTCTAGGAATAGGCATAGAATATTCTGATCCACATATATGTACGGACATGTCAAATTATAATGTAGATCTAGTTAGACTTTTCAGTTTAATTGAAACAGTGTACATATAGACTTGACTTATGATAGTGTTTGTGGTGTTTATTTGAGTGCTGTTGGACTGATAATGATATTTGATTATAAAATGTTAACAAAAGAAAAATGAACAAAAAGAGGGATGTTATCCCTTTTTATGAACAAAATGAATGTCTGTAAAAGGCACCTCAATCTACGGAGTAAGTTAGTTTTGTTAAAAGTAGCGAGACGTATTCTAATGTTATTGCTGTTGTTTGATCTGCTATAGTGCATGTTGTCTCGGGGATAGAAATGATTGGCATATTGTTTGATGTATCCATTAACAATACTGGAACAGTATAATTGGGGTGGGGGGGGGGGGGTATTGCTTAAAACTTATGGATAACTTCGCTCATCAGAGCTTACTTCTGAAAAGAAATCAAATGCCTGTCATCTATCCGTGCAAGGTAACAGGCAGGATTTCTGAATTATTCTTTCATAGTGTGCAGTGCCCGTGATGCTTCTAAAAAGACATGTGCTTGACATGACATTGTCAATATATCTATGACATAGGACATTGTCAGTATAGTGACAACTTAGGTGCCTTGATGTCATTTGAAATTCTGTTTAAACAGTTTATTTCAGTATTGGATATTGAATATAATCACTATCAGGGTATAAATGTTAACTTTGAAGTGTCAGGTTTTGTGCATCACCTTTATGATGTCTTTAGCAGGCTTCTCACTTTTTCTGTTTATGTAGACTATTCTATCTCAGGTTTGGGTTGTTTGAGTTTGAAAGGGAGTACCTTTCCTAAGCTTTGATTTTGAAATGACTGCTCTGGGAATGAAGTTATTTCAAATGACAGCTCTTTAGGTTTTGCCTCGGTGTATAAATATAAAACTCAAGGCTGAATTTTGTCTTGAATATCCTTTTGTTTTGGTGTTAAATGGCATTCGCAACTACATAAGGTCAGGTGAGTGCGGGGGACACGTTAAATGTTTTCAGTGTGGTAGGAAGTTTGAATTTTGCACAGGTGGCGGTTGAAGCCTACTCAGACTACTCTTAACGATTTTAGGACCACCACGGGATCTTAACGTTTGCATCATTTTTCATCCTTATCCTTTAAGGTTAGGTCAGGGGTGAAAGACGGCAGAAAGAAGGAGCTAGGAGTAGCAGTAGAAAGATTCAGGAGCCCAGAGGACGGGGGAAGGAGGGGAGGCAGAAAGTGGAGATACAATGAAAGCAGATGCCAGAATATGATTAGAGGAGGGGGCGAAAGGAGAAATTATAAAGAACATTTTTCGGTGCTGTCAGGTTTCAAACCCAGGACCTATTGAATGAAAGACAAACACCGTACTTCTAGACCACGAGAGCCCTCTAGGTATCCTTTGTCAAAAGCTCATATGACTATTGTTATAAGGTCGTGATAGTCTACAACATTTTCTGTTTGACACACCTGGCCAGTGCGGCACTTTTTGTGCTTGTTAACCCTATCCGTACGTCTTGTTTTACTATCGTATTCATATGACGTGGGGAATTCTGTGCCTCCACTTTCCAAAGAGGAAATTTACTCGTTAATCCTATCTGTATTCTTTGCATAGCAGTCTGTCAAAATGAATTTTTGAGAAATACTGAAAGTTTCAAAGAGAATGTTCTCACTAGAAGTATTCTAAAATGTGAAGAATACAACCCTGGGGGTACAAAATGACCCCAGGGCGTACGGATAGGGTTAAGCCCTCTGCTTTGTGAGTTGGAATTTGCTAATAAGAATGCTTTGGTTTATGTACACAGCTTGAACTTGGGTTTAGTTTTTATTTTTGTTGTCTTGCTTTTCATCTTTCATTTGCAGTATTTCATGGTTGTGCGAATCTATTGTGATGGGTTTAGTGATTACTTTTTAATGAATAACTTGTACTTTGTACTTGTATGTCTCCCATAGAACATAACAAACTTCTCCCCAGGCGGTGTATCACATACAGTGTTTTAACATTCCTGCATGTGGCTTGCACCTCACTACATTTCCCATTCCAGAATTGTCGAATAATAAAGGCTTTGCAGGTCTCTTGCCTATGTATGATTTCCTTCCCTGCTTATTAAAAAAAAAGTTTGATTGCCACGTTTATATAGTAGAATGGTGATGCGCAGAAAATAAAAGATTTTGAAACAGGTTTTTGGGGTGATGCGCAGAAAATAAAAGATTTTGAAACAGGTTTTTGGTTTTTGTCTAGGTTTCTGTTTGTGATTGTGATATAATGCATTGTCTGTACACAATAAAAGTTAAATACATGCAATAAAATGATTCTTTTTAAAGCGATTAGTGCTTTTTGTTGACCTTTCATGGTGTTACACATTCTTTTCGCGGGATTATTGTTGACTTAAAAGGTATCGTGCTGGAATAATGGTGTGGATCACCTAGATCTAAGTCACCAAACAGGATATATTTTTTAATTTTAGTTGCTTGAGAAGTCTTCATACCTTTCCCCATGGACACTGTAGGCCTATATGTTGAATGGGTGTATTTAACATGTCGTATCTTTTAAAATTTGATTGTTAATTTTATACTCAATTATCTTTGTCTTTGTCCTCTAGTGATCCTCCTTTTACTTCTAATCTTTCCCGATTTTTCTCCATTAATTTCTTTGATGGTACTTGAAACATAATACTGTATGTACTAAATAGTCTCCTTGGGTTATTTTGAAATTACAAAAAGTCTGCTCAGTGGGCTCTCTCACGATCAATATATGTATTATTATTTCAATGTATGCGGCGACGGTTTTTTAATTGAATAAGTATAAAATTCCAACCGGCTCTACCATTTCTTTTGAGAAAATTTTACCACAGTAGCCAACTGGTTGAGCAACCAAGATGGCCGTTGTAAGGTGAATTCTGCTCTCAGTCCACATCTGCAAGAACAACATTTCTAGTCCCTTATTACTCCGCCCTTTCCTCTTAGACCCCCCCTCCCCCTCCCCCTTCCTTTCCACGTTCCCCCGTCTCTTCCATTGAAGTGGTTGGATGTTAGGGCCTATGCTTTTGAACTGGCAACCCTAAGGTCGTGGGTTCAAATCCCACCTAGGGCCTCTCTTCTCTCTCTCTCTCTCTTTCTCTTTCTCTCTCTCTCTCTCTTTCTCTCTCTATCTCTGTCTGTCTGTCTGTCTTTCTGTCTCTCCCTCTTGTGCCCCCCCCCGCCCCCCATGTATCGTGATGACTGTAGGGCCTAAGGATATCGGGGTGTCTGTGTGATTGTGCGTGTTTGCATGTGTGTGTGTGTGTGTGTGTGTGTGTGTGTGTGTGTGTGCCTAATTATACTATGACATTATATTTATAGTTTATAAATTATGCTCTGGTAAATCTATACTGCCATCGAGCTCAGTGATAAAACTAAACAGAACGATTAGGATACCGGTTAGCTTGGAAAGCGAAACTAAATCTTCAATAATACTAGACATCATTTATATGTATGGTCACGGTGAAAGGGAA